TAGCGGACGGTGCTTTTCACCCATTGTTGTCATCATCATCGTTATATAACTGAAGTTTGTTTATAACTTTGATAATCGTCATTATTAGCGGACGGTGCTTTTTACCCATTGTTGTCATCATCATCGTTATCACGCCGGAAGTAGAATAAAGCCGGCACGTTGCCTTACCTAACTACGCAGAAAATTGTTCTCTCTTTAAGTTTGCTCCCCTTGGATCCTGAAAACTGTAACTATTAAGACGATCAACAAGAAAGCTGTTATAATTACTGAAAATTTTGATTAACAGAATGTGAAGAAGAAATCGGTGGGAAGAGTAATTCGCGTATCTTATAATCTGAACGATAGTTTTCAATAAAACAAATACCACTTAATTCAATTTACCTTAGTTGTCTCGTGTCTAAAAGTGGCATTTCTGGGGACCATAGATTCTTCTCTAGTTCTTCTTGTCTCAGCCAATACTCACCATCATCAACTTTCTTCTTGTGTTTCTTTCAGCATGGGACACAGAGAGCTGAGGTAAGCGATTACAAATTTCTCAGTTAAAGTGAAGCCCAGTAGTATCCATCAGGAATTGAAAACCGACATGCATTGTTTACTTTTATTACTTTTAATCAAATAGGGGAGGAAAACTGACCGCTAATAATTGTGAATCGTACGCATTAATAAGTAGGGGGGGGGAGGACAGGCGGTTTAGAGTCTCCCGCTTCCCGCACTACGTTCTCCCGCCTCCCGTAGGTTTGTGCCCCTTTGCCTCCCTTCCTTCATTGTGTTGCTTCCGTCTTCAGGTTAATCAAGAGGGTCAAAAACCCGGGTTTAACTTTCAAACTGTGCCAAAACTTAACATTCTTGTTTATTATCAGGCCTTGGTTAAGAGTAACGTTTAGAGTTTGCTTCTCTTATGCTCCGCTCTCTCCGGTGCGTTCATTGAAGCCGCATTCCTTTGAAGCAAGTTTACACCATAAGGCAAAATCTTCAGTAATTTGGGATGTGCAGTCGTAAGAAGCGAGCTCCCAAGAAGGTCTTCCATGAACGGAGTTTTCGTTGCCACACCGAAAAATACTGAGGCCGGTTAATATAGTCTTTGACGTTTTGACCTGGATGACCCTGAATCGCTTTCTTTGCCGGAGATTTTCGACAGCTTACCAAACACTGAAGTATAAGTGTACGTATGTCATGTGTCATGCTATCTCACGACCTGTGACGTTATGAATTAAAGGGATTACCAAATTCACAGGAAGTAATGCTGTTTTTCCAGCCCGAGTACAAATTTACGTTTTCTTGCTTCCAAAATTTTCTGTTAAGCATTGGTGGATGCTGAATGGAAATTTCAAAAATTTGCTAGATAAGTGTTTTGACTGAATAATACCCAATGGTAAACAACAAACTATCGCCTTCTTTATTTCTGCTCCCGCTTCACGCCTTCATATAGATCTCACTTCCCGCCCCTGTTCTCCCGCTTCCAGCCCTCTCCCGCCCCCTGTTCTCCCGGGCTCCCGCCCCCCCGTCCCCCTCCACGAATTATTGCGTTGTCAGGTGATTTGATCTTCTACAAAAAACATTGTTAATTATCAACCAAAGAACATTGTACGTATTTCCATCTGCAATTAAAAGCACTTAAACATGGATCTATATTTTTCAACGTGATATGTACTTAAGTACCCTTAATCTAATAAAGAGTCTCTTTTCTTTTAGAGCAGATATGTCACGAGAGAAAAATAGACAACAGAAAATGTTATGCGTTAGGCCAATTTCTGTTACAACTGAGTTGACGGTGGTCATGTGACTCACTTCTTCCTCGTCAGTAAATTCCTCGTCAGATTTATTGTCAACCACGGTGCTCGGAGACGGACCTTCCCATCTCCTTCTCGAGAAGGACAAACGGGAGAAAAATCCTTGTATTTGGGCTTTGGTTAGCCACTCTTCCTACTAGAATACCTTATCCAACTGGAATATATAATTACTCCAAACAGCTTTTGAATACGCTTCCTGGCACCATCATGATCAGGATACTGTCATGTTACCTTTGCACTTCTCCGAAACTTCTCCAATGTGAGGCGATGCTTATAGCAAATCGACATTTTTTTTATCCTCCTGAGCGAGGTGAAACAGGCCAGTCCTTGCCAAGATTAGCTCGTTTTCTCTCAGGACCTTTTAAGACGGGTGGCAGCTTATCAGATGATGTTTTACTTCATCGTTGCATTCAGACAGCCGTACCAAACCACTTGAGCCACGCGATGAACCACAGTTTTTTTCCAGCTTTGCTATTCAAAAAGCAGTACTGAGACATAATGAACGTCTCGCTAACGAACGACTTCTTGCTGTACTTGTAATTGTTTCCAACGCGATTCAAGTTAGGGAGATCTAAAGGAACTCACTTTAACTTTGTATACTCGAGACTAGTTCAATTTCCGCGCCAAGGGAGAAGCCTACTGGTTACGCTCGTGTGGTAAAGAATAGGTTTGTGACTTTTTCACTCAATTGAAAAGACTCACGTCACTCTTATGAAATGGTTGAACGGAATACTCGTGCCTCGCGTCTTTGTCGCTCCACGCTCTTGGAGTTGGGCAAGGACAAGACACGTTACTAGTGATGCGATACAAGAGGTTCAATGGTTACCTCGATTATCTAAACACATTTATTTACATGGTAAAGACCGCCCTTACAGAGACACTCGTTATACGGTTAATCGAAGGCTTATGATCGACTTCTTCGGTCCACATCATGTGTCGACGGCAGATGATGAGCGAGTGTCGGAAATCGAGCAGACTTTTGAGGTGGTTAGAGGCGGGCAATTGCACTGATTTTTGTCTTGGTTCTTACGCGTTAATCGACTTTTAACGCGCCCAAAGCTGGGAGTTGGGTAACATTTGGAAGCGGAAGAAATTCGGCGAAGTTCTGGAGGCTTTCGGCCGATACGGTCCTGGGAGTTGCACGCCTTGTGTTTTTTCTTTGCCTTTGGAGGGGCATTAGTGCAAAGTGGGGAATTAACCGTCCTAAAACCCCGCAAAATCACTCGAGACAACACAGAAAAACGAAGATAAGTGAACTTTGTTTATCTGACTGTCATCAAGCGGATTTTGGGGATGAAATGTTACGATTTGTGGAGTGCGGAATTTAGGAAACATCTCTCGAGATCACTTGCGTCTTGCCGGGATCGACCGTTGCAAATTATAAACAATAGTAGAGTTCAACTAGCGTATCAAACCCACAGGGTTGTCTGCCTGTGGTATAACAAGGTAATTTAGTATCATCAACTAAGCTGATAACGTAAATTAGCCACCGTAAAGAGTTTCAAAGCTGACTTTTCGAGCGTTAGCCCTTCGTGAGAGCGAATTACGTTATCAACTCAGTTGATAATTCTAAATTATCCTACAATATACTTCTAATGGATACAGAGATTCACATAGACGATGGGCTTATCGAGGCGGTTGAGTGCTGAGCGCGCTGTACAGATGCTAATGTGCTGCTAAAAAGCACTCCAGGAAACACATCCTTTCTTTACTTGAAATTATCGAAAATGACAACAGCTGAATCTTCGCAGCGTCAATCTAAAGGCAAATTCGTGCAAGGGAATTTTCAAACTAATGAAACGGAACTAAACTCTGGGCTGTGTGATGTAAAATTAAACTCTCTTTTTTTTTTTTCTCTACTACAAAACTCATTATTCGAACTTCAAGTTCCTCTGATATGAAGAAAGAATCTTGAAGAAACCAAACCAAGGATAACTAGAAACGAATTAGCATAAACCTTTTCTAATACAAAGATACCGAAGAATTCTTCTCTTTTTTAATTTCTTCAGGTTTTTAATGTATTTTTGTAGATGAATGATGTTGTTACTTGGGTAGACACCAGTTTGCTTTCGTTGTGTATTTCGCTTTATTCCAGGAGAATAAGCACGCATGTGGTGCTGAGGCTTTGGGTTTACGTTTCAGCTTTCTTATAAGTTTCATGAACGTTGCTCGGTTTTCTTTGTGTGAGCAAATTAGCGGTTCGTTGGAGCAACTGTTGATAATATGTTACTGTTGATTTCTCTTTTTTAGAAACAAGTTTCTGTCATCGTAGTTATGCATATAAAGCATTTCAGCAGCAAGGTTCGAGGAAGAAAACTTTCACTGTCGGCATTGCCCAGCTGTGATTCACGTGAGTAACTCAAGTTTTTAAACTGAAACGTAAAATTTTTATCGTCACATGAAGCAGTAAAAATATTAAGTGTTAACTCATGGTGGTACTTGGCTGAAACATGGCCATGCTATGCATGCAAGAGTTATTTTTTGGAGGGTGGGTGGTTTACTTGAAACATCGTAAGTGATGTCTACATTCTTATAAAAGGAAAGAAGAATATTAACGCGGAAAAGAACGAAAATGTCGAATGAACCCACTGCAGAGTGGGTCCAAACTGTAGTCTGAGAATCTAAAGAGTTTTTTCGTCTGGTATGTGATAACATGTCATCTTCCAACTCACCGAGCGTCACGCAATCGCTTTTCCGCGATCAGCTCTTTCACGATTATTTGCACTATTTTAGAATATTCCGGGCCCATTTCCTGATGAAAATCGATCGTAATATAATTTCAAGCTTTCATATATTCTTCTCACTTTGCGCGCGAGTTGGTTAGTGTGATGTCTACAGATTTCACCAACGTAATAAAAGTAGATGAAAATGTAGATGTAAACGAGATGTCACTATTGAAAACATAACACGCGCAACATTTGAGAAACAATTGACAGCTTTCCACGTGGTCCGTATTATCATCTTTTTAAGCGGTATGTGTTTATTTTGTTGACAAAATTGCGAACCTAGACCAAAACTGTTCCTTCGACTTGATATATTTTCGACGTTAGTAGATCACATCATTTTAACTTACCTCCGTAAATCATTCATTCCAGATAAAAAAATCAAATAAACATGTCAACGATGGTATTTGAATTCGTCCTTAGCCAAACACGAATGACTCCACAAGATCACTTTCTCCAAGCATCGACATCATACAAAAAAACGTCCATAGTTAATTTTAATCAGACATTCATCTAGAGATAGCACCGAGCAAGCCAATCCAGAAAAAGAAAATCGGCACACTCAACAAATCATGAATCTTATAACACAGCCGGCTTGCCGTTAAAGAACTGCTAAAATCAAAATGTTTGGTGCTACTCATCCACACCTCAAGCAATATTTGATTCAAAATTTTTTCCACTCACTCTCGTCGTGAAGGAACAATAACCATAATCGTGCTACAATGCACATAACTCCATTTTTTCTCGAACAACTATCCACCATTTTCACGGCATGAGTAACACGTTTACCGTAGGTAATCTGATATCTTTCATCTGTCCAGTAGTGTCGCATTTCTCATAAAGCGCGGTAAAATACACGTTAAAAACACACAAAAGCTAACATTTCTCATTCTGAAAGATGATTCCATTTTACGAACCGCTCTCTCCAAATCCCCTGTTGCTTCGTTGAAATTTGAATACCTCTCTCTGGCGCGAGATACATACCCTAATACGGCGATCTGATTGGTGCGAGGTACACACCCTAAACGATCTGATTGGTGCGAGCAACATACCACTCTCTATACGCTAACATAGACGTTTTTTTGTTATTAAAAAAAAATAACTCAAAAATGTTTTCAGTAAATTACGGCTTCCGTTTCATCTTGTTTTGCATCTTGACTTTTCAGTTTCACACTGACACGATATGTGGAAAGTGGTTAATTCAGAGCTCTAATTTCTCTTATTTCTTAATGATTTTGGTTGACAGCTCTGACCAGTCAAGACGTCATGAAATACAGCGTACAGTGCCTTAATACGATGAAGATGCGGCGACCGTACAGTTTTGGTAAGACAATTATCTCTCGGTAATCTGTTCGAATTGTGATTACAACACCGTATCACTTTGGAAGATGTTGTTCACATGAAGGTGAAATAGTTAGCAGTACACTTTTAGAGGTGTTTGGTCAAGACTGTTTCATTACACGTGCAGCGTATCAGCTTTCTACGACCCGGAAGGACCTCCTCCGATCCGAGTGTGGATGTATGATCGGTGATATTGCTGTGGAAGACATTAGTCACTCAAAGGAAGGATGGCTACCAGTACACTGATAGAGGTTTTTGGTCAGATCGTATATCGCCTCACGCGCAGCGTTACAGAACACTACAACCCAGAAGAACCTGAATTCACGACAGAGTCTTTTGGCTACGATCCACTGCTAAGCACAGGTAGAGAATGGTATAAAGAGCCTGTTGATGAACTGATATACCAAGAGTACAGCAACAGAGAGGCCACAAACTCGAACTTTTTCGCACATAACATTAATGTCCAGGTTAAAGACGCGTTCTTACCAGAAGACAGTGAGGAGACAAGGGTAGATCAGAACGTTAAGGAGGAAGAAATGACTTGGAAACGTCTTCGTCCATCCTTTTCACAGACAGTTTGTAAATCGATGTGCTTTGGAGCGTTGATTTCGTTTCTTGCAGCTATGTTAATTGCCATGGTTTACCTGCAAATCTCCTATGTCAGTTATAAAACAATTCTTCAATGTCAGGATTATAACATCTCGTCAATTCCAATTCGTGTGCAGTGGATCAAAACGATTTCTGATGCGATATCCGTTAGTTTCTACTACTTCTGGATCTTTGTTACACTCCTGTTTCTTTTTCATCCATATCAGCTCAAAGGAATAAAGAAAAAGCTGATTCTGGTAAGCTTTGTAGCGTATTGTTTGGACATAAGTTATCGCTTTTCTCTTCAAGTTATTGGAAAGCCTTATTATGCGTCAGCCACTGAATTGCAGATTCCAATATATACTTTTCTCATCACCAGTATATGTTTGCAATTATATATTGTCGGGAGGCAGTTCTGCCCGCGTCCAAGACTGACAGGTTTATTGTGTAAAATGATAGTGCCATTTTGCTTGCCCCTTATTTCTGGAATGTTTACTTCGGATATTCTTTATAGAACGTATCTCAAACAAAAAGACACAGGCAGACTGATAATTGCATTATTTTCACCTCTCTTGGGGGTCGCTATAAAGGTAATATCAAGAATCTGTGTTCAACGATTATGGAACATTACTCATCCAGGATACTCTTATGTGTTATTGGCGCCTCTCTACTACTGCTCAGCTATTATCTTTCGAGCTTTACAAGCAGATCTTGACCATCTCCGGACTATCGCCATTCTTGGAGTTATTCACGGAGCTGCAGAAGTCATTGAACGAAGCATCATGGCGTTGGTCGATCATGTTCTCCATGTGTTGTGGAAAAGGAAATTGGCTCCTTGGGGGAGTTTTCGCACACCTCGTCGCGAACGACTCATGGCTGATATCATCATCTTGAGTATGTTGTCTGAATCTGTTGCTGTGGTGTATGTAAACGGACTAAGATACTTGCATGATTTTGTATTCGTTGGAAACAACTCTATAATTTGGTTGCTCAAGACCTTCGCAGTTCACACTTCAGTTCAACTGGTAATTGAGTGGCTTTTCACCAGTGTGTCTCTGGCGATCGAGACTCGTTATCAGAATGTGGCTGTGATGGCTGTTTGGCGAAGAAGATGGAAAAGACACATATTGTTAGCGCTTGTAAATACATTTCCAATCGCTGTATGGAATAGCTTTTGTCTCTTAGTGTTATTTCGTGCTCGTTATAAGGAAGTCCTTAACCAGCCCTGTAAGATGCCGTTTACTTGAAAACTTTCTCGTATAAATCTTGCTTTTGTTAACGACTTTATAACTTCCGTCTATTAGGATTGATCAAATTTATGTGAGGTGTTACGAAATGCTCATGTCAAGTTTTTCTGACAATCTGGTCATTCTTTAATATCTTGGTGTAATTAAAATGTTAAATTATGTCACTGAATTTTCGGTCTGCGCAGAATTTTTATAAACCTGAGATTGTTAGGGTTCAAAATTGCTTTATGTGCATATTCGGTATGGTTATACCGAATCTTTGGTTCATTATAAAGGTCAGTCCTGTGATTTTTACCAGACACATGCTAACTTCAGAAGTTTTCAAACTTGTTTTGCAATTTCTTAGAGTTGTTGTTTTTAGGTTTTATCCACACAGAACTATGAAATGTGTAATATTGTAGAAAGTAGGTTAGATATTTTTCTCTGCTATATTGAAATCCGCTCAGAGGCCTGCAATGAGCGCAACATGAATTGTATATATAAGTATATTTTGGTTTGCATTTGTTTTGAGTGATCGGTTAAGCATGAAAAGAAAGGAACATCGATAAAAAGATTCGCCAGAGGGAATGAGCAAAGTAAATCACTTATTACGTTAATGTGCTTAACGCGCCCAGAGAGCAGTTAAGTCGCACCCTTCATGCTCATCAATTTAAGATGTTTGCGTTCTTTTTATTGTTTTATCAAGTGGGTACTTTGTATCCTTAGTTTTTGCAATCATACCGTTTAAATAAACATACATTACACTTCGAGCAACGGCCAGTTTCGTCACTGGCAAATATGCAGACTTGTCGGATATTTTGAAATTGGGCTGGCTGCCTGTCAAAAATGACATGAACTACAACTTGTGCAAACTCGCTTCCATTTTTTTTTTTCACAAGCGAAAGCGGAAATAAACCTACAAGAATAATCAGCCATATTTAGTGAGAAAGCTGATCGTCGCTTTTAATGCCATAGCTAGTATTTGCATATAATTATATCAGTTAGCCATGGTCACCCTTTAAATATTTAAGGTAATCCTTAGATAGAAGCCTTAAATAATTTTTATATGCAAAATGCAGTATGCAGTATTAGCAATTTTGTAATAATGATAGATTTTTAATTTAACTGGTTAGTAGTTTGTAGCAAAGAAGAGCCGCCCCTCCGATGGATACGCTAATAAACCATTATTATTATTATTTTTATTATCATTATTAATAATGAAAGTTCTTCTGGTTCTGCGGAGAGGAGAGACAGCTTGGTCCAAGTGGGATTTTGTTTCTATCAAAACATATCTTTTTCACCAAACTATTGTGACAATAACTATCTTCAACAGTGTTTGACATTCTGGTAAACTTCGTTTTGAAACTGATGTGAAAATCGTTTAAAGTTATGCACTGCGTTAAGGAGCTTTGGTGCCGAACCAAACACGGGGTTGTCCTTTTTTTCAACTCGTGAATTGCGCGCATGCGCAAGAGCGAGTTATAAATACGATGTGGGGAATGGCATTCGTTACTTTGTTACAACGTTACTTTGTTTCTTTGCTACATTAGCGAACACTGAACTACTGCTTGTACTCTAGATATGACAATCAACCACAAAATTCCCTAAACCAGATAACATTAAACATAATCTAAATCAAAGTGCTCTGTGAGCAAACTCGTGAATTGACACATGATTTTGACACATGATGTTTAATGTTATCTGGTTTAGGAAATTTGGTGGTTGATTGTCATATCTAGAGTACGAGCAGTAGTTCAGTATTCGCTAATGTAACAAAGAAACAAAGTAACGTTGGGATAAGAAGGCATTACAATTGAAATGATCATGCTATTACATTTGACAAGGTGGATGATGTCATGTGTTTTAAACGTCTATCATTTTTGTTTCTGGTTTAAAAGAGAAGGTTGGAAGTAAATGTGGGTGAAAAGTGAAATTTACTGTCTCTCATTGTAAATATTAGAAAATCAAGGCAATACTGTCTTAATAAAAACATTAACGATTCCCTCTTTATCAAATCAGACAAACTGGAACGAGTTTTGAGTGATATAACTAAGCCAAGCCTGCCACCGTCATTTTGGATCTCCGCCTGGGTAGATTTAAGTCACGTGCTAGGCAACGTATAATCAATAACAAGATAGAATTTCATTTCAGGCCTATTTATCAATTTTGTGGTGTGTAACTTTCGCATTTTAGTACGTTGTATGTATGTTGAATCTTCAAATTGTCTTGAAACTTAAAAGAAAATTGTTCTTTAAAAATTCACTGAAAATCGGTAGCTAAAATCGTTTGTTTAGGTGTTATCTGATTTTCGTGTTAACTTGTAATTTCGTCAGTCGCCGGCATCTTTTGTTGCTTCACACAGGAAAAACACACGCGACGAAACGTAATGATCAATTTTGTCCTCAATCTCACGCCATAACAGAAAAAGCTTTTGAACATCTGTAAACTCCGAGCGCTTCGCAGTAAGTAATATTTTCAATGAATCTTAGGATTGTTTTCGAGTTCAAGGATTGTAAATTACAATTTTATGAAAAACGAAGGTTGTTCTGTTATTTCAGTGTGAACCCTTGCATGCCTGCCAGTCGCTGGCGCCGCTTGTTGAAACTAAAACGAAAAAAAAACTCTTTTAAGATTATCATTGGCTTCTTTTTCACCCCACCACTATTCTTAGCAACAAAGGTCGCCATTTCTTCTGTTTACTGTTCGCTAAAAACTATCAAATGCACTCAAAAGCCTAAAATCTAAAAAAAGTTTACAGGAATCGACCAATCGAGCGAGCGAGCGAATGCCATTCCCCACATGGTATCTATAACTCGCTCTTGCGCATGCGCGCAATTCACGAGTTAAAAATCATGTGTCAATTCACGAGTTTGCTCACAGAGCACTTTGATTAAGACTTTTGAATAGTTAATTATCATTTAAGAGGGTTTCTTAAAGGTTGCTTAGTATTTCAGTTCAAGTTTTGCGCTAGTAATTTGTATTTTTCTGTGTAATAAATTTTTGATTTTTCAATGAGAATAAATCGATATATCTGTGAGTTAGAGGTGGAGAATTTCAGACTTGGCAATCCAGAGCTACACAATAAGTGGCCACCCACCGTTTGTAATCTTGAAGAAAGATAATTCCTCCAGCTAGAGGAGGAAACAAGGATGTCCTCCGATTCAGCGACTTAACAGTGAAACAAATTAATATCAAATATCACAGAAATTCATACCGGCACATAAACCTCTAATTTGTCATCCCATAAATTAAATTTCATTTGCACCGGCGTTTTTCCTGAAAAGAAAATGTAATTCTCAATTGTTAAAAAAGGGTACAGCCACCAGAATGGTTGGGGTTCAAGTTGTGATTTTACCACAGCAAAATTTGAACAGTGCCACTATCATCTATTGCACCGTGAGATACAAAGTCAAATCTCCGATGACACTGAAGAATCGCTACTTTCAAGCGGTAACTGAATTATTTTTGGTTAAAATTTTCAATTTCGGTCGCGTGTACAGTTGTACGTGAGAGTATGCTGTTAAATCACGGAAAATTAGAAAAATGTGCTAATTCGATTTGAGGTTAAAAATTTAATTAAGGAGAAAAGTAATCCCGTTGCATTTGGGAGAATCAAACATAACTTCAACCAAGCAACGTAAATGAAATGCAACTACTACCGTTATGACGTCATAAAATGTGTGGTAGATCCTTAATGAACAACCTAATTTCTACATGAATGTGGGACCCTCCAGAGTTCTCAGCTTATAATTCAAACTATTGTTACACGCTGTTTTTGATCATATTTCGAGATTGTTATCAACAATTTGTCCTCGCTAGTTAGGAGATTTAACATCTACCAGCACTTAACAACTAATTCAAACCCGTTTGTTCTGATCAGTCATCACCTTTCTACGCTTCAATTCTTGTCTAAGTCGCTTTATCGTTTTAAACGAGAAAATCGATTGTTCCACGAGCCCGTTTGTTTTGCCCGTTTGTTTTTCTTTGAGGTAAGACAACACCTTAAACATTCGTAGAGGGCAGATCGGAAATCGCGCTTTCCCAGAACCAAAATGACTGGGTTGATCGCGGAGGCAGTGAATCTTGTGTAGTAAAACATGAAATACACTGCCCAAAAAGGTAATGACTCCAGAGTTTCACCGTCCTCCATAAGTTCCAGGATGAAGTATGGCGCCCAACAAATGAGGAACACGGCTAACATGCTTGCAAACACCACAGCGACTTTCCACTTCAATGCAACATTAGAGAACGTTTGGTTTTGGTTGTCGTCAAGAGAGCGGACCTTCCGTAGCTGTGCCTGTTTTTCCACTCTGTACAAGCGAACAAGAGCAAAAATACGTGTGTAGCAATAAACCATCGTAACCAACGGTACAGCGAGGAAGAGGATCATCACAACGATGGAGTAAATTCGGTGAACTCGAAGCTTGTGCTCATAATAATTGTCGTCCGGATAGATGATCCAAGACAGCTGAATAAGAGACACAAAGGCAGCACAGACCCAACAGGCGCATACCAGACAGACAGAAACTCTTTGCCTTGAGAGGGAATCATATCTTAAAGCGTGAACCACTGTGGCAAACAGATGCAACGTCAAAACAGTCAAATGCAGAACTGTAGAGACGGATACAAACCTCCAGAAGGCAGCGCTAGAGAGGCACCACGATGGAGTGTGAGTGACATTACAGGCCAGGTACAAAGGTATCCCTACCACACCAGCCAAAAAATCACTCACTGCTAAGCTTGCTGATATACCATTGCTCACAGTTTGGAGTTTCTTTCTACGAAGAATCAGGATCAGAGCGGTGGCATTGGCGATGACTATCAATACTGCAACAATGACAGGATAGATATCAAAGTGGACAGAAAATCCGTTCATCAATTCTTCTTCCATCGTCTCGTTGCCATCATCTTTGAACTCCAAATCGCTCGCCATCGAATTATTCTGTGCTTTGTTTCCACTGTTTCGAGGGCGCTATTTATCACGTCAAGTACAAGATATTTATGTTATGTTATCTCGTTGCTAAGCATTAATCTTACTTCACAGATTAGTTGACTTGTCCTAAGTAGATTAGGTGCGAGTGCTGTATCTCCTTGGCTGGTGTCAAAACCAAACAAGTTCTTTACTTTACATATCTAATCACGCTCTCTTCAGCACTTCAGACAATTTTCCTAGGGTCAATCAGTTAATATCTTAAGTGTTGATGTGCCCTCTCGGCTTGGTCTAACAATAAGTATGCATCAAACTTTGTTTCCCTTTTCGAAATCTTCATGTAAGACTTAAATCTCATGCAATTTGTTTAAGCAAACTCAAACATTTATTAAGTCAAGAAGTATCAGAGGCTAGTCTGGGATACAAACGTTGTCAATAAACTCTTCTGGTGGGTATGATTCGCGTCTGTGTTTATAAACAATAATTGGTAATGCTTTTAAGGGGTTTGTCTCAGGTATTTGAGCATATCAAAGATAACCTAGCCTGCTTGTATATTGTATAGGTAGATCTAAGCCCTTAGCAGCATATTATGATACCAATGTGATCTTCTCATCCTACTGTGGATCCGTTATCACTAGACATTCAGTCTGTGTTTTAATTGACAGACGTAATTTATTGCTGATTCTTCATAGTTCCTTCGAGTATCAGCTGGCCTTATTAGGATCTGTTTGTCGAATGTTCTTCTTTTTCTCAGGGTTGAGTTTACGTTTCTTGAAGGCGACTTCGTTTCCGTCGCCAACTGAACGGAAAGTAATTTTTGGAGTTGATCGTTCTTTGAATTTTACTACGGTCGAGTTTGGTTCGATTGTTGTTTGTTGAGTCTCGCTTTCGCTGACAGAAGCAATCTTCGCCCTGCAAAGAGAAAGAATTCTTCTGCTTCCATATGTATCATTCAATACACATTGATAACTGTCACATTTAGGACTTACACAGATCAGTATTTGAAAGAGCTTCATGGAATCAATGTGGACTAAAGGAAGATGAATATTAAGCGTCACTCGGTATTTCAGAAGGTAATTTGGAGCCTATTCTAGAGAGGCGAGTGAACAATTCCGATTAGTTTCATTTCTGAATCTGTTTGGCTTTAGAGTTGGAGCCCAGACTCCCTCTTCTCCCTCTTTTTACAACTCCTACAGCCTCAAAATTAGAGTCTAGCTATCCACTGTCACAAGCTATCGCAAAGATGACACAATGAAGAATGGCTGACCGACATAACACTTACGTTTGGGGAGGAGGTTCGAATGTCTGGACAGTTGTCCATTGTCCATATGGAGAGTTTTTTACTTGTTTCTTTTCCTCTCTCTGAACTTGATTCTCTTCTATTTTCTGTGTGGAAAAAGGCAAATTTCAAAAATAATCTCAGAACATGGTATAATTAAGGGAAAGATATCAGTGAGTAAAGCAAAAGTCACCATAAGACTTGCCCACAATTAAAAGAAATGATTGATAGTTTGATCTGCGGTTGATAACAAACAAGGCAATGATCCTTGCAATTGAAGTGCAATTAAAGAAATAGCATCATAAAAAAATACAGATTTTAATGTGATTTGAACACACGCCTCCTAGACACTAATTGAGTGCCACCACCAACTAAGCCAAAATGATATCTTTTGGGAGTAAGGATAATTTTAGATGGCTCTTTGCTTGTGTAAAGGGACCTGCTCACAGTTAAATAAAATAAATCATATTTGGAACTGTGGATGATATTGAGGAACAATGTGCTGTAAACCTGATCACATTAAATAATTATTTGCCAAGGACAAAGTGAGTATTGTTGACTGATTCCAAAGAAGGTACAATGATTATGTTAGAAATTCACTGAGCCTGGAGAAGGAAATAATTTCAAGAACTATCACTCACTCACAGCTGATCATCAAAGCAATTGCATTTCCTTCAGTCAAGTCAGCAACATTGAACATAATGTGCAGAGGCCATTTTGAAAATAAGTGCTTCAGTATTTATAATAATCACCTCAGATGGGGAGGTTATGGTAAGATACTACATAATCCTTGACCAATGAGAAAGTGTCTTGTTTTTATAAGCACCTCTGCCATTTAAATAAATTCATGTAGTGATAGCATTGTCAAAACTGAAACACAATTAAGTTTAATTCTCAATTTATTTGATGAGAAATCATGGATGGTTAGTGGAAATTACAGTATGTAGTTTCTGAGCTGGAAAATGGATTTGTTTAAGGAGTCAATTATGGCTGAACAGACAAGCAGAGTGTTAATTTGCTTTCAACCAACTACATGCATATTATTCTGGACAGTATTTAGTACAATACCTACATTTTGAGAGTTTGTCTGATCCTCTTTGCTCGGTGCTTTATCTTCCTTGGCATTTCTTGGGCGGATATAGGAGACACAAGTATGATAATGACAATTAATAGCAAAAAATGATTAACACATTTCTAACTTCATACAGAAGTCTATCACCAAGTCAGATAGAGAAAAATGATCATTTATAAGTACAAAAGTTTATTAATAAGCTATTGTACCTCATGTCCTGATTTGATGGAGTCGATAAGCAACTGGGGGATTCCCACTGAGATGCTGAGGATCAAAATCAAGCAATACATTCAGTCAATCAGTCACAATCAGGAAGTCATTCAGTCAATCAGTCACAATCAGGAAGTCAATCATTCAATCTGTCAATCAGTCAGTCCATCAATTAATCTGTCAATCAACCAGTCAATCAGTCATTCCATCAATTAATCCATCAATCAAACAATCAGTCAACCAATCACTCCAAAACTTAAGGAATCATTCTTGTGGTCAATGAATCATATGAATTGTAAAATTAAGAAATCAATCCTATCAATAATAAATCCATAAATTTAGTAGTCATTTTATCTCAACATTTACGGTTTGCACTATATATTTCTGAACCCATCAACCAGTTTTTGCCAACTTGAACTGATCATTGTTGGGCTTTGACACTACATGTAAGTATTGTTTGATAAATCTAGCACCTTCTTAAAAAAAAAGAAATTCTAAAATATGGATTGTTCACCTTGTGTAGTTGTGTTGTAATAATAGTAATAGCCTTCTGGTGCTTGAGCAATGTTCCAACCATGGTTGCAATGCATAGCGGGTGTTTGTCCCTCATAAGAAATGACACATCCTATAAACAGACAATTAAGGCCTATAGTTATGTTACTACACCTTTCTCAACAATCTTATATAAAAGTTGTTCATCAAGAAACAATCCCTCACTAAAAAAAACCTCAGCTTTTGTAAATCTATGGCCCATCCTGATGGGACATTACACTTGGGTTTCTGAGGAGAGTGTTGCACATGGGTTCTTACCAACAGAGCTTTCACCTTTGGAACAAGTTTCATTTGCTTGTGTTTTTTGTGACTCTGTGTTCGATTCAGGCTTTGATTTTGATGGCTCAATGTTTAAGTCTTTCTCATACGCCTTCAGTGCTGCCTATTGGAGATAACATGACATAATTGAAATCTAAAACAACACCAGTTTAACAGCCTCAAAGATGGCAATCATGCAGTAGGAAATACATTTCCAAGTACTGTCTACAGATTGGATGGTAAGTGAAGATTGAAACAGGACACTTTTTATAATCAATGGATTAATACCTCTATTTATGTTGTTTAAGCACATCCTTGTTTTTAGCATGAAAACCAGCCTTTACAGCTATTTAAGCTCTGTGGGAGCAATTTTTTAGTCAAGAAATCTTAACAATTAATATGTGCAGTGAGATCAAAGGAAATTGGAAATAAGAAGATGTGATTCAAGTATTCTGATTTTCAAGTAATTGTCTTAAGGTCTGGTACCTATAAGCTACTTTGCAGGAATTCAGAGCATATCTATGTTACATACTGCTTCAATGGCTTCTAAATCCATCAGTAGTTGTTTCTGGGCCTGAGAAGTTTCTTTGCCTTTCTTCTGAACCTGGTGAGCAGAGCAAAGAAAAGTCCAACAGCAGCTGTGTTCTAATCAGCTCTTTCATATGAAATATTGGCAGGATTTAAGGCAAGGAAGTTTCAAAAACAAAGACAAGCAACAACAAACAGTATACCTGAAGAAGGAAGAGATTAACCTTCCATTTCTTCCTGATAGTGGACTGCTTTTAGCAAGGAGGAATTTTAATGAGTGCACAAGTTTTTATACCTCAGTGTTTGTCACTTTAGCATTTCTATATAAGTAAATAGGCTTTCAAAGAGTACAAGAACAAAGATTTATCCTCAGGAGATTCAGAGGGTAAAATCATGGAAACAAACACACAACATCTCCCTTACCTCTTGAATTCTTTTCTGTACATTTTCTTTGTGTTTCTTACCCCTCTCATGAAACTCTACACTCTACAAATTTCCAAAGAGAAGAAACTTTCTTTCAGCTCTCAGCCTCACAGAGAAGAGGACAAGAAAACAGAACCTATCGTGTGGGCACCCCTCTATGACAATTTTTTAATACAAGACTAGTGTAAAAAAAACACTTTTTTTAAACCAGAAAGCATCCGTTGTCAGTCGTAATCTGACGAAACAAATTTAAACACTGGTTACGAAGGTAGAATAAAACTGTATATGCCTATTTAGGGCATTGATGTTGATCCTGACGTTGTGAAGTCAAATAATTGAGATATAGAAGTTAACATCACTTTCACACAGGCTATACAGACTTTTTCATGGGTCTCATCAAACAATTCCATGTATAATCAGGACGACTGTAATGTTCCTTTTCTTTTATTCACCAAGACTACGATTTAAACAAATGATCTTCAAGCTTTTAATTAGTCGTATACTAAATCTTACTGCTTTGTTGTCAGTGATCCAGCACTTGCAAAACTCGCACATTTTTTTGGGTTGCGACTTCCAGTACTCTGCCCTAAAGAGAAACACAAATTTAGAAGATATTGCCCCACTAGCTCTTAACTTAAATAACTTCACTAGCTTACATCTGGAATAAAATTCCCTCAAGTTATGGTCCACCAAACCACAGTTAAGATGGTGCCACTGAGCTGTCTCGGTATATACTTCATATAAAAACAGTGACTGAAAATATCTTTCGTGTATGCTACAGTCAATTATGACCACTAATGACCAATCAACACAGTCTAGAGGAAGTCTATAGCAGGTACAGCCATCCACACTGCAGATAGCTGAATGACTTGAATATACTACAGACAGCGTAGATACTATTATGTACTGTAAAAAATCGTGAATACTCTTATCTGCTGTAGATATTTTAGATAGCTGTATCTTATCTAGGTGGTGTGGACAGCTTTATACACCGAGGTACACCTTACCCAGTGTCGATAGTTGTACGAATTGTTTACGATTTAGATTACTAAACCAAAGACGTCTCTACGAAACCGATTCGTGAGACTTATTGCTATGATTCCGATCGTCGTGAAAATAAGAACAGGCGTAATATTTTTGCTGCTTTTCAGACGAACGGAGGCAGATGCGAGGAACATTCTGTGAATAAATAAACGGAGAAACGACTTGCCTATTTCCCCATTTTTTTTTTTACAACAGAAAGAAAAACAGTATTAAAGTTCACGTGGCAGAAAAATATTTTATTCACCTATCTTAAACTACTGTCATAAACTGAATTTACATACACCCCGCGCAAGATTTTTGACATCTATTCATGAATCTATTGATTCTTTGAAAGAAAGCGAATCTATAATTGTAAAGCGATATTCTAAGCTCAAAGGAGTAGTTTAACCGGCCCGGGGCTGAACTTAGCTAAGCTGATACAAACAGAAAAGAAACACACTTAAGACCAAGTTAGTATCACCCCCTTTCCAGTAGGATTTAAATTTTTCAAAATGAAAGATATCGATGTAGTTGTCACACAACTTCTGTTTTATAAACAATGACAAATGACCCCTACTGACAGTTTGATTCTTCTGTTAAATACCTTAAGGAAACATTCAATGCACGAAAAATAACATGCAAACTTTACGTTTTTGAGCTTAAATTATCTCAGAGGTCACAATAAGAGAGGCATATGAAGCGCAAACTTGAACTAAACACCAAATCCCACCGCCATCGAATGGAGCCCAAACTAAGCATTATCGCTTCCTTGATCCTTTTATTGTTATTTTTAAACCAGTCACAATTGATAATCGCGAAGAGTCCGTCTCGTAAGACACAGCCAACCAAGCATGGAGAGGTGTACCGCGCAAAGAGTCAGATCGATTCTCTGATTTACAAATTAACACTTGATTTAAACACCTTTAATGAAAAGAAAAATCTAGCTACCGTCATGCAAAAAGATGCCGAAAAATTATCTCGAATTGCCGAAGATGAAATCGCCTTATTGAAACCAGTGCAGCGTCTTTTGGATCAACTAGTGAAGGGAAATGCTTCAGGTGGAAATCAAAGCTGTTTTTGCGGCATTCGTGGTGGTAAAACAGCAATAAACATTGCGACAAAAAGCTCTCCTCTGCCTAAACATTACACTATAACTGTACAAAGTAAGTAAAAAATTTAATTCCTCAAATCGTGCCATATCATCAAATAAATCATCTGTATTATATCCGTTTAAAAGTTTTGGACTCGGTGATACAACAATAAGTTGATTGATCCAGAAACTTTCGACATCAGATACCGAAACTTTAATTTATTATTTTTAGTTATTCAAGATACATTATCTCTATAAATTGTTAAATTGCAGCTCTTAAATGTTACCATTCCAAATTTCAGTGTTTTGAATGAACTTCACAAACAAATTCATGATGCAAGTCTAGCAAATAACAAACCGCGCGTCAAGAATGGAGTTTACTGGATAAAGACTGATCTGCAAGGAAGCTCTTTAGTGCAGACTTACTGTGACATGGCCAATGGTGGCTGGACTCTTGTGGGAAAGATCAGTGGCAAAGTTGGTAACATCTACAAGACTTGGCTTGTGTCTAACCACAACACTGCAGCACTGAAAACTCCAAAAATCACTAAAAATAAAGATTTTGGCTGCATGGATGCTCGCAGTCTGGCTGTTGAAGCAGCTTCCACGATTCTGTTGTCCAGTGGTGAGAGGATGGATGGCTTAGGAAGCAAGTGGGTTATGTGGAGACTGCCGGGAAACAGAGAAAAAGAAAAGTTTTGGAATCATGCTATTGGTAAATCCGCTGTGCAGGAGGCCGTTGTGACACCTGTACTGGTGCATGCATGGAATGGAAACAAAAAGGTACCTAAGAACGCCTTTTATTTTAAACTGTTTTAAAGGCGTTTTATTCACAGCAGCTTTGGTCTTGAATTAGACTTGTGTCCTTAGAATACACAAAACACGCATCAGGTGAAGTTTTCTGCAGTAGAACTCTCCAAAAATTTCCACCGTAATCAATATTTCGAGAAAATGGAAGATACGGCAGCAGTTTGTCTCAGTCGTCTAATTCTGTTGAGTTATTAGTTATAAGACTGTGACATAATCCGTTAAGCTCGTCTTTGAAATTGTCATAGGTTTTAACAAAAGGCGTTGGTAAAAGTAGCTTGGAGCCCTAAATTGTACCACAACCTATTCATCATTCTGAACTTTCAATTTTCTTTCTATTGTCCATAGATCTGTTATCAAAACGAGTTTGGGATAATGCCTTATTCTCTTCATGGAGGATCGTATCCCTACACGTCTCTCAAACACGGAGGCGGAATTTTGGCTGTGAACGACTACTGTATGGCTGTGGGTGTCAACACTAAGGGTTCTCTGGCGCACGGCTGGAGAAATAATGGCCATGCTAACGATTGTCCAAGCAGCGATTCTGATTGGCCCAACAAGTCGTACAAACACGGTTCCCCTTATCTGACGGTGTGGCTCAAGTGACTATGGCAACGACCTCCGTATAGAAGGTCGTGGTGATTTTTTTGCTTCACCGTGGAATCTATATGAGTCTAGTTTATGTTAAAGTTCCACGGGTCTTTATATGGATCAGATTCAATAATAGGGTAATGCACAAAGTATAGAATATAGGTAGGTCTAGCATAAGCACAAGTTACTCGAGACATTTTTAAGGACAAATCCATCAATAGAAGTGGGTTTTATCACTTTTCTGTTTCCTAGTCGTTTGACACTTTTGCCGTTGTTTCTTTCGCTGTTGTTGTTGTTTTCTTTTAAAGCTTTGCTTATAGTTTTAGAGTTTGTCACTTGTACCTGTGTTGTTTAAGTTTTTGAAAACAAACAAAAAAAAATAATAAAATGGTGTTGGGTGTAAACTGTAAGTGCAGACCCTTCCTCTCTTTCTTATCACCAAAATATATTTCTCGGAAAAAAATTGGAAAATGATGCACTCCTCGACACACTGGACGAACTGGCGAACATATTTTACACACAACCCTGTGTCTCAGTTAGGAACAGATTTATTTTATCTGATGGAATTCTATAAGTAAACAATATGGCACCTACCTTGAAAATAAAAAGGGTGCCACTAGTAATAAGACATCTAAGTACTTCATTTGTTATTTTTCAGACAGTTAAAATTCAAAATATGGCAAAAAAAATCGAAATACGCACAATTTATCAGGCACAAACAGAGTTCAATGAGGCAAATATTCTGTGAGCTGTTTTCACGGTTAAAAATTGCAGTTATATTCCAAAAATTACGATTGTTGAAATAACCAGGCCGACGCCGTGATAACACTGGAGACCTATCAAACGCGTTACACATCCCTTCTGAGTGATCACAGGGAAACGCCCAGTGTGCAATCAGCTTTTGACAACGACCACGTGATCGACTAACTGCACGTGCACTGCAGCACTGCCCGCGATGGACCCACTCAACTAACGTCATGATGAATGGGACTATGGACGTCGTGCATGCTATGAGTCTGTGAAATGATTCAATCTGAAAAAAAAATCCAAATTTAAAACACACTTAAATCTAACCGCTTATAACTTTAAGCCAATGAGAGGACTGGTAACAGGTGTCTGCACTATATTAAGATTGCAAAGCAAAATGCGTGCCAAAACTAAGATGCAAGCGTGACAGTAATGATACCTGTACAGTAACGCTTTGCCTCTGTCGTTACCGATGGAAAGATATCCACTGTTTGGAGAAAAGTCGAATGCATTTACGTATCTGAGTGAAGTACGGGACGTGGGCCAGTTGGAGAAAACGGAAAGTGAAGGAAGATGAACCTGAAAAACAACAAAGAAAAGCAAAAAAAGTAACTGATAAAAATTTTCCGCCAACAGACTATCTTTTGCTTTTCATGCCTCAAAATGTTTCCAAGGATGCTGCACTGTGACGGAATCTGTGTTTTGAAATTTACGCTAAATTTTCAGTTAATTGATTAACTTTTTACGCCTTGTAAGATGAAGATTTCTAGAAATCTTTCCACCTTTTTAAATCTTGATCTCTTCCATACGTTTTTTCTTGAATTCTATAACATACTTCTCTACGGCGTTATACGAAAAAGTAGTTACCATTTTAAACAAATCTTTTCTCGCTCTTGAAGACATCGCCAAGATCTCGCTGCGTATATAAAAGCAGGAAATGATTAATATAGTACATGAAGGAAAATATGAGTAAATTTGGTGAAAAAAAAAAGGTAGCATAGAGTGTTACTTTTTGACGGGAAGGGTCTGAAGTTCGAATTTTTTTTTGTGCCCTTTCCTGTCACAGGTGATTAATATGTTTCCTTAGAATTCAGATTGTCATTTTACTGCAAACTATTAAGTTGGAGTTTCTGCTCAGGACAAACAGATGCAATTCTTGATCAAAGTGGTTGAAATGCTGAAAACTTACCTTGTAGAATTAAAAGCAACGTTGTTGATGCTTGTAGTCAAATTCATGATGGCCTTTAATGGCTTTGGTTGCGTCTGATCTAAACGTTGATTGTCATAGATGTTTACAACACCGCTATCAGATCTGCAATAGAAAAAAGTACAGGTTTGCCTTGCATCAATGGTGATCAACAGCCAATTTGTTTTAAGCACATGCATATGCAATGGAGAAGGCCTTGACAAGGCTTGTACCCATGCCTCCCTGATAATCGTTGGGTGCTACTACCCACTAGACTACAAAGCCTTATGTTTTGGAACCAGGCAAATTCCTTTGAGTTCTTGGTTCCCCAAAGTGGAACTTAGTCTCAAATAGAACACAAAACAAATCATATAATATTTGACCTGTGATTAATATGCACACCCACCCGCAAGCTAAGTACTGTCCATCTCTGGATGCTGCCAGTGAGGTGGAGTTGAGACACCCTTCGTCTCTGAACTTATGCACACAGCTACGAGTGTTCATGTCCCAAATATACACTTCTCCATCATCTGTGCAAATGAATGAGGAGAAATCATCAGTTTAGGGAAATATGCATTATCACATACATGTAAATGTACATTGATGGAGACAATAACTACACGGGAACTACCTCCTGCTGTAAACATACGAGATCCATCAGCATTAAAAGCTACTGACTGCACTGAGCCATTCATCTTCAAGTTTCCAATCCACTGTTTTGTCTAAATAAAAAATGAAGCAAAATTTACAATGTAAACAGCAAGTAAGTCACCAATAAAGGAGTAATCAGATATGTCCTGAAGTTCTTTTCCACAGATTTTCCTAAAATTCACATAGTGATGCTTATAGTCCTACACCCCTGAATTCCAACAGATTTTAGTAAATAAATACTTATGTAACTTCTCACAAATTCAAAAGCAAACAAGATACGAGAAAAAACAGTCTCATCAAAAGAAAGTTTCATCCTGATACAACACAAAATGATCTTCAACAAACCAAAAGCATATGTACAGGGGCTGAGGGAGGACATCCATCATATAATGACAGGAACTCTTATGACAAATTTATTAATTTTTGGTAAAGTCTTTGTGATTGGTCATGGTGCCTTAGCTGACCTCATACATGTAGATTGATTGTACGGAAGGAGACTTACCTTGCTTGAAAGAAGAATTATGTAGCCATTGGTACCAAGAAAAATAAGATGTTTCCCATCTGGTGAAACATGAAATTTATCAAAATATCTCTCCTCTCTACCTGCAAAGAACAAATCAAATATGCACAATAAGACCTTCCATTTATTGCACAACATTTTCACGAAAAAAATTTGTATACTTGCTGATAAAAATCTCACCTGAATTTGACTTGATTTGTAGTTTCACAGTCTTAAAAACCTTTGTGAAATAAATACTAAGCCAATGGTTGTATATGACAAATCATCAATACCTCTTATTTCAGGAATTTTTATCACTTCTCCCTTGATCATGTCATAGACATAAAATGACCTTCTCTGTGAGGCCAAGATAACCTGTTCACCATCTGAACTGAAGTGAGCTGTGTGAATGGGAAACCTTTCAAGAAATACACTCTGAAGTTTTGGATTTGTCTGTCCATCTATCTGATGATGACATAAAAACATTGTATTATATGTGTGTGAGCAAAACTGTATACGTGTCTATACAAATGAAGTAAAACCTGATTAAACACTGTAAAAAAGAGGTTTTTTTTAAAATTTTTTTGCTTCATTTGGGAGAATGACTAAGAGAGGTGGATGTACAGAGGTCAACATTCCCAACTCCAGTTAAAGGGTTCAACTCCAATTCAAGAACTCTCTCAGTGCCTCTGGAAAATTGGACAATTAAATTGTTGTCTGTTCAAGATAAAGAATCACTCCTGAAACTTTAGCTTTGAGCTGAAACTTTGGAAGTGAGTGGTTTGAATACCCAGGCACAATACTTGTCTTCGAAAAATAAATTTAATAACCTGACAGACAAAAATGAAATACAAAATTGTTTACCTGGAAAAGATCTAGTGTTTTGTTGAAGCCTGCAGTGAGAAGAACCTTGGCACTTGGGTGGAATTCCACACACTGTAAAGTTGCCTGTTAAGAGACAAAAGGGGCCTGATATGTTATACAGAAAATGCCACACTGTGTATGATGATCAGCATTTTAGGTTTGGTCCAGATTGCCTATCAGCATGTGGTGTTGGCTAGCTTAAGTAACAAGTTCTTGTCTTAAATCTGTATTAATTTTTTATTAGCTATCTGGATTAGTAAGTTTTTTTAGTATAATAATTATAAAACAACAACAAACTCTGATTCTAAGGTGGAGGAAAGGGTAGCCAACAGTCTGTGTATCTAATACACATACAATGAAATAAATATTGTGACACCTGACAACAAACAAAAATTAAACATCACATTAATACATCAATTCAACATCAAAGGTGCATTTGAATGTTTCATATTTCACTTACATTTGACGGTTTTTCAATATTTGCATCTTTGATTCTTTTGATGTCAAGAATACCATGGGGAAGATTATTTGCTTTTTTAGTCAGAAGATTTCCTGCTCGCTGTAGTATCAAGTCTTCCTCTTCATCTTCGCTAAGAGAATCTTTGATACAAAGTATAAAACAAAAAAATTAACCATTATCTTGTGGATAATTTCAAAACTCTATCAAAATAATAACACATCGTAAGAGCTCTTTCATAATACCTTTCCTCTTCTTTTTGTCCAGGTCTGCCCAACTTGCATCACCATATATTTTCTGAAACCTATGTTTGGAGTAAAACAGATGGTTGTCAAGTATTGAAACCTTTCAGCACTAACTTGTAGCTTCATTTAGTTAAAAAAAGAAAATTGTCACTCCTAACACTAGTAAGAGTATGGAGAATAAAAAATTGTGGATAGTTTAGACTATAAGTTAACTAGAAAACTCAGTTAACTAAAAAAATCAACTTACTGTTGTTTCAGCTTTTGAGTATATTTTTTCCCTGTAATAACTGTCTCATCTTCAGTTTCCCGTAGCTTTTTTAAACGTGACATTGATGTGATCTCGATTCTACAAAACAGTAAGCAATGATAAAATAAGATACTGATGGTACACTCTATTGAACAACATTGAACCAATCTAAGGACCACATTTAGATATCTTGTGTCATGTCGCTGTACAAAGAATGCTTTTGAACATTATATGACCTTTTGTTTTCTTAAAATGTAGCCTTGTTTCGTTTTGATTGTGTGATTATAAAATATCCTTTTGGCTAGCCACACAAACAGTTATTTCAGTTTAGTTTCCTTTACGTCATAGAAGTATATTAGGCCTTTTTTCAAACAAACATTTTAGTTTTAAGGAGTTGTCCCTGGAGCAAAGAGGAGTTTTATAAGAGTCTTTCAGAGTTTTTTTACAACTTGGAGTTCATTCCCGGAGCCAAGATCAGACGTAAGTCACGATCGTTAGTTGTGTTTTCTGTCGTCAGATTTGTAGTTTAGCTCGTTTCCTTAGCTTAGACAGATCGTGCATTCCTTTTAGTTTTCACTGCAAGTGTTGTAACAAGTCAGCTAGCCTGATTACATGATTTAGTCCAATAAACGTGTGTAAGAGTCTGCTGTCCGTCCTGTACTCCACTGTGGTTGACCTGGCGGACCCAGTTACGCTGCACCCCGTGTCTGCCATGCTGGGAACACGACATCTTGTATGTATTTTAAGCCAAGATTTAAAAGTTGAGGGAAATATTTTTATGGAGCAAGTACATAGCAAACAGGCCCCTTTCTCACTCAGTATGACTAGAATGGCCCAATGGCCTGTCAGTGAAAAGTATAGTTACATTACTCTGAATGCAATGTACTAAAAAACATGAAATACATGAATCCTTCTACTAAGTGTGAAAGAGAAAAGAGGGACTTAACTTTGTTCTCAAAGAATGAGCAAGGTCTACATTTCGATGGCTCAGTGACTCATCAGCTTGTAAGTAAGACTTGATGCTTAAAGAACATGAAAGATAAAACATTTTGATGGCTTGATAGCTCATCAGCTGCCCAGTAGTTGCATCCATTTGAATTTGATTAAATGCAGCCACCAAGCCATGCAATTCATTCAGTGAAGCACTTCCAAAAGTGGCCCTTTAATCAACAATTATTGCCATTATTATTTAACATACTCCCACAGTACCTCTCTTCATCATCAGCTTCATCTTCCCACACTGGCTTTCGCTCCTTGGTGATTTCTTTATCATTCTTTTTAGTAATATAGTGGAGTTCATTATCATCATCATCATCATCATCATCATCATCATCATCACTGTCACTGTCACTTTGATCTTCGTCATCGTCATCATCCTTGTTAATATAAGTGTTATTTTCAATACATGTACATTTGGTAGGTTGACAAGCACGTTCGTAAGGCATCCCAGCTCGTTAAACAAAGAGCAAACGTAAGATGTAGATTCTTTTACCGAGTGCCGCAAGGCTATATCATTGCCTAAAAAAATGTCCACTCAAGGCAAGCCTTTGCGTGTCGATTTTCACATTTCTATAACGATAATCAGCATTGACACTTCTAGAGTGGGAATTTCAAGGCTATATATAACCTTTAATTTAATGTGTATGATACTGAGTAAGCCACATGCAACAATTGACATTAATAGCACATATCCACAATAAATAAGATGTTATTTTCACCTCGTCATTTGAACTAAAAGCAACTCGATCTTCGGCCAAGTCCTTCTCAATTTCTTTAATCACATCGCCTTCACCTCCAAACACTAGTCTTTCCAAAGTTCTCTCAGCTTCGTCATCTTCGGTCTCAGAAGCCAGGGTCTGTTTCTTTACTTTAAAAGGTGTCTCTTCAGAGCCTTTTTTTCCAAGGTGGCTTTGAACTTTTCTTTTTAGCATCTCAAAGTATGTTGTTACTAAAGAAAAACAGCTGAAAAATCAGGTTCAAAAGCCAAATTTTACACACGCGGAGTCAACGATCAGCGGTTTCTGTCAACTCGTTAATGGTGTGTTATATACAAATAATACTGTGTTTTCTCTCTTTCTATTCTCTCTTCTATTTCTTTCTTAAATCAAAAAATATTCTGACACGATACTTAGAAAATAAAATTCAGAATTCAAAGCTTTTTTGGATAGCAACATTCATTTTTACCCTTCCTTTGGTATATTTTCCAATTCGTGCATGTTACATGATACTGTTGACACCTCTTCTGCGCGAATTTCTCCAACTTGATCATGGATTCCGGAGTCGACTTGGAAGCTTTTGAAGAGCTGACGAGACTTACCGCAGACCTTGCGGTAGACAACTCAGAAGATGAATTTGAGGATGAAGACATCGAAGAGACTCTTTTGTTGGAAGAACTTCCCTCTAAAAAATTTTTGGAGCAATCAGTGATAAAACAGCGCGAAGATAACATCTGTCCATTTGACATTCTTCCAGAGGAAATCATTCTCAGAATATTTTCATTCTTTACCCTTGGTGAATTGTGTAGACATGTGGCCCCAATTTGCAAAATGTGGCTACATTATTCCAGGTGTCCACTTTTACGACAGAAACTTTCATTCTGGGAAAGTAGCCGAGAAAGATCTCTTGAAGAGATCAACGACATTATCCAATCGAATTTTACTCTTCTCAGAGACCTCTGCCTTCAGCCGAGGATGGAATTGACGTTACACGGCTGTAGATTGTTGGCACAATCATGCCCTCATCTGCAGACACTTTCTTTGTCTTTTTGTAGTCAAGTCAACAAACCGATTATCGATCAATTTGTCACGTTTTGCCCAAAGTTACGTGACCTTAACCTAGCAGGATGTGGCGTGACTGATCAGTGTTTGGATGGCCTGAACAAGGTACCCTTGAGGAAATTCAACGCCTCTCATTGCACTAAGCTTACAGACGATGGACTTAAGTTTCTTTCAACAGAGTGCCATCAACTTTGTCACCTAAATTTTGATGGAATTCAGTGGATCACTCATGATGCAATTACAGTGCTGGTGGAAAATTGCTATAGACGTCTTGAGTATCTCTGGCTTGATGGCGAAAACATGACTGATTGTACTGTTCAACTAATTGGGAAATGCTACCATTTGAAGTAAGAGGACATTTTGAATATGTGATTGGAACAAGTTGACTGTGCTCTTAATTTAGGTAATAAAGTCCTTGTCTCAGCATCCAAACAGACCGGATATGAATGGAAGTCGTAATACTTGTCATCCTCACAAGCTTGGTGATCAACTGTTATTATGATTCAATTTGTTTCAACTATTTGATTATCTCAGATATTTTCCCTAGGTTAACTTAACAATGGCTTCACAATGACATTGAAGCATTGGTTACTTTCACTACTTTTACCCTGTCAAGTGATTGATGCTAAACTCAATTTAACTCCTAGAAGTTATTGACATGAAACTTCTCCCTGTAATATTCATACATTATTCAGCAAACAGGAAATGAGAATATTCAAACTTATCAGGTAGAAGCTGCCATCCTTATTTAGCACCAAGCTTTCATAACTAATTCACAAGGAAATGTGTGGCAGTCAGAGAGGAAAATTAACAATAAGATCTTGGGAATTTAAGGGTTAAAAGAAGATTCATATGAAGTTTTGTGGGAGAATCAGGGGCCTGACACAGTGAATGCATGGGACTCTTGATATTAGACCTGACCAGGTCATGTTGTTGTTCCTGGTCATGGAACTTTCCACTCACTGTGACTCTCTTTACTCAGGAATACAAACAGGTAGCAGTAATCTCTCCTCTCTCCCAAGAACCTGACGAAATGCTGGGGTCATCTGCAATGGTCTAGCCATTCATATGAAAGGAGGGGGGGGAGGTTGGTAATATTCTTCATCACCTTATGCTATGGAGACCAAGTAAAGCTGCAATGTGTAGTGAGCTACCTGCCTCAAGTGCAGACTGGATACTAAGTTTTTAAGCTCAATGACATTGACTGTTTTTGATGAATTTTCAGATGTTTGGGTCTGTCGTTTTGTACCTCACTAACTGACCAATCGCTGGAATGTGTGCAGAACATGAAAAATCTTGCATCACTAACGTTGAAAAAAGGTACAGAGTTTTCTGCCAAAGCTTTAAAAGAACTTTTTGAACATCTTCATCCACAAAATTCAGGTAGTGCTACTGGCTTATTCCATGTCAATGTCGCAGAGTGTACAAACCTTAATGATGAAGCTGTAAGCTCGCTTGCTGAAAGGTAATGTAGAGTAGATTGTCATGGTGATTATAATTGTTAAATTTTGAAAAATTTTAGCTGTGACTTTAAATACATGTAAACTATATTTTACACTTAAGATTATTACTCTTTCAAAACATGAAGTACAACAAACTAATTTTTTTAATAAAAGCCCTTGAAGCTTTAAAGTTTTTTTTTCAGTTATTAGCATTAATTTCTGTGGTAACTTGCTTTGAATAGTGATGTTGTTCAATCTCAATTCTGACACTTCCATCTGATATTAACAAGTCTGTTTGAAACTGGACAGGTGCATCTGATTTTGGATGTTTTTCATTTGATCTTTAAAAGGATAGCTTTGTTAAATTATTAAACTTATCAAAGGTCATAATTTTCTTTTAATATTTGGGCAGCCTAATCATGTCCTTTTATATTTTTCAAACAGCTGCAGAAATCTGCGAAGCATTGATATTTCCTGGTGTTGGGAAGTTACTGATGTTGGCCTTGCACATGTGATCAACAAATGTCACCAAATGATTGATATGAACATCTGTGGCGCTAAAGACTTTCGTGGAAATCCATTAAAGAAAATACCACAGCAAATGCCTAGATTAAGACGACTTGATGCATCACAATGCAATCTGGTGCCAGATGAATTATTGGATGAACTTGTGTCAATAATGCCACAAATGACTGTTATTAATTATTATGGCGAGGAAGTTCTTCCACCGAAATATATTAGTGAGACCCATATAGTTAAGGTTGGGACATGGTTTAAATGACAGCAATATTATGAGTAACCTCAGTTGATTATCAGGTTTCTAAGCTCTCAAAATACAACTTGGGAACAGGCTATCATACTGAAGGGTTTTTGTCTATTTGGTGTTGTTTGACTGTTTCTTATGGCAATTGAACAAGATCAGGTGTTGATTTTATGAACAGGTACTTGAGTTTTTGTGAAATGCTTGTTCTGTTCAGCAATCTTTGCTTTCTCCTTTGAGATGGGAGCTTATCAGATCTATCTCATGGTTACCTTCCTCCTCCCCTACCCCTCAGTATTTCATTCAGTTTCCAAGTCAATTCACTGGTATTTGGAGAGAGGCAATATGTCTATTGTAGCTTCTTACCCAAGAACACAACACATTGACCTGGTTGGGTCTTGATCGTGGACCTTTCCATTAGAATGATGCAAAAAATGCAATATACATAAAAGGGTAAAGATTGAACCACAACAAACCTCTCCGAAAAACTGAAAATGAAACTAACCCCTGAAGTTTGTGTGATACACTCAATTTTTATTGTCACTAACAGTTAACCACTGGATGACAGTGAAGCATTTTAAAAACTTTCAGAAGTTTCACATGTATGCTGCCATCAGCTTAATCACTTCTACCAGCATGGCTGTTTCTTTCCAGAAAGCCTGTGATCAGAGTTTTACACTCTGGGGGAGTATCCTGCCCAATGTAAAAAAAACAAAACAAAACAAGACAAAGAAAATTAAGGATAACTTGAAGGTTACTGAACCCCTTTCAAACTTAGGTGTGAAACTTAGTAATGTCTCCTCACAATATCAATACATTGTTAACCAGGGGGGCACAGCACAACAGTTTCTCTAGAAACTTACCCCCTTCATAATGGATGACACACAGTCTGGGCTTTGTCTATTGCACTCAAGACTGACCTCACAAGGCCATGCAGTCTCTCACTCATGATGAAATCTTTCATAAAATTTTAATAGCAACGCCGGAGAAGGAGGATTGTAATTTTTTTCTTGAGAATAGTTGGGTTTGAAGGCATAGAAACTTAGCTGTAGGCCCCGCTTACCTTCTTATATGCTTCAAATGGTAGCATCACATCTCCCTGAAAGATGAAAATGTTTCCACAGTGATTCACCTTAGTAATAGTTTACTCAAACTACTGGCAGGTTTATTGTTAAGAAAATCAGTTATGCAAACCAAATGCTTTTGTTGGCTGGTTACGATGAACAGCTTGCAATGAAGCTGAGAATATTTGGAGGACTTTCTTTGACAACTATTACGAATGGCTGAAACATCATCGGCTCGTTGTGTTCAAGTTTCATATTATATAATTGGGGGAATGATGATCTATTGGCTGACAATGTGATCACGGTTACAAACTAGGCTGGTTATTTTTAAAGCTCTGTAACTCACTTTGCTGCCATGTGGATTTACTCTGTATATATAGCCTGTGGATTGGAGAAGAAAATATTCAGTGAGATGCCATCTATTACGGAACATTTACTTACATGTGATGATTTAGGCATTATTAAAAAATAATCTAAAATAGCGTGAAAAACATTTATAGTATCCTTAACTAATTTGGTAAAGAAGACCCTCATTTGATGCCTATAAATCATCGATAAAAATTTTAACTTAAAAGATCATTACAGTTGCACACGTTGACAACGTAGCTACCCGCGAAGTCAAATATTAGGAACATTAAGTACTAGTGGTGTCTATGATGGGTCATCCACTGCTTCTTAAAAATGTTCGACAGTGTCGCATTAGGTAAGCTCTTTTTAATTTATTTTTCGTTAATGTGGCTTGGATATTCTCTCGGCATGATGTTTACGTCACGTTTTTTGAGGTGATAGATTAGCCTGTTCCGCCTTTCGTCATCGTTGGGTGTATGTTGTAAAAAGCATAAGGAAGCCTGCTTGATGTTACCGCGATAAGTCAGATTGGCTGCCATTTTCTCCGCCTTCTCCACTTTCTTTTCCTCTGGAGGGTCACCTGTGAATCAGTTAGCCGGATTCAGGCAATATATGTTGGACATTGACATTTTTACATCAAATGCTTGTAAAAAGATGGATGCGGCTGAGGTTGTTTTAAGGGAGCTACAAAAGAACCTTCTTCTTGTGAAGTTTGTAATGGTTTCTTTGCAGCGATGGAAACTCAGTTCTTCATCGCTTAGTTTTTTAAGTATGCTGGTATTAAAAAAACAAACACACTAGAGGGGCTTGACATATTTCTGCTTATGGTGAATATTGATTTTTTAGTTAAGTATAAAAGCATTGTCAAACTAGTGAGGTTCACGACGTTGTCAAAATCCCAATCTAACAGGATTCTTTATCGTTGCCAGTTTACGACTGCATTGCAAGCACGTTGTAATTTTAACTGACATCCGGTACAATAAAACTGACATAGAAACTTTTTAACCAACCTTTTGTATCTATTTCGCCATCAGCAAGCTCTTTTCCAGCCGTAACAATCTCATTGTTAAACTGGATATTTTCTCGTGCGTGTTTAGCGAACTTTTGTGCCGCAGGTGTTAAAAACCTCCTACAAACTGTGGGCCAAAAAAACTTACACAATTAAAAGATTTAAACCTCCCCTAATCTGAAAATTAAATAAAAGAATAATTTTGTGCTTTAAAAAAAATAAAATAATTCGTGATGTGTTATTTTCCACCTTAAGTAAAAGGAATATATCTGGAATATTTATTTCTGTCGCGATAAAAAATATTCGCATAGATAATGTTCAAATTATTCAGGTAGAGCACCGACCCGCAAATTTTGAATAAAAGATCAAGCAGTCCTCCCAGAGAAAAATTGGAAGACCAAACTCGACCTGAAGTAAAGAGTTTTACACTGGCCCCTCGTATCTGTACACCCACCTCCCATCAGAAATATCAACTGCTTAATGGCGGATAATCATAGTACCTTTTGCCTCTTGAACCAACTTCATCAATTCATTTTTACAAGCTGTAGAAAACAAACAAATAGAAAAACAAAGAAGATAAACATAAAACCTTACTTTACACTGGAGAAGAGGGAACAGTTGTGTGCTGTACCCAGTCCATCACGATGACGACATTTTGCCTTTAATCAGCACAAATTCCCAATTTAGTCCTCCAATTCTGGTTAAAAAAATAATACTCTTCATTCCTGAGAGATGTACCCGTGACCTCAAATTGATGAAATTACTATTTAAAAAGAGTTTTTATATTTTGTTTGTGTAAGCATCTGTATAACTTACACACTAACCAGTAGTGTGCATTGTAATGAATTAGATAACAGAAAACCATCCTGTCTTTCACTTTATGTAAAAAAAGCAAACATAATCGTGCATGCAGCTTGAGACGAAGCCTGAACAACAGACAGTTCTGATTTTGATTTTACCGTTTACTTTCCTTTTTCTCGATCTTTTTAGGTGCTATAAAACAACAACTTCCTCGAAAACTACCAACCAAAAAACTCAATCGTGAGAGCAAAGTAATCCGTGGACTTAATATGGCGTTGCGGCTTAAATGTGCTCAAACGTGTCTGAGCTTTTTGTAGCTTGGATTAGTTTCAAAATTGTGAAAGATATTGTATTTAATATTTCACCTGCCCAAGGAGCATAGGAACGCAAAGCATGAGAAGCCGGCATGTTTTTACCTGGTTCCTCTTGTGGTATTTCCTCTCTCTCGTTGATATATGTATCCAGATCTGCTGTCCAAAAAATGACATAAAAAAACTTAAGGAAATTAAAGTACCTTAAATACGCAGTTGTAAACTGAAAATTTCGGTAGCATTTGTAATAAATGCAATTGATGGCCTGGAAAAAGATCTCCTTAAGTTACAATATAACTTCCAACTGACTCTCCTTTGTTTTATATCCCTGACCTAAACATGAAAAATAAATTTTCTTTTAACTACATGGCTGCCTGGTATTTTAAAGTCTTAGGTAATTTTGTGTCGCCCGCGCCCCAATACTTAAATTTTTCCTTTCGTATAATATCATAAACGCTTTCCTAATAAAGTTATTTGGTCGCTTTTATCCATGTCGAGTCATCTTTGCTATGACTAGCAAATTGTGCACGCGACAAGTCTTTCTGAGATAAGCCCCTTGATTCCAAGACTGGAATTTCAGCTTTTTGAACGAGACTCATTGAAAATGTATCGGTGTAGATGATGTCAAACGTGGTTTGAGTAGAGAAAATCTTCACTGACGTAAGTGTCTACTGTCTCACTGCCTTTTGCCTTCTTAGCTACAAGTATCATGGTAAGAATTTACACCTTCATACCCGCTGGAGCAGATTGGACTGTAAGATAAACTGTCAACAGAACTACGGCAAAGATGGCTGCCCCCATGATAATCTTCGGACAATTCCTAAGTTGACATGAAATATTTCAGTTCAAGTAAGCCCGGTTCGTACCTGAAAAAGTCTATGTCCAGTGTGGGTGAGTGGGTAGGTCAGTGAACCGACAGGCTGGAATACGTGTACGTTTTACACTTACAATAAATTCAAGAAGATAAAATCAGGTATTTGCTGTTTTGTTTAAAGGAGGTGTCGCACTCTTCTGAAATTCTTCAACTGAAACTTTGAAGTGACCATTTGTCCATTTTTTTTACCCGAAATTGTCACCTACCCCGAATTTTATTAGTCGTAAATTTCTTTCCAATACTGACCTTTGTAGAAGTAAAAGAGAGAAGGTTTCCTTCTTCACTCGATTTGTAATGATATGACTCCTGCAAGAGGTTTAAAAATGTCTTATAGTATTGTCCTGCATAAAAATCTACTAGGGGAGGAAATTGGAGACGAAACAATAAAAATATATATTTATAATTCTTTGTGCCGATTAGCTATCGTGGTGGAGGTCTTTTTCACAAAAGAACTTGACGCTATAACAGGCTTATTAATTGTTGAATAGAGATCGATGAGGGAGGTTTCAATCTTATCAGTTTTAGCGTGGGACCAGAATCTTTGAAAACTTTATGTAGCAGACAGTATTTGCACTACAAAATTATTTTTTTATTAGACCTAAAACAGCATGTTACCCTCTATGAACAATTACTTAATTTGCGGCCAATAAAAATAGTGAATGAATACGAAAAACCTTAGCAGGGTTCTTTGCGAATATGAGATTAATTTTCTATGCCATAAGGATAAACCAGTTCTGATACATCTATTGCTGTCTGGCAGCTGGCAGTTGTAGAAAACAAAGATTAGGTAACATTATGACATTAGATGAATGTTCTGTTCCCTCGAAGGATGATGAAAAACAGTGATGTTGATTTGCTCGAAAGAAAGGTAAGAAAGAAAATAAAGAGACTCTTGAATGTTTTAAAATGGTTTTAAATCCAAATTTACCATCGCCGAGGTAAAATTGACAATTTTTACACTGGGCTAACACAATAGCACCCTTGGAAAAAGATGGTGCATCAGCCTCCTCCAGTTATGGGGATTTTCTCAGCAACAGGAACAACAACAAAAAAAGCAACAGGAGGTTGATTAATTGCACCGTATGTTACTTTCAATCTCTGCTGAATTGAATGATAGTCTACGGGAGAGAGAGCGAACGAAATGAAATGCTCATCGGACCTCAGTAAGGACACTTGAGTACGGCTACATATCAGCGTGGGATCTCGTTTCTTTTCTAACCACAAACTTTTCAAAGCTATCGATGGTCAAAATAAAGAGATCGCTCTTCGGTCGTTATTTTTGGAAAACGAAAGGAAAAAAATGGCGACCGAGACTGTACCATAAGATGAGTTACCTCTCCTGCAGGGAGGAGTTTCAGTTTTGCCTCAATTGCATGGTTAACAATGAATAAACACTTTTAAGGTGAAAGTAGTTTTGCTTGTCATTCATTTGTGCAAAGGCTCAGAAAGTTTTCAGATAGACGAAAGTCCTTGACTCAGTTCGAGTGACTTGATTTTCCAGGCTTCAAATAAAGTACCCTCACGTTTGTGACAGACTTGAAACTTGTTTGCATGGCTGATCTGACTGACTACGAAGGATTGAAAAATTCTTATTTTCAAAAATGGAGGCAATTGACGAGAGGGGCTCTTCGTTAAACGTCACGGAAACTGAAATTAGGCATATGCTGCATCGTGACAATAAGACGAAAAGATAAAGTTCACAAAGATCTCTGCTTTATTTTTGCTTTTGATAACATAATTCTATGCTACAAAAGATGTGCACTACATTAGTTCATCGTTAACAGCAATTCAGCCATTATCTATGTTCCATTATTTCCTTCCTTTATTTCAGCCTTTGAATCCTGTAAGATGAAGAAAAAGTCCAGGCAATCTTTATTTTCCACATGATGCTTAAGTGCAGCTTCCCTCAAAAACCACATCAGAATTTTTCTTTGTCGATCTAAAGGGAAGCTCTGAGTTATCGGGGGTTCTAGCCATCGGGGGATTCGATTGTAGCGGATAAGCCGGGGAATATTAATCCTGTTTTATATTGTTATAACTTCTCTGTATTTACATTTAGGAGCTGACCGTGTTGGATTATGAACTTACCTTGATAGGTCGGCATGTTTGTTTTCTTTCTCCACATGCATGGAATTCCAGTCATTAATGGCTCCCCCTGAAACAACTCATCGATAATAACATTCAAACTCAGTTTACCGACACTTTGAAAATTTCTAAATTTCAACGACAACGACGATACAAAGTACAATCTCCTTGGAGGGGAAATACTTTAGGATGCCGTCTATTATTAATTCTGGGCAGTATAAATTTTTGAGCCTAAGAACAACATTAAAAGTGCCTCAGAGTCGGACGTTTGTTATGGTACATACAACTACAGATTGAAAAATAAGTGATTTTAAATCGATCAATCAATTTACTCTACATTTTTGTCAATTTCTCGACTTGAGAGCTTAGGCTGTGCTTGTCATAACTAATGTACACAACTTACAAACCGGAAGTCCTTGACACATAGAATGTTTTACCGTTGACTTAAAAGTACTGAGTGAGTAATAGGCAATGAATAAATAAAATCTCATTTACTTCCTGATCTCTTGTGGTTTGCAAGCAGTCCTCTACCCATATCGTGGTCACGAACTGAAGAATAACATAACGTCATGAGCATGAACTGTTGAGGTTCAGAATTTAATACAAGAGACGAATGATGATTTTGATAAAAGTTCCATTCACACCTTTCTTAAAAGTATCCTCGAAAGCTGCAACGAGATAAAAACAGATATTAATCACTTAAGTGATCACTGTTTTTCACAGAGCCTATAATTTATCATTCAACTACTCGTTCACATCTGATATCGCTTTAGTATAAGTGTGTGCCTCTCTTGAAACATTGTTTCACGATAAAAATTAACTTTTAGGTCTGTGCAAGACCTCCATAGACCTAGCGAGGCACGATCAGCCAACTCACAATGGACTGAAATTGCATTAAGCACAAAGCAGACGGACTTAGTATGACTGAAGATGCCAGACAACTCCACAAAGACCAAGTTATAATTGATTTAACGCCAATCAGAAGAGAGTGGAGTAAGGACATTCAAGTCATGAATGAAATCGGTTCAGGGAGAAATGAACTGGTGTAACAAGATGGATAAACAAAGCACGCACGAACTGCAAAGGAGTGCATTTTAACCAGGAAACTAAGCTAACAAAGTAAAAGGAACTCACCATCGACGACTTCCTCGGTGTCGCCTGCGTCCTTCACCAAGTCTGAAAAAAACACATACACGATTTTCCATAGGATTTATAAGTAGCCAAGACCGAGAGTGTACCTGAATACTCTGTTGTGATTAATTGTATATTTGGACAAACTGATCTAAACTACTCTCAGACATTGACTCGTCAAACCTGCCAACAACTGAACTAACAAAAAAAACCCTAAACTGGTTAATTTCATAACCAAAATCTTTTTCGTCGTATAATCATCGAGCTACGGAACGAAAGATAAATCCTTACAAGTGAATCCTGAAAACTGGTAGAACGTTCTTAAAATGTGGTTTACTATTTCACGTTTGCCGCAAATGAATTTACTCTTCTTACCTTGTGTAATCAACTCTTCCACATCATCATCTGGTGAAATAATTCAGATAAAACAAAAGCTAGTCAAGTTACAGTCACCAAATCCATCATAGAAAGGTGGAACAAAATAGATAGTTTTTGGAAACGTCAAGTTGTGTTTTCCTTGCTTATTATTCTTGACAACTAAGGACCACACCCCTCCCCTATATGCCGCACCGTTGAAGAGGAAGTTTACACACTTACCAGATAACTCTGACGTAAAGACCTTTGCCACTGAGAAATGTAAAGATCAGGAACGAAGTGTTAGAGTATCACATTGCAATGTTAGTTTTTTTGCGGGTCTGTTAAGTGCTTGCAGTACATTAGGACAGAAATAACTCTGCTTTCAGATGGGCTTTTACATGGTCTTATAGCCGGGAAACAACAAATTTTAGCCGGCAAACAACAAATGTGATCTGCTCTCCTGTATGTTTAAAAAACTCAGTAAAGACATGCTTTAAAGTATCCGCAAGAACTATTTGATATCTCGAAGAAAAAACAGATCAGATTCTATGTGAGAAATTGAGCCAACAACATAAGATCTGCAACTTGCAGTTTGAGACGAACTCAGCGTTTGACCTTTCTGCGAGCGGGATCAACTAAAACATATTTTTTTGCCGTGAGTTTACAATCATTCACAAACAAAAGGTGTCTACTCACAAATGGCGTCGTGGAACGGATAAGAAACTAAAAAGAAATAGAATATTTATTAGTTATCATGAGTCATGAATTTAAGAGTTTTAATCTCCACAAATCCTAACGGTTGAAATATGAGATTCTATAAGATCAAGTCTTAGATATTTTCTTTACACTTTAAACGATTACCAATAGGAAAAATGAACATTTCTACTTACAACAGGAGTCAGCTGAGGAAACTAGTAAAAAAAAAGGAAAAATAGTTCTTGTTAAATGGTTTATCTTGGAAGTTTATCCTCAAATGATGTCTTGAAATGTCGAGGGAAAAGCCGAGCACAGGAAAGCCGATTTACGTGAATGAAAGATGTGTTTTCTTCTAAGAATCGTTTTACCGAGTTACTTTGTAGAGCCAAACGTTGTAAAAAGGCTAACTTTGCTAATGATATGGCAATAAAAACGATCAGCGAGGAACGACAAACCTGAACAAACAGCAGCGATGTTTAAAGCAAAAATCTCCAAGAAAACCTTCAAATTCATCATCCTCATTTACAGCAATCGAAGACTGAGATTTCCAAGAAAAGTTGAGTAGAGAATCTTATCGTTGAAAGTAAACTAATCAAATATGAAAATTCATATAAGTGAAAGAGATGCGAGCAATAGAAGGCAATTGTTAGTATTACGACTTTTGTCAGCAGATCTCAGGGTATCGTAGGGTCTTCCAGGAGTTGGAAAACTTTTGTTTCAGTTGTCAATTCCGCATTTACTTTGGTACGAAACAAAGAGTTTTCTACTCTCTTGTTTAAAGGAGCTTTTAGCCGTTCGCGTGAATTTGATTAATTCCGTTCGAAACAAAAAAATTTGTTGGTAACTCCAACGAGGTTATGTTCCTAATGATTTAACCATGATTTGATACCTAATCATTAATCAAAACTTAAAACAAGCTGAAGAAAAAAGTCTATTTTAAAAATTTTAATTACCCTTTGCCTTGGAGGCAAATCATGAATTTATTCTTACTCCCTCTGTGTGTGTTGACAAGATACAATTTATTCCTTTGGAAATCACTGCATTCATAAAGATAAATAGTAATAATAATGATTAGAGACAATTGCGATTAGACCCAACGGAGGTCTATACCAACGGATTGCATTGTGATTCTGAATCATTCAGAGAAACAAAACTGTTTTGCAGTTGAGGATTCTGTTTTCATCATGTTAATGAGTGCTGAGATTAGTATCTAATTGAAAAACAAAAATGAACGAAACATACTTTTCACACCAACGTCGAGACCCACGGTTTTAAAGAACGCCCTTGTTCGGTTTTAGACTCTGCTGTCCAAGTGCTGTTGTCCGATTTGAAAGACTTATCAAAAACGAAGCTTTAGGTATTCAAGACTCTTGATTCCTCCAGGATAGCAAGCACATGGAATCAATCCTACGAATGGTTAGTCCAGACCGCTCGTTCGTCATAGGTGTTGTACCACGTGTACTCCAAGGGGCAGAAGAGTTTCCTATACGTCATGGAAGGAAATTCATAATTTACGTTTGGTTGAGTAGAGCGAATTAGAACGTAAGTTCAAAATTATGGCATCAGAATGCTCCGATATTCCTTTTACAGTCCACCCCATACAGGTTAACCCCTAAATACAGGTTCTACAGAATAGGGGTGATACAGAAAACGATTAACAACGCTATTTTGTGCCATAATTTACCACTTGACATACAAAGAATCGCTCAAAAAATACTACTAACATTGAGTCCGGGGGAGAAATATGGATTAAATTTTATTTGAAAGATTATTCTTAGTTTTATTTGAGCAGTTTCGCATTAAGTAAAGGTTCAATACAGGCGAAAGACAACACAAGGCGACTACGACCGTTTGATAGAGGTAAAAATTACAGTGAGGAAGGGAAAACAAATCCCGTACTTTGCGGCCAACTGACTGCTAAATACAGGGTGACCGCTTAATACGGTGCCGCTTAATTCAGGTTCGACTGTGCGTGATTACTCCTAAAAATTTTCAGACTTTTCTACAGTTACTGTCTCCATTACAAAAGAAAATGTACAATTGAAAATGATGTCATACGTTTCACACCCAGTCATGGCCTACGCCCGGTGACGGCAGTGACAAAACATACTAGTTCGAGTTGTGAGGGAATATTTTTATTAGTGGTAGTTGAACGCCGACAGGTAAAATTTCTTAGAGTCGATGTAAATCAGTTGATAAAAAGTAAAGAGGAAAATGATTTGAAGAACTGTTTGTTAGCGTTAAGTTTTTGATGGTATAGGCGTCTATTCTGACGTCAGAAGTGGGATTCTTTTAAAGATGCCAGCTACGTCACAGGATGAATAAATAAAACCAAGATTTTACCTCTCCGATATCTAACGAGTTCAACACGCAAACCTTTGTCATCTCGTCGATCAGATACGCTGATTCAGAATCGTAATGGTGACTAGCTGTGTATCTTGCCTGGCTACAACCAGTCCCATATCTAACTCTGAGTTTGACTTCAGATTTATTTCTTGCGCTTCGAGACAGCCCCGTATCATTTTTGCTCCGTTTACTGGCGATCGAGTCCGTGGCGTTGTTTACTGTTTCCGTTGCTCCAAACCTCGTTGCATTTACGCACCAAAACAGCTATCGACACGAGAGAGAACTCTCCTGGATGAAATCGCAACCAACAGTGTATTTTCTTGCGGTACACCTCTGTTACCCCTTCTTCATCCGCTTGAAGACCGAATTTTTATGAAAACGCTTCGTTCCTGTGATGAACCGGTAGAAATGACATTCTACTCTAGTAATCTGGACTCCATAAAAACCTGTTGCTATTGTGGCAGTACAGACAATCCATTTTCTGAAACTGAAAAAGATCAAGATGCGATTCGGCGGCATCGTGCGGTGAATGTTCCATTATGTATGCAGTGCAAGCTGGCCGGTCGGGAAGAAAGGTCTCTGTTACCTGTCAAGAGAACAGTTCAAGACGAACCATGCGAATGAGGAGTAAAGAAATTGACGTGGAGTGTGCTTAAAAGCTGAAGGAGTCTGACCCACAGTTTATCTTTTAACGTTGCCATTATACCAGTGTATATTCATTGCACTCACACGACGCTTTCGAGCCATGGAGATGTCAAGGCTGTCTTCAATTTATTATTGTGATTCCATCAATACGTATAGCTCTGAATTCGTATCGAGTTTCATGGTTTTAGATAGTTTTCTTTATGATGGGGTGATATTGCAGCCAAGAAAAAAAAAACTTTTGAGTCATAGGACCGAAATATTTACATCGTTACGCCACAAGTGAGCTACTGTTTAGGCCATTTCGGAAATAGACTCTTGATTGATGGCAACGGCGATTTACCTCAACAATCAATGCTTGCAAAATTTTTTTTAATACCTCACCCGAAAAAAAGAGGAAGAACAAAAGAAAATGTTAGCGATTTCACAATATTTTTTAATTTTATTTTTTAAGTTCCACAGAGTATGGAAAAATTAAAATGGTTTTTAGCTTTATCATAATATTTACAAACATAGCTCTGTTAAAAAAGTTCTAATTGTAAAGAGTCCTGCCCAAGGACTACAGCTCATTACAATGAAATTCAAATGTTCTTACGTAAGTAGTAAAATTATAATGTTGTTTGACTGGCTAATTTCTACGAAAACAAAATGAATAAAACATTAACACAATAACTTTGAAGAACAAATGTTTGTCTTCACAGTATAACGATAAAATAATCTGCATGATGATCATCCTTCCGTCCACGACGAAACGAACTAAATTATTGAACAAAATGTCCCCCTCCATTAATCTACGCGTGGCCGACTGTTGGTCTATAGAGATAACCGTTCGGGCTTTTTCTTGACATTTAGTTCAATAAGAAAAAGTAAATTGTAAATGGAATTTAGCAACGTTGTTTAACTCGCCTTACTTTCCAAAGTAAACGCCGCTTACAATTAGCATATTACGACGAAGAGAAAATCAAATATTGTTTGTAAAACGCCTTGAAGATCACTATAAAATGAGAGATAACCATATGCCTGATAAAAATATACTTTGCTTCTATTAAGGGTAACCTGGTAAACGAAGCGTCTCTCGGTGCTAATGCGTTAATTATTCACATTTAAACTTTAAAAAAATAATAAAATGAAATAGATTAAAATAGTTTTCACTGACATTGACATCTTTAAAAAGGTCTCTAAAACTAGTCTGAGTCTACACCTCGGTACATCTTTCACCTACGAAAAAAGATGAATGCCAGATCAGGAAACATTTGCAGATGATGAACTAGAGATACAAACATCAGAATAGTCGTGGGTTCTTTTTTTTTTGTTGTCGTCCAATAGATCGATGCATCAACACGATAAATTAAAGGCCACTGAAACTGGAACCCGACAGTTAAATCACTGGCTTGTATAAGAAGGCCCGATAGGGTGATCAGATAAAAATAATAAGGTGGCTTTAGGATGGATTTAGACGGGGAAGAGAAGTCAAGAACAGCCCTTTTGATGCCCCCAAAATTGTTTTCGTTTGATAATTTTTAAGGAGTTTCTGAGTTCTCTCTAAAACAATCACCAAAACTAAGTGCACACTCATGGGCATTTCACCTGGGTTCACCTTGAGCGTATGTCTGATGTTTCACGACGGTCGCACCTAAAATGGGGGATTTGGAAAGTGTCTGCGGTCTAACGGGACATATCATATGTCACTTACCTTCATCCGTTATGTAACATCTCTCGCAATGTAACATGGAGTTGGTGATATGAAGGACTGGACTGTACTCGTCACCAAACCACGCTCTGCACACCACACAGCTAAAACAGTTAACATGCCAGTATCGGTCCAATTCTGCTATGTACATCGATGGACTTTTCTCAATTGAGGTGCCACAACTGGCACATATCACGTGATTGCTTTCGCCATGAATGAATGTCTCGTATATACTATAACCTTCAAAACCGTTCACTTCTGGAGTTGCGTCGGAATTTCCCGGGATGTTATCTTGGTAATACTGGTCTCCATTTTCTCTCAGCAGTTTTGCGGGCGTCTTGTGGTGAACATCACTTTCTAAATGTCCGTTAGTGGGCAGCACCTCTGCTTGTGGTTTTGAGATGTAATCTGAATAATGTCTTTCATTCTCTTCGTGTTCCAGTTGTTTACGAAGCGTGTATTCCTCGTCAGTGTGGTATCCGTTTCTTAGGACAGACGTTTCTGTATTCGGTCCACTGTAATTGCTATTTTCATCATAAAAGTGTTTGTTGTGTTTTTCTTCAGTTGGGAGGTCAGCAAACATTTCCTCATTGACTGAGAATTCCACGGGAGGCTTCTCCACAGGCGTAATGATGACTTCTTCGGCTTGTGCTTGTTGTCTCAAAGCAGCTCTCTCTCTCATCTGCCTTTCAGCCTCTTGAGCCACTGATTCTTCTTCTGCTTTAAGTTTCCGAAGATGTTCTTCCTGGTCAAAGGACTTTTTCTCTTTGCGGACCACATTGTCTTCGCTAACATAGTCAATTCCATTGATCCGCGTCAGCGATTCGCTACTACTGACTCTTCTGGGAGGTTCACTATGTCTAGTATCCTTCTTTTCACTTCCTATCTTTTTGCTTAAATTTTTCTGCCAATAGTCTTCTTCTGCTGCAACCGCTTTCAAAACGTCTTCGTCGCTGGAGTGGCTTTTCCTCGGTGGAATCTCATTTCGTTCGCCAATGTTATCATTACGCGCTCTCTCTATTTCTTCTACATCATATTCTTCAGCATCCATAGTCGCCCTCATTTGTACCTGACTCATGAGGTACTTCGAGTTTTCCCGCTGTTTCCGATTTTTTTCCTCGAATTCTCTTCTGTATTTTTCTCTATATTCAGCATCCCGCAACTGCTCTCTCACCATCTCTTCCTTTTGTTTTTGTTCCTGTTTCCAGCCAGCGTCGTAACCTTCTACCTGAACAAGGTTCGCAGCCACGTAAACAGATGTATCATTGCCAATCACGTTTGTACCTTCTTTCTTGTGTCCCTCATGCATTTCATCTTCCTGTTCATATGAAAAGTTTATGACTCGTCCCCTCGCGGCTCGATTTTCATCTTTCGGAGGAGATGTTTCAAACACCCCATCTCCCCACTTTCGAGTTTCGCTCTCTACCGTAGCTACAACCACAGGATGCAACTCAGTGTGACTGGAGGCACTATTTTCGTAATCATATCTCTTTTCTTCTCGCTGGAGTCGTCTTTCCAAGTACATAGTCGCACCTTGCCGATCTACGTCTGCATTGAAACCCTGTAAATTATCTTGCGTGTCGTGAAGTCGGCGTTCCTGAAAGTTGTTCTCTAACTCTTTCTGAGGCAAGTTGGATGGTTGACGTTCTCGCATATCGTCACGGTTGTAACTATCTTTCTGATCAGTGCGTGCAAACACGCCAAACACTTGTGGACGAGACGACATTCTGGGTTCTTGCGGTGGTTTATTGACTTCGTTCTCCCCGCGGTGTTTAATGTCTTGTAAAACAAGTCGCCTAGCATTTTCCATTTGTTCCTTATTATTTGGCATGGGCTCAACGGTACTTCTGCTGAAATACGAACTTTCTCTTTTAGCTGGAATTACATCTCTGTCATTCAAAACCCTTTCTTTGACTGGTATGAAGTCGTACACTCCAGGTTGCTCGTGTCTATAATCCCCTTGGCCTTCCTTTTGTGTCGGCTGTTGGGGTCTTGGTTTGGCAGTGACCATAATCGGAGAGCCGAAAACCATGGCATTGTCACCTTTGGTAGATACTTTGGTGGGCTGATTTCCATGATTTTGTAGACCAGGACGAACTTCTCTTGATTTCCAATCATCGTCATCGATTTGACCTTGATTCCTGCCACTGTAACCATAACTTCCTGGATAGTAAAGCCGGCTGTGTTCGTCTCTCTCGTCAATGAAACATTTCTCTTCGTTAAGATCAACGCTCTTTGACGAAAAGATTTCGTCGTTTCTATGATAACCAACATTTGGTTTGAACGGTATACTCTTTATGTTATCTCGCTGGTATGTTCGCTCATCTCTACGTTGTGGCAGAAATTGACCATTGTCTCTTTCAGCATATTCTTTATGGACATTCTTTCTGCCCTCGTGTCCTGGAGGATTCGGAGAGGCCTCAGGTAATTCCACCCGATTGGGCTGAATCCAGGTCTGCTTCACAACAACTCGATCATCTAATAGGGTGTTATTTGAAAGAGATCCATCCATGAGAGGGCTTTTATCGTAATAGCTATCTGAATCGGGAGAGTACGAAAATGGCTGTTTGTGTAAGTCATTTCGATTGTTATGATCATGGTCATTTGTTGAGCGTACTGTCACTACTTGCAACCCTCTGTCATCACGTTCATTCCAGGAAGGAGCATTATGCTGAACAGGCACTTCTTTCACCACCACTTCGTCAAACTTCTCTGGCGGAGGAGCTCGAATCTGGTCGAAGTATCCCTCTGGATCTTGAAACACGTCGTCCAGCTCCTCCATTCCAGAAATGTTCTCGCGATGATAGTGCTGCCTAACTCTTTCCTCTGCTTCTTCTTCTGAGCGGTTCCTTCTCCGCTCATACTCGTCATCTGAGTCGTAATCGTCTGGGAAGCCATGCCAACTTTTTGTTCTCATTTCGCGTTCGATACGCTTCAGCTCTCCAATGTCCACCAGAGATTTCTGTGCTGGCGGCCTGCCTTTTCTGGGAAGAGTGTTCTCTGCCTCGATATCTGTAAACTTCCTGGTTAGGTCTTTCACTCTAGTCTTACGCTGTACTTGACCCTGCAGTTCATCTGTTTTCGATGGTGGACAAACAAAATCCTTGTACGACATGTTTTGAACTCCAGCAGAGGGGGCATGATAAGGCTCTTTTCGACTCCTTTCACGCTCACTTTCTGCCACCCGCTGGGTGGAATGATCACGGATGTTATGAAAGGAATCGTCGTTAGAGGATTGAAGCTCGGAACGAGATGACTGCTTGATTTCCTCGTCATCAGGAGGTCTATATTTTAACTCCCGTACTTCTTTCCTCCACGGCATCTCTTCCTTCTCCTTTTCTTCGCCAGATAAAAAGCTCTCAAAGGATTTTTTCCTCGGTCTAGCAACAAAGTCACGATACGAGAGTTTCCGATAGTCTCTGGTTGCTTCTTGTGACGAATGAACATTTGTGGCAGACGAACGCTTCACGGGCTCATCTTCGAGCACTGATCTTTTCATTTCACGCACTTCTTTACGCCATGGCATCTCTTGCTCCTCCTTATCTTGAGAAACCAACAAGCCTTCCTTTGGTTTTGCGATAGGTTTGGGTGAAAACTCTTTATAGCCAAACGATCGGTCATTTTGTTCCGGAGCAGAGTGAGCTGGAGTCGCAGACGTTTCCTGGTATTCTCCTTCGTCTTCTGTCATCGATTTTTTTATTTCACGTACTTCCTTTCGCCAAGGCATTTCTTCCTCTTCTTTTTGGAGCTGAGCCTGAAAAATGTCCCGACGCTTTTTTGAAGGCACATTTATGAAATCTTTGTAAGACATTTTTCGGAAATTTGGACTGGGTGACGAGTCCGGTTTAGGCGGTGGTTTGTCACCTTGATACTCCAGGTCATCTTCTGTTCTTGGTCTCTCCTGAAGTTCCCTTACCTCTTTCCTCCACGGCATCTCTTCTTCGTCGTTGTCATCCCTTGTAGTCACAAACGCATCACGGGTCTTTAGCGAGGGAGGTCGAATCCGCGTGTGCTCTGCATTCGATTGCTGGGGTTCTTCTACAGATGCAGATCTTCTTATATCTTTGACCTCTTTTCTCCATGGCATTTCCTTGGCATTTTCGCCCGCTGAATTTTTCTCTCCATCGAAAGCGTACACTTCTTTTTTAGAGGGCGGAGCGACAAGTTCGAGATACTGTGACTTACCCAATTCAGAACGTGGCGAGGTAGACCGTGGCGCATAATTAGCATCTTGCTCTTCATCAGAAAGAAGATGTCTTTTCTCTTTGACCTCTCGAACTTCCTTCCGCCATGGCATCTCTTCCGCTGGAACGACGGTATTCTTTTCGCGTATGAACGTCTCGCGGGACTTTTTGCGTGGAGCACGAACAAGATCACGATAAGACAGGTTTTTGGCATCCGTTAAGTTTATCTCCACAGGTTCTTCCCCCTGTCTCCTCTTGGACTCTTCATAACGTCGCTTTACATAGTCGGAATATTCTCCGTTTCTGTCTTTATCTAAGCGTTCATCATGTTTCGAGCTTCTTTGTTCCTCTGAAAATCCTCGTTGATTCTGCCAAGTGTTCATTTTCTCATATCCAACCGAAGGAACAGATTCTACTGGTTCTTCAACTGACACTCGGTATATACCTTCTGTACTTGCGGTAATTTCATCAAAACCGTTTGCTCTTGGGTAGTCATTGAAGCTGCTGTAGTCGTAATAGTTGGACACTGGTCGAGAGGGCCTCTCCTGCTGGCTTTGCCTTGAGACGTCAGAGGCAACCCATTTTCTGTCTAAGGAGGACTGGAAACCGGCAATCCGTGGCCGCGTAGAAGTGCTCAGTGGTGTGGGTTCTTTAACGGGGCTATCAAATGCATTTCGTTTGTTCTTTTGAAGAATTTCACTTTCCTATAAATAGGAAAATTATGACAATCATTTTCATTGACATTAATGCATTATCAATATACAGTTACTGCGTGTGTTTTATCCAAAATGACTGGATAGGAAGGTAAACATCTCGCTCAGAATGTAATTAGTGTCAGACTAGCTATAAATAAGTAGTGCTTTGCTGCCACAAAAGAATTTTCATCACACCTTCCGCGCTTGAGAGTCTTTATCTTCAAAAGTGCGCTGCTTTTCTAAAAGACCAACATTTGCATCTCTCGGAAGGGCAACTCTGGATGATCTCTTAAGGCTGCCAGTATCTGTTGGCGGTGGTTTATACTGGCCACGAAGAATCGACGAGTCCTGAGTGGAAATATAAATAAAGGAAATCAGTAATGTTTACTAAAAGAGGTTCTTCTTCAAGTGCTTTCGGTCATAATCTGTATCTGGCTCGAGTTCTAAAAACGACCTTACAATCTTCGGGTAAATTTGAAGCAAGGTTACAGGATACGAAAATACCGAAAACACCAAAAATACTTTGATAGTGCTTCGACGATATTTGCACCAACTTTCGAATACCAGAAACACAGATCAGTTAACACAACTATTGATGCAATTATCAAGTTAACAGAAGTTTCATCCATGTCAAGATAAGGAAAATGCTACAGGAGCGACTCGAACGCTTAATTATCACCTCAGACCTGGAGTGTCGGCACTGTTGATGAAGCGACATGGTGTTAGACCAAAAAGAAAGCTCAAAAGAAAGCAACATGCATATTTTATTATTCATAACCTAAGGAGATGGATGGATCACTTATCTTAATTAACAAATGAAACGACTTGAATTTCGGATGAAAAATAAAAGTGTATTCACCTGTTCAGCTCGCTTATCAAGTTGTTCGAAAGTTGCTTTTTTCTCGCTCAGCTTAATCTGTTCACGTTTTGGAATCATGACAGAGTTGGGACGTATTGCTTTTCCGTCTGTGGCGGACGTACGAAGGTTTCCCTCGAGAACGGCTTTCTCCTACCGAGATGGAGAGTAAAATAAGCTCTTCATACTGAAGCACCCACACACCGCAGACAACATGTCTTATCATCATGCACAGTTTGGTGCATCCAACATTGTTATATTGTAACTTGTTCTATGACGTGTTTACCCATAATTGGTGATTTATATTCTGCCAACAAGCGCATATTAACAATGCAATTTAAAACAGTGAAGAATTGAAACATTGGTCCTTAAGATTACACAACAATTTCGCTCGTTTCTTAATCGTTGCATTTTACAGTGAGCACGTATCAAAATAAGCTATCTTCCGTTCGCTTAAGTCTCTTGCAGATGATTAAATTTTGTTTAATTTAAGAAGCTTCGTTGCCCAATATAACAAGCGAAACCGTTCCAAATTGAGTCGAATAAGTTAATTTGTTTCAAGGCAAAATCCAAATATTTGCTGCTTTGTCTGCTGCAAATTTTAAATCATAAAAGTCTCTGGAAGCGGACCGAGATGATGATATATCATTATCTAGAACAATTTAAAATCGTAGGTATATTTTCATTTTAGTCTTGTATAAGTTCAATACCCTTTGAGCTTGATAATCACGTTGTTCAAAATCTTTTTGTTTCTCACGGAGTTTCACATCTGATCTTCCTCCAAGAATTACTTTTTCTGGTCTTCCATCCCTAACTGCGTGCGGCCGTAACTTCCCCTCTAACACAGCACTTTCCTGTTTCGAATATACAAAGAAATATCGTTCATACAAGCTATACAAAGATGTCATCCCGACACAGAGCGATTATAATGGCTAATTATCATGCAAATGTAAACTGCCACCTGCTTTTACAGATATTTATCGTTTATTTTCATAAGAGCGGGTTGCTTTTGCAGTCCAAGTTCGTGGAAATGCCCACTTAATCATCTATGGTAGTCACAAAAATCTTTGTAAAGACCATTTCATTTAAACCATTTAAAAGCTGGTAAAATTAGGTAATAGTCTGCGAAACGAACAAAAGAATTTCAAGCAATTTTTGAAATATGCTATATAAATAAACACTTAACAATGTGGCGAGGCAAGTTTATGTAACGTGAAACATTGACTAAGTATATCGAATCAAATTTGTGGAGTGAAAAATTTGCAAGTGCACTATTAGGTTCACAACTTTAGCGGAGGGTCTAGTGTACAAGGAGAAAACTACTTGGCAACAATACTTGTAGTGCCTTGTGATTACTTTTCATACCGTAGTTGCTTGACGCTGAAGTTTTTCGTAGTTTTGGTGTTTTTCCTTGAACGCTACATCAACAGAGCCTTGTTTCTGCAGTGCCTTTCTTATCTCTCCAGGTCCCCAGGACTTTGGCCGAGCTTTGCCTTTCAACACAGCAGATTGCTGGCAAAAAAAATCACCAGAATAAAAACAGAACCGACAAAACTAAACTCGGTGGAAGACTCGATCTTTGCTTAAGGATAACGACAGCTGATTTCGACACTTCCTCAGTAACCCAAATGTGAACAAGCATGCGTCATGTTTGTTTAATGACCCTCGGGCCTGTGAGTTAGCGAGCTAAACATGAGAACGAGAGCTCCGTCTCTGATAACTGGCCTGGGTTATTTTTCTTTCTATGGGCACGTATGTTTACTCTAGAGGTGTCCTGTGTCCTTCCACCCAAGAAAAATGAATTTTACCAAAGAGTTGCCGGGAAGACCTGGAGAATTTCTAAAGGGGGGGGGGGGCAGGGCAGGTGGGCTGGTGTGGTGTGATAAACAATGGACCAGCATCCATCGGAAAGGTGGAGCAATATTCGCAGTTGTCATGTCAACAGAATTGCAGTGTAAAATACGGCAGGTTGATTAGCAACTAAAGGCGTGTTTGTGGTATGTACCTTTCATTAGCAGTTTACAATTTAACCCCCAAAAGAGTTTAATCTCCTAACTGATACTCTTACATTTATTTACTGGCCAGAATTGAGTGATTAATCCATAAAATTTCCTCTAAGAGATTATTTCATGTTTTCTCATCATCTTTCGCTAGAAAGAGTATAAAGACTGTAAGGAGAGTTTCCTCTCCAATCACTTATTAGAGTCGCAGGGTTAATTCAACGTTATAATTCATTCAGGCTATAAGGTTGAAACGGTTAATCAACTCAGAACAAGAAACTGAAATTTTTTTACGTACGTATTCAGTCTAAAATTCAATTCCAGTAGTTACCTCTTCCGCGTTTTTGTCAAGCCCTTCGAATTTCTTTTGTTTCTCTTTCAATTCCACCTCAACTCTCTTACCGAGTGAAATCGGTGGTGGTGACGTAAGACCGCGGTCCGAAGAACCACTCGACCGACGGCGAGATCTTTCTTGATTTGAGTCCTGGTTTTTATTCAAAAAATGGACAAAATTCAGATAAAACGCTTCATTCAAATCAGACTCTCGATGAATTAAGTATACGCTGTTTCTGTGGTATCAATTACTGGCCGACTTTGGTTAATATTGACCATAATTATAAATATACTTATAAGTTATGATTGTATATTTTACAAAATCATTATGACCAGGTGATCTTCCATGAAATCTCAGTACTGACAATAACCTACAATCAACGTAGTGGGGGAGGGAAGGGGAGGGTGGTTAAAGTCAGGAAAGTCAAAAATGGGCTTACAGCAGTTCTGATCCCTGATTGGTGGGAGAAGGTGGCAGGCAGAGAAAAAATGACCTCGGCTCCGATAATGACCTCGACATGAAGACTTTTATGGAAAGCATAGCTAGTTTCTATTCAAAATGTGTACCGCAAATTGTGATTGTCAAGTCATTTATACTCACAAGTTGATCACGGTGGTCGTACATGTCTTTTTTCTCGTGAAATTTTGGATCCGGCATCCTTTTCCGAAGATAATTATAGTCTGTGTAGCTGTGTATTAAATCCTCCTCGTTCCAACTTAAACTTTTTTCTCTACTTCTTTTCAAAATTCCTCCGGTTGATTTACGTCTTTTTAATTCCAAATGCACGATGTTCTGTGTAAAGATGACAAGTAAAGAGGGAGATTAGAACTCATGTCTAAAGCAAATACTGGCTTGCCTCAAGATCCACCACCTCTCTGTAGCTCACTGACTGCGTACCAAACAGGTGGTTTGATTGCGCGGCGCGAAAGGAATCGCGCGAGAACCTTCCCTCGTGGAAGCTAGACATCTAAATCCCCTCCTCCTCCTCCTCGAGACCTCCCCCCGCCAAACTTGTTTTTAGCACTTCTCCCAGGCCTTTCAACCTGGCTTTCATGAGACAAGCAAAATACGCAGTCTGATTTTTGTGGTTTAGAGTACATGTAAACTACTGTGATTATCAACTGAAGCCAAGAAATTGGATGCTTACCTGCTTGGCTTGGTTTTCAAGATTCCGAAATTTCTCCTTCTTGTCACTGATGTCAATCCTATCAAACACTTTATCTCGCGTTTCTAGTTCACTTAAAGAATGTCTCTTTCGTGACCCTCGCCTCTTTTTGCCGAAATTCGTTTGCTGCAAAGAAAATTCGCAAGTAAGTCTGGTTTATTGAAAGAATACCACTCTCTCTTTCGGTAGTAGTTTCCTCTTTACTTTTTCATGCAGGTTAGACAAACATCACTTGATAGACTATTTTTCGCTACGTAAAATCACCCACAACTTTCCTATCACGCAATTGATTCACTTCCATTTTTGGCTGAAGAAATATCCGGAGTGCAACAAAGACATTCATAGGACTAAGATTAGTTTGATGGAACAGTGTAATAATTATTGGAAGTAACTGATTGCATGGAAGCAGCATCAAAAATTTATTTCTTTAAGTAGATGGAGAACATGCCTTGTTATCGCGTGACAAAATACTGTTAATCACGAGTCATACAAAACTCGTGATATAAGATTAATTGTTTTGAAAGCATCCTGGATGCTTTGCTACGATATTATTATTTTTTCCTTTTACCAAAATATATTTTATGGTTTATGATTTAAATGAAATGGTAAAATGAATAAAGGGATAAGTTTCTAAAGAAACTGTGGTGCTGCGTCGGTGGGAGAGTATAGCAGGTAATTTAGTGTTAACAACTGGGTTGAAAACGTAAATTAGCCACCGTAAAGGGTAAAAAAGCTGACGTTTCGAGCGTTAGCCCTTCGTCAGAGCGATTTTTAACCTTTACGGTGGCTAATTTACGTTTTCAACCCAGTTGGTAAAATGAATAGCCTCGAGCTTTTTGTTACCGGAATTAGATGATCAAAGCAGCTGTAGTCAAGAGCAGGACCCTGATAACCTCGATTGTGAGCTGCTTTGGCTAACCAAAGTATTGTGATCGTAACCTGCAAAAAATCCAATAAAATAACGTCATGTGAAAGCTGTTCTGTCTCTTTGCTTGAAAAAAAACCTGTTATGGATAACACTAGGTTATGGCGTCAACCATAATGTTAAGGCTGCGGTTTCATTCGCGCAAATATTCTTTCATTTGAGGTGGAGATCTCAACTACTTTTATATTCACCTAAACAGTAAGCAACAATTCATTTGTAATTGTTACCTGTGTCGCGTTAACTTCTTCGCATTTGCGTCGCAATCTCTTAGTTTTGTTTGATTTTGTACTGCGCAGTTATATTCACATCCCGATGGTAAAATGTACGATATTGAGCCCGCGGTTCCGCTTGGTTGCCTCGGCGTCAGAGGAATTTAAATTTCATTCCCGCGCACTTGATAAACAAGGAACAATTCAAAATGGCGATCAATTGACCCCCGCAGCAGGGTAAAGCGCCCAGCTTACTCTCTTGAAAATTCTTTTTGATAAAAATAAATCGTGCTTTTAAAAACCATCGATTTCGAATAAATCCGTACAGATAAATTGCATTTTGATGAAACATAATGAAATCAATCGGGTATGTGCTATTTACGTACCGTTTGGTCGAGAAAAATAAATTACCGTCGTTGACGGTTGGCGAAATCTACGATTACTAAATCCTTTATGAAGTGGAGGGAATAAGTGTTGTAAAATGAAAACACAACGTCTTATAAGGGTGGTTATGATAAAATAACTAAGAAAATACAGTTGCTCCTTGTTATGACTGTTTTCGAGTCACCAAGGCGATTCAGACGACCTCCAGACTCATAACATATGATCCTTACAGTTTTGGTTCGTAAACCAAACCCTATCACCGTTACAGAGCAAAACCAAATTATTCCTTAAACAGTCGATCGAAACCCAGGTGTTTTTGCGCTAACGAGGTACGGGGACATCCAGAAGGTGTACAGAGCTTGAGATTTAACCACGTTACCCAGACGTATATTTTGATTTCTGCTTGAAGATTACGAATTTATTCCAGGGATAAAAAGATTATTATAACAATTCTGAATAAATTGTTGTTAATACTTACATTCTGTAGCCTCCGTTGTGTTTCCTTTAATCTCGATGACCTGAAATTCGAAAGAAATGAATCCTTATCAGCGTCAGGGATATGTTTTCGACCGGAATCGAGTCACAAGTCGAATCGAACAACTAATCAAAATGCGTCGCGCGATCTCTTGTTCAATTCGCATGTCATTGTGACAAGTCACAGACAGCGACGCAATAAATACAAACACGAATTCGAATGAAGGTAAATACAAGTAAAATACATTCATTATACCTACGGTTTTAACGGACTGAGAGCAATATGGAAAACATGAGAGTCAAACACTCAAGTACAAGCTTCTGTATAAGTCCCAGAGGAAAACACAGCGCGGCGGAATATCAAAAGATTTCAAACCCAATACAACTCTGACAACAATACCTAGAACAATCTTTGCATTCCACAATGAGCAAAGACAAACGTTCCGCGGTGAATAGGATTATTTTTGAGCATTCAGTAACCCAAATAAATTGCGCAAGTAACACAAGCGACTTCCGTTGAGATTCGAGATTTATTTTTCTTGCTTTCTACCGAAAATAATGAAAATCCTGTGAACTCGTCAGTATGTTAATCTTAAAATTGTTGAAGAGAAAATTAATTATGCTTTGTACTTCGTAAGTCGTTTGATTTAAAATTAAGTCGATAAAATGCTGCGTGACATGAAACACAATCGACTTTTCGCTATGGTGTAAGGAATTTGAAACTTTCCAAATTTGTCCGGATTTTTGGACCTGCCTACATTTACGTCATTTTAAAATGATGTCCTTATTATTTCGAATTAGTGTCTTTTCAAAGTGGCTATTATTTCAGAGGCAACCTCAGAGGTAAGCGTTTCATTTAATCTTGTTTCATACGATATCAACCAGGACCCTTTATAGTTCGGCGATAACTACCTCGTTCTATAGAAAAGATCGTCGGTCGTTTAGCCTTTTTGTGACATCTCCGGAGACAAACATAATAAAAGAACGCGGAACAAAGAGCCCCGCTGCACGTGCAAACGCAAATCGTATATCCTCAAGTGAAGAGGGTATATGATAGCGGCATGTTAAAAAACGTGCTATATATATGTAAGTAGAATACCGGCTTACTCGAATTGGCTCATCAGCAACCGTTCGGTAACTGGATGTTGTATTAAAAAAAAATTGCTTTCGAAAAGAATCCAGAAATAAATTGGTGAAAACGAAAGAGCGAAGGGAAATTGGTCCCACCGCCCAATCGACCAGTTAGCCGGCTACTCTCCCATTTTTTACCATCTCTTGTTGATCGAGGCCCATTCAGGAGCCTGTCCCCAGCCAAAATGAGAAGAGCCAGTGGTTCATTGTGAGAAATATTCTTACGGTGTAATACTTGTCGACCGAAAAACGGACAGTTTGTATTCTTCTTTTTCTAAAATCACTGCTCTTCGCAAGTGCGAAAGTTAAGACCTCCACAGAATTACCGGCTGTATATAATCAGTTCTTTTATTATTAAGTTAGACCTACTTAAAAATTGTTAGTCTTGAAATTATCAACACTAAAAAAAACGTGTTTACAAATCAGTCTTCAAGCTTGCATTGTGTCTGATGTAAAAGTTTAATGATCTTTACTTACGTTGAATCACCGCGTCGGATCGTCACTTCGTGAAGATCAGTGACGTCAAAAAGATGAAGCCTTTGCAATCCCAGTCTTTCGCAGGCTTTGAAAAATAAGTTGATATTGTCCTGTTGTATTGAAGATATGAAAAAAATATTATTGAAGACATGAGAAAATTAGTAGCACATCATTAAGGTACTAAGAACTCGCAGCTTAGTTGCTCTTATGCACCAACGTGAAAAATACCAGCCTGTTTGTATTCTAATGAAGGAAATAGGAAACAAAATAAGAAACTAAATGAGGCATATGTGCAAAATTTAGAAAAAAAAAATGGCATTGATTCACTTAATCACTGGTTGGCGTTTCTGATGCATGCGACGACATGCTTTGAATGTCTATCAGCTATGAAACATCTTCCCAAATAAGAACATTTGTAAGTTGTTGACCACCATCCATCAGTGTTTGTATCAGTTACTGGAACCAGCCTGATCTAAGTTTTGGGCAATTCAACTCTGTTCTCAGGAAGTTTTTATGATTATCTCAAGCGGGCTTCAATCTTCCGCACAAACGTGGTTAAGAATAACATATGAAATAAACAGTGTCATGTGAAACTTACTTTTCAAAATTATAACTTTCATGGAGATCTTCAAAAGAAGAAAAATTTGTCATGGTATTCGCTCAAGTGTTGTTTTTAACGCCCGTGAGACAACGTGGCTCTGCCAGTCTGAAAGTTCAAGTTTTTTTGGGGGGAGGGGGGTTTAACCACGTCAATCCCCTACTTACAATTCCAGCGTACGCAATCGGTAGACGGTTTATTCGACCAAGTGAGATACCTCCAACAATTTCGACTAATCTGGAAATGCAAAGGAATTTTTTAACTTTCTAATTATACTATGCGCAAATCTTGTAAAACGTAAAATATGGCAATAAAATAAGTTTGATCGTTAGAATATAAGAATCATAGTTACAATATTTGATATATCAATTTGTGACCTCGTGCATCAGTCTAAAACATTCAACTGAGCATCGTATGTAAATGAGCACTCAGGGAAAACTTGTCACGTGACATACTGGTACGCTGAAACACAATTTTTGGATATTTATTGCCGCTTGTATAATGTGATCAAGGCCTTGTAATGAGTTTTTTCCGATCATAATCGATGTTTTCCTCACAGTAAGATAACAATAACGAAATTGTTAGAGTGGAAATCTAGGGAGGTCAATATAATTATACGATTGTATTGCCAAAAAAGCAGGACTTTCCTTCGCACATTTGTAACATTCATAATGATGCTCTAAGGCCAATGAGGAGAAATGGCGAGGTAGTAACACAAATTCAGAGTATATCAAGAACGCAGTTCAAATAGGTTTAGCTAATGAATGTAAATTACATCAGATACAGTCTCGCCAGACTAGGTCAAGACTGGCATATAATTACCAATGAAAGAATCAGTTGTTTCGTTGGTCCATGCATCACATATTTCATAGCTGCCGGCTTAGGCTAAAATGTTTTGGAAGCACGCTATTCATGTAGCAGTTCTTCATTTCAAATTCGAAAACAGACAAACTTCACCTAGTAACATGCTACGTGGCGCCCGGCAGGTGGCCTCATGAAAATTTCAGTTTAATTAAGTTTTTTCCTATTTTGATTTTGCAGCACTGACGTTTTGCCTTTTACTGCAGAAGCCAGTTTGCTTTGTCCTCTTCAGAACGTGACATGAAGCTTCTTATCGTTCAAATGGTCGAATCGCGTTAATAAACACATCTTGGTTAATAAAGTAGTTATTTCAAGCACATTAAAAGACGATCAATCGATGGTTTTACATGTCACAAATATCAAACGGAGACAAATTCAAAACAGCTATTCCTCAGATATCTCAAAATAATAATAACTTACGCGATACGGACACCTTCTAAGTTATCCCATGAAATTATAGAGTCAAGTTTTCTCAAGTTAAAACAATAGTTAAAATGATGCAGAAAAAAAACCAGCAATAGTCGTAGGATTACCTAATTTTTGACGTTTTTACAAAAATCTAACATCATTCGTAAACAAACTCAGTGCTTTATGTACTCACTCGCAGAGAAGAATGCCATCAGCGAGGGATTCTCGAAAATTGTGACTTTTAAATTCTTTTCTGGTCACCTCCTGAAAAATTAAGTAAGTAATGGCTTGATCGGAGCCCAATCAATGACGGATAAAATGTACTTGTGCGAACAACAAAATGCAAATCCTTCATCTGGTTCTGAAGTGAAGAAAGCTTACCTCTATCCATCTTCTCGACTCAATAAGTGCAGGATCTGAATTTATGTAGATGTTGAACTGCTCTCGTTGCTCTCGAGTGCTGAGTCTCCTTTTACCTTTCTGTCTTGACTCGGAGGACGAAGCCATCGCCGGCAACAGGCGCGAAACAAGCCCTGGGTTAGTGACTGCTCGATAAGTTGCGGGCTTTCTTATGCAAATATCCTAAAGTGATATAGATAACAAACGTGCATTCGTCTGAATAAAATCAAAGTCCTTGATATGGCTCGAACAGCTCTTTGGTTCAAAGTATCATGAAAAATTTAGTGCTGAAATGCTCGATGGATTTAGAGAGATTTTCAAACTTTCCTTTAATTTTCACGGAAAGACAAACAGATACGCAAAGAGCATTTCTAATTTCATGTAAATATGGAATTATTTCATATGTAGAATAAAATCCTTTCACACAATGAATCAACTTTTGCAGTAATTACTCACGCCCAAGTGATTTTTATTAATACCTTTAATTATTTAAAAATTTGAAAAATCAACTCTAGCGTCTGGTAGTTTCTTTAACGTCTTGAAGAGATAATCAGATTAATATCTTTAAACAGGCAAACAAACTGTAATAAACCAACTTCCGAATGTTTATCAACCTATAATTGTCACTAAAGTGTTGACATCCGTCATAAGTTCCGACAACAATTTATTCGCGTTCGATCGCGTGCCATGTTTCAAGTCACGCCAATAATTTTCACAATGGATTAAAACAGCCAGACTCGAATAAAATCTCCCAGACTGAGCACAATCAATAACAGTAACGGCAATACCCTAAGGATGAACCGAGACTCGTCACAATAAAATGAGATGTAAAACTGACTGAGAAGGGACAAGTGAAGAATCACTCCGCGGATGTGTTCTGGATATCACTTCAGCACGGCGACCAGTCAACCACTTCTTTAAAGAACAAAGGCCTATTCAGTTGTAACAAGAAAAGCTTGTCTGCATAAATCTTTGGATTTTTTTTTCTTGAGAATAAAAACATTTAGAAGTCTTCTCTATCTCTGTGGGACTGTGGTAGTCGAAGTTAATTTTCTTTTAAGACCGCAAGAAAGAATATGGAAGCTACACGATCAGTTTTGCAGGTGCTTACCAATAGCGCCTCACAGTTTGCCGGTTGATTCTCGAGATTGCGGGAGAATTCGCTAGCCCAAAATACGAATCAAAAGGAGTATTTTAAAAGGAACAAACATAAACAGTGGCCCGGGAAAAAATTCTTCTTAGAGGCTGGAATTTTTTTTTCCTCGGAAAATCTCTGCGGGACATTGTGACAACAATTAACATGATCACACATCGTATTCATCTTGGCTCACAACGCCTTCGATATATATCACTAGGCTTAAAAGAAATCTTCAGAAACAGAAACCCTACACCAGATCTGAGAAAACGTTTCGAGTCATTTGTTACTGGCGTCTTTTCTTTGTCTGTTTTGTATCGCAGTCTGTTGTCATAACAGGGAACATTTCAAATTTGTCTGGTGGACTGATTACCAGGTGTCTACCTGAATTACCCTACATTTAAGAATGACGACGATTTCTTTTATGTAAGACTTGAAAATAATATCGGCTTGAATAAAAATTTTCGCGCTCAGATATAAAAGATGTTTTAGGACTGGGTCTGAATTTATTCCAAATTCCACTTGTGATGTCATCTGGACGACACAAGTTCGAAATGAAAGGTGGCTTTGTTTGAAATCACCTTGACTCCCAGACCTAACTTGGACACTTCTCCAGGACAACGTCTATGATGCTTTTTCGCCCCCCCTCCTCCCCATCCAATGTTGTTTAACTGCGAATGTTTCTATGCCATGTTGCAGACCAATGTTAAGGGGGGACCGCGGAGACGGGGTGTCCCAGCAAATGAATCTAGTTGTGCAGTTTCCGACAGCGTGGGATCCCTGCAACAATCTCGAACAAAATTTATTGAATCTCGCACTTCCAACACTTATAACGACACGCTTTTAATACTCACAACTTCTAGACAACTTAAATATGCTTTCACTTCTCGATTTCACCTTCAGAGGACGTTGTGCACTTGATTGTACCATGTAGCAAAGGTTAGAGAATTCTTCCACTTTTGTTGCAAAGTATTAGATATTTTTGTCTGCGACTCAATCAAAGACTTTTCTCTGATCCATCCATTTTATTGTGGTAGCTTACAAACCTAGATAAAGCCTTACTAGCTTTGGTGAAACAATGCCGTCCACCGCTAACCAGGTCTTACAAGCGCGTAGGGAACGCAGAGCCTTCTCGAGACTATTCGCAAAGCAAACAGAATAAGATTATTGGACAATTTGGTTATCAGGATTTTAAATGTGGGAAGGAAATTCCGCCCTGCCTCTTACTACAACCAGGGGAATGCGCTCCAGATCTCAGTCGTAAGTTCATATGCAATATCGTCAGTTAACTACTAAATGTACATGCAATTTCAAGTTCGTCTCACTCTCTTCCGTTAGTGTCTGCGCAGTTTGTTTTATGAAGCAACAGGTCAAATGTATCTGTTACCTCTTGTGACCAGAATGATATGTTTGCGAACCTCACGAGTTCTATAGCTATGAAATTCTAATTAATTTTACATCAGGAGAGGTAATATACCGCTGATCTTCGCATTATAGAAAAGTGAAGCGTCCAAGTTTGAAAAAGTGCCGTTACCAATTAGATGTATCGTGTTGCAAGCCATTTACAAGTATTTCAGCTTTTCCGAGACAGTAATCAAACACATTCATGCTATTTGTGAAAAAAGCGTAGAACAAAATATCCTGATTCTGTCTTCTTGATCGGTCTTGATCACCTGAATGCGCACTGAAGTTGATCATAAAAACATTGTTTACTTAAGCGCTCACCACAAATTATCTCAGCACTGTCTGTGTACTATTGAAAAAGTAAATGTTGTTTCTACACCATATTAAATGACAATGGCTTCGGAGAAACTAGGATTTTCGAGGCAGATTCCACATCTATCAATCTATTAGCACCGAGAATGTTGGCTAGCGTATTTACTTCACGTTTCTCTCACCTGATGTCCCCGCTTGAGTAGTCAATTTCAGATGACTGGATGTAACGTCCTCGACGAAGACATTTGCACTTTACTCGAGACATTCAGTATGAACAATAGCGTGACGATTAAAACATGATATGTTTGTAATTGAAACCAGACAGTGTGTATTGTACTTCATGTGCCAGATGACGAGACAAATGTGTAAATCGTTTAACTTTGAGTGTTCCTAGGGAGATCGTCATATATCACTCTTGAAGAGGAGAACCAACAATTCCAGAAGGAAGCTGATCTTAAAGAGTGACTCCAAACCGTCATGAAGGGAAATGTTAAAGGGCAAGTTATCAGACAGGGTGATGTGATTTTTTTTTCCCGAATAATAAATCAACCGTTTAACTGCTGATTGACGAATGTCATGGAAGATTCCCCGCGAATCCAGAGATTTATACCACAGTGGCTGCTACTGTAAAGGGGTTACGAAAACTCTACTCAAGGTTCATAACGCTTGATTGAAAAAGAAAATCTACTTTGTTAACTCACTGACAGTGTTGCTCTTCTCATGTCTCGCAAGTCATGTATTTCGTCGTCTAGTACAGTTGCGATTTAATTTGCCGGTGCACCTTGCTAGTTTACAGCTACGCGCAACAAAAGAAAGTTAAAAAAACTCTTATGATGGAAGATTTGATCTTTTTTTCAAATATCATGTCCTTCATGCTGTCAGGGGCAGGTTTTTAAGTTCTAAGTGAAAGATGCTGTCATAATTGTCCATGCCATAATTTCAGCGGCACAGTTAGTTCCGTTTTTTGTGCATTTTTCATCTGTTTTGGTTTTTGGTGTTACTTTTCACTTACATGTTCGCATTTGCTTGTTATTTCTTCATCATTATCTGTAGTTTTCCCTTCGCCTCTATAAGCACCCTCAATTACTGATAGTATTAATCAAAGCGATACTATGGTGAACTTGTAGATAGCACCGCACAGTAGAGATATTTCGCCATCTTTATTAAGTTGCATGCTCTGCCCAGACTCCTCAGGCTGTGCAATTGCCACAAAATTTGCATATACAACACCCACTTTAGTCTCTCCACCTGTTCATGAATAAAAGCGGTGTGAAGCTCAAATCAGAGCAATTTTCTACTCCCATTTATTTAAAATAGTTTGGATGATACTAGGATAGACAGGCAGAGATTAAACATTGATCAAGATAGAGATTGTTCTCCTCATGGTAAGAGATATTCACAATCATTAGGCTTTCCCGTTATCAAATTGTCTAATTTGCTTCTCTCATTAACATATATTTCAACATAATTGACAAGTTATAAAAAAACATTGGTTTCATTTGTACGGTATGAGTTTGCCACTTTACTTAATACCCTTATGCAAGAAAGTGTGCATCGTAAGTCACCAGAAATGTGAATGTCTTTGCAGTCCTCCCAGTCATTCTTATCAATGTCATAGATTTTCAGACACTGTTTGTTCTCCTCTCTTCCCTGTTCATTATGAAAGCATCCTAACACATATATCTTTCCTTTGAAACTCACAGCACTTGCCCGGCCCCTTGGTGCTACCACACTCGAGATTCCAGTCCATGTGTTGGAAGATGAATTGTACATTTCACAGGGGTCTCCAACCGTTGAGTTTGGTTGAAGTCCTCCAAATACAAACAATTTTTGTTTCATGGCTGCTCCACCAGCATTTTGTCTACCTGTTCGAATGGAAGGACACTTTTTCCAAGTGTTAGTTCTCTGATCAAATCTTTCAACAGTTTTAAGGTAGCCATCTCCACCAATAGCATACATGTATTGTTCATCAGCCAATGCACAGAGGTTTGATCTAGGGCTACTCAGTGGAGAAATCTCCTGCCAGATATTTGTTTCAGAATTGTACCTTTGAACAGTGTTCAGTTTAAAGCCATTCTCACTCTCCCCACCGATAACAAACAAGAAACCTTGGAATGTAACTACAGCAAATCCACGAAGCACTTTTAAAGGACCCTGGACAGGATCCCATCGGTTCAGTGTTGGGTTGTAACGCTGAGCAAGTTTTATAGGGGAAGGTCTTGCACCAAAAGAAACTCTTCCCCGACGATTTCTGTTGTCTTCACCAAGAAGATACCATTTTCCATGATAAGCACTTGTGAGAACATCAAAATTTTTTAGTTTCATTTCATCAGGAAGATCAAGTTGACGCCACTCATCCAGCAAAGGGAAGTAGCCTAACAGGTGTACTTGGCCGTGCCTGTTGTTATTCTCCAGTGCGAGTGCAGCAAAAATGGCGTCTTCATGAGTTTTCAGGCAATTTCTTGGTGACTGGGAGAAGAAACATTCTCCTGTTCCATTAAAAGCCATCTTCATGGCTTCCAACACTAAAGTCGAGCACTTCGAATTTTTGTTCACAAAAGGATGAGGTAACATGACTTTAAACAGATAGTCATGTGGCACATAAACACACCGAACGTGATGTAACAAGTTGTAAAAATGTCGTTGATTCCTTCCCTTATGTACCTCGAACCATCTAAGAATTATCTCAAAGACCCGCTCTTCGCCATCCACGATTATTTCGTCACTAGAAATCCAATCTTCCACTTGTTCAACGCTCAAATTTAGAAACCCGTCGTATTTTGTGACCGTTTCAAAGTGGGCATGAATAAAATCCTTGGCTCCTTCCCTTAATTTTTCACACCGATACTTAATGGCTGAATAATAAGCAGCGACACAGTTCAAAGCACTAAGCTTTTTTAAAATAAAAGTAGCCGAAAAATCTTTCAAGCTTGGAATCAAAAAATAGTCCCCTGCTGCCAGGAGCTCATAAGCGTTGTTTTCATTGACATCGACTTGCCCTGTGTAAACATACTCCAGTACTTCCTTCATACTTTTACTTGTCTGTTTCAATTTGATCACACCTTCTTTCTTCTCTTTCATGTCATTGTTCAAAGCGTTGTAAAAGAACGGACTTGCTGCACATAACACGATTCTGTGACACTTCAAACGAGCTTGATCATCACCTGAACCAACTTCAAGAATTACATCACAAAAATGTTCGTTTCTTCGCTGTAGATCGAGGCGTTTCATCATTTCCTCACAAAAACCTTGCTTTTCGGACACTGTGACAGGTTCTCCGAGAGAATTCATCTTAGCACTTGGCCACAAGGCTAAAATCTGGGTTAGTAGTTGGGATATTTCGTTTGAAACAGCTGGCCCTTAAGGATGGCGATCATCAATCTCGAAGCATACAAACAGATTGCCGATAGTAATGATGGGAAGTGAAAACAATTCCCCAGTCCTTTCACGATTGGGCGCGGTTAAGGCTGATACAGAAAAAGTGGAGTATGTCATAAGTTCAATCAAAGTAAGAAGCAAAGCAGATGTATGGATACTTGCGTCGATGATGTTTTTGTAAACCGAGAAATGGCTGGAAATATGAATTTTGAAAGCTCTTTGAGTGGAAAATTCATTGGGTATAAACAACTTGCCGACGTACCAATATAATAGCTGTGAGGTGACGTACAGCTGAATGAGACTTTGCTTCGAATGTCTTGATGAAGCACGTACGACCTTTAAAACTGTAAAACTGTCTTCGTTGTCTATCTAAACACGGCTCCTAACATTGCTTAAATGGGAATGACTTCAACCCGTAATATTCAAAGCATGTGTCCGTTTAGTGTGGTTGTGCTTGCCATGTGCTTTTCGTTACTGCTAACAGGTGAGCTGACATGTTTATTTCAGTTGTGAAAAAGCCTTACCTTGAGGTAGATAGTTTTTGAAGCTTTAAAAATGAGATAGTTTGAAGCTAAGAATATGTTGTGATTGTTGGCAATCCCACCGTCATTATTATTCTTCGTTTTAAACCTTGCCTGATAAGAGATGTTGGAAAGATGTCTGTAAAAACCCCATTCTTTTCCAACACAAAGTATCGCCTCCAAAAGTTAAGTATTACTTCCACCAATGTTTTCGTTTATCAAACAATTCTATGCATAGTGAAGTATGGGGTTATACGGAAATCTTGCCATACTTAACATTTTGAATATCTCTACAATGGCCACTCTTAAAATCTTGTTCAGGAATTGGAGGAAATCATTCACATACTTATAAACAACACAACGTTAATGGGCAAAGGCCACAACTTGTTTCAAGATGCTGTCGTAAGTGCATGGAATTTAAAAACCATTATTGATCATTAAGAATAAGACCACTCTAGATGACTGTGTGATGTATAATGATATACCTTTCCATCTTTTAGGAAATGATGTGAAATGTCAAAAAATTTCCTGAGGCAAATGTCCAATGTTGAGTAACCTTTTGGCTTTCGAGTGGTACTGTGTTCAACTAAGTAAACAAAAGGTTCAAACTGAGCATGAAACTTAAAATTTTCAAAATCAAGATAATTCGTTTTCAACTTGTTAAGGGAATAGGAAAATTAAAAAAAAAAATGCAATGAAAATAGTTTCAACAGTATCCTTTAGCCCAGGTCTTTCCTTTTACTTGTAAGTTGAATAGTACATCATCTAAGGCAATGCTGGTGGGGCAGGTTGACATCTTGGGCTGGCTTCATGTCAGACTTAATTTTGGATTTTACAGTTATGTTTTCCTGTGTGATTGGGTTCTGATTTGTGGCTGGTTCATTACTTGTCTGAGGTGAGGGAGAGCTCAGAGGTGAACTAGGAATTCTCAGTAGGTTCACAGATGGCTTAGGTGTTCGCTATTACTCCTGAACTGCGTTCTCTTTTGTGTTTGGATGGAACAGGATCAAACATTCACATGGTCACTTGTTTTTTCACAGTCCATATTTTGCAGCTCTAATTTACATGTCTTGGTTTGTGTGTACTGAATTGTCACCTTTGAAAATTGGACATGGTTACTCTGCAGTATTTCTGAAGTAGTTCTCAATCTACTCTTCCGTTCTTTCTGACTTCCGGGGTTTTGTTACACCTCCCAAAAATAAGTTTTTGTTGTGAAAAGAGCTTTGTTTATATCGATTTTTGTTCTTTGGGCTTTTTGGCTTATGCAAATGAAGAATTTTTTTTGCTATTGTGAAAAGCTCCTTTCTTTGTGTTTCACCTTTGACAGCTTCAAGGGAAATCTAAATTCGATTTATTTTTTTCCAATTCAGGGCAAGATTTCCCTGTAATTCTAAGGGAGTTAGGGGAAGCAAAATTTGAAGTAAAAGTGTTAGAGAAAACTTGAGTCTGAAACTTGGTGGCAAACAATTTAAACAAACTTTGAACTTAACACTTCCACATCTTGGAAATCTTTGGCAGGTCACTTGCGAAAGACTTTTTGAAAACTGCACTTCAGTGAAGGAGATATTGACAGAAAAATATTGTTTATACCATCATGTAAGGAAATCATGCAGGAAGAATTCACTCAGATATAAATAAAAAAAAAACAAAACAAAACACAACTTAAATAGGCAAAAGCCATAGACAAGTGCAAACTTTGAATAAGATATTGGCTTGAGATCATAGAATGTAGCAAAATTGTTTTTCTCTTGCTATTAATTCAGGGATACAGGGCATTTGCACAAGGCATGCAGTTTGTTGTGGTACTTGAAGTGACTGGGAATAATGCTAATCCTCCAGATGAGATTCCTGAACATGTTTTGAGTTTTTGGCTGCACTTGATAATTTGCACCAAGTCTTGTAAATTAATTTTGTTTTTTCTTTTTTTTAACAGGCTTACCCATCAATGCCACAAGTTGTCCTAGTTTTAAACTCGTAATCATTGAAATGATTGGTGCTACTGATCTGACAATTGATTGTAACACCACAAATCCAAATGCCAATGTAACATTGCTGTTGGACAATGTTAGATTACCTGTTGGGGGCAGAGTTACACTTCACAAGCAAGTCTTCACTATTCACAACATTTCAACTAGAGATACAGGAAGATATAAATGTGTAACCAGTAGTGGTTCAAGCATGACAGTTTTTTGCCAGACCGTAATCTACACTTCTGAAGGTATGACTCAAATTGAAATATGAATCATTCTTACTCCCATAATTCAATTAGAAATTACCTTCTCTTGAGAATTTCAAGGTGTACAGGTGTTTGAAGAATCTAACTGATATCTGGGAAGTATGAGTTTAAGCCCAATCAAAACATGAATTTTTTTTTCACCCCTGAGTTCCTGCCTATTTTAAATTTGAACTTTCATTTTATAATACATTTTTTAGATGATAATTATTTTTATGAAGGGGGAGAGGGGAAGAGGTTATGAATGCTTGTCTACCCAATTTGTAAATAATTATTATTCCAACAAGCTGTTCAAATAGTTTATGAAACATTTTTATTTTGACCTTTATGAAAGGGTGTGTCAGAGATAAAGTACAGCCATTCCTGCCAGCTAAGTAGGTAATCTGGACCTGGACAAGGAACTAACCAACTTGTACCAACAAAGATGATAAATGTGTACCAAGACAACAAAGGGATATCTTGGATGGCAGTTAATGATTGAGTGTAATATGTTTAAATTAATTTTTTGTCTCTAGAGAAACAAGCATGCTGTCCAAAAGTGACTCCTGAAGTAAAGGTTATGGAGGCTGGTATGAGCACAAATTTCACTTGCAAAGCCGCTACTACTGGTAGTCTCTCAAAGTATTTTACTTTAAAGTGGTTGAGAGAAGAGAATGGAACTAGTGTGGAAATTCGTCAAGGTGACACAATGCACAAGCAAACTGTTGTATCATATGGCCATTCTGTTCTTACAATTACAAATGCACAACTTACACCAGCAGAGGGTGTAACGTATCGCTGTCAGATAACCTACAGGGGTACAGCATCTTCCTCCCTCCCTCTACGTTTGATAGTAGTCAAAGGTGAGTTTTAATAATAATCACGAGAGATAACATAATTTCATATTCTGACATGTACATACCATAATTATTTGATGTAGAACCCTGTTTCTATTAAGGGTCCCCTCTCTGATAATCACCCCCTTCAAATTAGTTTTTGTCAATAAGTGCCCCTATTCTAATAAGTGCCCCTATTCTAATAAGTGCCCTACTGAGTAAGCATCTTCATTCCAAAAAGTGTCTATACTAACTAACAAGTGCCCCTATTCCAACAATCACCCCTGTTCTATTTCAGTCAAAGCACTGTTAATCTATGAGTATATGACTGTACATTGAGATCAACCATGGTCTATCTTCCTATTAGTGCTCACTCAAAGCCTCATAACAAAAAGATGGTCTTCATCTCAGTCTCTTAATCATTATGTTGCCATAAGTCCACAGTTCCTTTGAAGCAAAGATCCCATTTCAAAATTTTGGGACAATTACTCGGCCAGTCATCCTTGCAAGGAAAGATCCAGGGACAAGAAGTCCATTTTTCAGTCTTTTTGATCCTCAGTCTAATTAATATCAAAGCTTTTTTTCACATCCTGCTGTGTCTTAAAAACAAATAACAGCCCTCTCCCTAATAGGGGACTTTGTTTTGAATAAGTGTCCTCCCTTGAGGTTCCAAAAGTAAATAATTGATAATTGCAATAACGTCATTAAAAAGGAAAAATTCCTTGTATAATTATTATGGGCAACCCCCTATTTTTCACTTACATATTTAACTTAATTAGAATTTATTATTTGCAAAAGCCGGCTCTGTGGGTACCACCAACTCAGATTGTCGAGCCCAATTCCACTCCCTTATTTTCCAAACTAGGAATTTTAGATATTTTTGAAGTCAGTAAGTTTGAATTGCCAAATTCATGTTTTATTATGAAAATGACCTATTGCCCCCATTACTTCTCAACCTTTTGGTAACAAATAGCCATATTCACTGCTATAGTATCAGGACAACCAATAATTATTGAACTCATTTGTGTCATACAAATCTCAGGCAATTTGCAATTTTCTACCAAGGTATTAAAATCTGGATTACTCTGTTCCTGTTTCAGTCACTTGTTTGTCAAATCTTCTTAAATTTGAACTGAAAATGCAAGAGTTTTTAATTAAGTAGTCACTCAATTGGCCAAGCCACACATTTGCAGGACTTATTCTTTTTTCAATATATTGTTGTAGCTGAGATGGCCTCTCCTATAAGGCTGGTGGCTTCCTGGGTCTCCTTGCCTTCTATAAATTATAATGCTGTAGATAATTGCTTTTTTGTATTGTCAAACATACAAATAAATGATGCTGATGATGAAGCAAATCCCATTTTTGGCTAGAACAGCTCCAAATCTTTATCACTGATGCGACTGTTGATTAAAAATTAAGTAATTTATAGATCAATTTACATATTAGACTTAATTCCATATTTTAGCATAAGTTTGTTAACTATTAAGATCTTTAAAAAGGTGATTATTTTTCCTGTTAATGAAACAATACAGTTTTTGTTGATGGGCATAATTATGTTTTGGGCCAACTTAGGCCAAGCCATCAGGTAAGGGTTAAAATGACTCTGAGAACAGCCTAAAACATATAAATCATATGCCTAAGAGCATAAACTGTATTACTATTCATTATTGATTTGGAGGGTACTGAGCAAATAAAAACTGAAAAAAAAATAATAAAACAACCTGCACAATCATGTGAGCGTGCATGAAGCCAAAAACCATTTAAACCCCAAATGTGCCATGATGCCCAACAATGTGATAATAAGTTTTATTTTTATTTTTTTTACTTTTTTCCTTGAGACAATTACAGTTGCATATTTGAAGTAAGACAGTCACATTTGCCAGTGGTCTAAATGTATCAGGAAATGGTAGCTTGGAAACTTTGAATGATAAGCCTTTTTTCTTCCTTTATTTGCCAACAGATTTTGCACCCAACATAATATTTTTAAAGTCTTTAGAGGAATCAGGAACTGTTAAGGAGAAAGATAAGTTGTCAATGCGTTGTCGAGCACGCAGCTTCCCATTGTCTAACATCACTTGGATTCATAATGGAGCAAAAATGTCAGTGTGTTTAATAACTCGAAGTCAGGATTGCATGGGGAAAAGTTACAAAGTGCTGCAAGATACCAATAAGCAGTGGCTTACCTCAATTAGCCAACTTATTATAGAGAGTACAAGTTTTCCAAGAGATAATGGGACTTACACCTGTGTAGCAAGGAACAGCAAGAGTTACGATGAAAAAAACCTGGAAATTTCCATTGAGAGTATGTGTTATAAAAATCATATGTAGTTTTTTATGGTTAAATGGATGATTTCTTTTAGTTGATATAACCTTTTGCTGTCAACCCCACTAAGAATTACCATGCAATTGCAAACTGACCTATTTTTTTCAGAGTTCTAGCTTGTTTTGGGCTTGGGAAGCCAGGTACCTCTGTAGTAGTAGAGATTTGACTGTTACTGTAACTTTTGACATACTGAGTCCATCATTAAAGCATACAAACAGCAAATGGAAGGGTCAATTTTCAGATGATATAGCTGTCTATAGGCCATTTAAAAATTTCATTTTGAGAGCTGTGTAATTGTTATAATTCAGCATAGTTACACTGTAGATACTTAATGATAATTTGTTATTTTCTTTAGCTGTACCCACTTTGGATAAGTCGAAGTCATTCTGGACAAGTAGAAGAATCTACTGTGAGATCAGCCAATCCAATCCATTGCCAACTTTCAAATGGCAGCATCAAAATGGCCCGTGTTTGAACTTCAATCCAGAATGTTACCCAGACAACAGCAACTGGAAAGACCTTCCCACTAGCTTTGTCATTTCCCCACCTAGTGGCGATGCCACTTACAGGAGCACTGTTGACATTCCGCTAGACACTCAGTCAGGATTTTTAAGATGTTTGGCAGCCAACACAGGAGGAAGTGATGAAAATATGATGCGATTCTTTGCTAGTGGTGAGTTATGAGTGATAATTATTACTGTAGAAGGTGATGAAATGCTACTTAATTAAATGCATCATACCGTATCCATACTTCTATCATATTTTGGCATTATTGATAATAAATAAATCTGCAAAATGATTAATTTTTGAGAGTAAGGGTTTTTTGGGATGAAAAGTGTTGAATTGGGTCTGGAGAAAGTATGCAACAAATCTAGCTTTTCTTTCACTTTTTCAGATTAAATGACTTCAAAATGTTACATTTTGTTACTGAAATTGATGTTAGTGAGTCGAACTGAATGCTAAGTAATAACTTAGCCACATGTATTGCTGAATTTTGAGAGCTCTCATCACCCAAACTGATAACAAACTCTTGTAGATTGTTTCTTGCACTATAGTAGAATGTCTATTACTATGATGACAATTACACTGGCGATGAGTTAATCTACAATTTGAGACTGAACTATATAGGAAAAGTATTGGATATTGCATAAAAATGCATGAATTAAATAACAAAAAATTTGTGTGAACTACATGTTCTCTCCGTAGGTATGGATTCTGTCAGAATCACAACAGCAACAAAAGAGTATGATGAAGATGATACTTTAAGTATGAGATGTGTTAGGATTTGCAGAGGTAAAATGACTGGTTGGTACAAAGATGGTAGACAGCTGTTGGCGGCTACTGATCCAAGAATCAATGTAACATTTGGGACTGAGAGTGAATTGACATGGACAAATCTAGTGGTGGAAAAACTTACTGTCAATGATTCTGGAGTGTACATTTGTGCAGCTACTGACTGTCAAAGTAAACCTTTGAATGTGTCGAGGGATATCAAAGTCAACAGTAAGTAATCAGTTTGTCTGTGAGTACCATAAAACCAAACCTTCCCTGTTTACTGTGTTCCTGTGATAATACCATTGTGTTATGATGATATTATCATGGGAATATTTCATGTATTATCCATATTATTTTTAGATAACACCCCACTAACTAATAAGTTTCTTACCAACTGTTTGGTGGGTATTGTGTTGACATGACATTGTCAGGAGAATTTTTATGCGTAAAATCATTCTCTAGAGATGAAGGGTTAAAACAGAAGAGGCTGTACAGGTGCAACAATTTTTGCTATCACAAACCCTTACACTCCCAAGATCTCATTGGTAAATTTCTCCCTGCTGTCTGCTATACAATTCTTATGATGTTAGTTTGGAGAATTTGGTATTGAATCCACTAATAATGCCCTAATTGATTTTTTTATTCCCATCACTTCCCTTCTTGATATTGTATTGATATTGGAAGGAGTAATTATGTCTTGGTCACTCATGGGAATTCAAGTGTTAACAGCAACTTCCTCCAGCAGTTGAATCCTCCCTTAGAAACAGTACAGTTAATGGTTTTGCTCACCCATGTTGCAGATTTGTGTATTCCAGTTGCTTACACCATTTGCTTTGTTTTCTTTTCAGAGGTTTTTCCACCAAGTATACTCAACTTTGAAAATCAGACAGCTTATCATCAAATTAGCACTGAATTATTTTGTAATGTTTCTGCTCATCCGATGCCAAGTCAGGTACAGTGGTTTAGAGGCAGTCAGCCCCTTAGAAATCAAATTGAAGTCATGGACAGACTTTTACCCTCGGCTTGTAAAACTCGTTCTCCTGGTTTCTATCGAGTAAACGGTGTTGTTGGGAAACTCATCATTTGTAAGCCTGCAGACACTCTTCATACAGGGACCTACACTTGTAAAGCGGCAAATAGGAAAGGGGAAAGTAACGCTACTGCCTTTCTTAATGTACTGGGTAAGTGAACGGAGAGCCCAATGAGCAATGGAGTCAGATATTGTTGTTATTTCGTGACTCGCTCGCAATGGGAGAAGTTAGAAAACCAGTAACAAATTGTTTTCGTAGTTAGTGTGAAATTTCAGTAAATATTCAGTTGTGCCGCTGACATTTTATACTTGACAAGTCATTACTAAAAATCTATCTTTGAACTGATCAGTTGAATGTTGAAAAGTATTCTGAGTGAAAGAGGAAAGGGATGGGTGGAGAAGGGAGGGGAGAGCAGGGATGGGATTGGAAGGGACGGAAGAAGAAGGGGGGTACAGTATGAGAAGGGGAAGAAGGGGGCAGGAGCTGAAAGGAGAGGGAAGGGGAGGGGAGAAGGGATGGGATTGGAAGGGACGGAAGGAGAAGAAGGAGGGACAGGAGAGAAAGGGAGGGAAGGAGCTGGAAGGGGAAGGGAGGGGACAGTATGAGAAGGGAGGGGAGAGAAGGGGAGCAAAGAGAACTGAAAGGAGAAGGGATCGAAAGGGAGGAAAGTGAAGGGGAGGGGCCGGGTGGAGAAGGGAGGGGAGAGCAGGGAAGGGATGGAAGGAGAGGGGAGGGGACAGGAGGAGAAGGGGGTAGAGAAGGGGAGCAGGAGCTGAAAGGAGAAGGGATCGAAAAGGAAGAGAGGAAAGGGAAGGGGTTGGGTGGAGAAGGGAGGGGAGAGCAGGGAAAGGAGTGAAAGGGACGAGAGAAGAAGGGGTGGAGAGAAAGGGAGGGAAGGAAAGGACTTCAAGAGATCACAGGGCTTCTGAATTGCTTTACTCGTCAAGAGTTAATGCCATTTATGCCTGAAACATTTTTAATTTCAGAGAACCCTGTGATTATACTTCCAGCCAATGGAAGTCGTTCGGTTGAACTAGGGGAGCCATGGAATAGTACGTGCGTAGTCACTGGTAACCCTGTGCCAAAAGTAGAATGGAAAAGAGTGGATGGAAATGGAAATTTAGTATTCACTCAAAAACAATACAACAACGAGGAGGTGGTGTTATTGTTGGAGTCTGTCAGTAAAAAGGATCTCGGAATGTACTTGTGTGTAGCCGTTAATTCAAAAGGAATTGCAGTTGCATTCGTCGAATTGGGTAGGTTGACGAAGTTAGCCAAGTTTCACGTTAATTATTACAAATTCGAAATCATAGAAAACTCGCTTGAGCGTGACCTTGTAACAGGTTCAGGCACGAGTAGTGATTTATAAAAACTGAGTTAAAATGTTAAAATCTTAATCATCAAAATTACTTTCTAGCACCATGACTGCGAAAACGGTTGGACTTAAGATCGCTGCTACGGTCCCTCCAAATGATAATCTCCCTTCAACAAACATGATGAATATGTTTCACTTCCTTTCCTCTTAGCAGAGGCAGACAGCCCCCAGCCGAGCACAGCTCCAGAAGGATCAAGCAGAGAGATGCTCATCGCTCTCAGTGTTGTTGGAGTGCTTCTCTTTGTCCTTTTTATTGTCATCTTAGTCTGTTGTGTATTTTTTCGCCGCCAGCGTCAGAAGATTAAAGAATATCACAGTCAGTTTTTCCTTTTGACTTTTGAACCCGCTATGGTACGGTACTGTTGTTTTATTCAATTGTTTGTTTGTTTGTTCGTTTGTTTGTTTTTGCGTATTCCTAAGTTATGGAAATCTTGAAAATGCACGTTATACAGGATCGTGAACGCGTGAAATCTGTTCTTTTCCCTAGACAGGTGTGCTAGTTTAATATTATTTGTAGAAATTGCCAAATTCAACTGGATGGTCACGGGAAACAGGTGCAACGGGTTGCAATCTTGGGGGTGGGGGGCAAGGTATAAACACAAACCGGCACATTAGGTGCCATGAACCATTGCGTGAAAAGATGTTCAAACCGTACTAAGCGCAGGAACTATGCGATTGGGTGGACTGGAACTTAGTACAAGGGACCGTTCTGCCGCTGCAGTGCGAGAAATTGATCAACTGGTAGAAAGAAACTGATAGCAACCACGGAATAACTTGCTACTGTTACGAAATTTCCTTGAAAGGTTTTTAATTCTTGTTCACTTGTTGGTAAATTGTTTTCAGATTGATCCCGCCCGTACTCTTCAGGATCAGTGTGAGAATCTTTCATACAATCCAGATTGGGAGTTTCCGGAGGAAAGGCTCACTCTCGGGAAGGTGCTGGGATCAGGGGCCTTCGGTGAGGTCATTAAAGCAGAGGCCATTGGAATTGCGGACTTTCATCCCCGCGACAAAAGTTCAGAGAAAGTAAAACGTCGGTCCAAAATACTACATCGCATTAGTAGCAGCAGGGTGTATCAGGATTCTAGCGGAATTCCTTACGTGAAGACAACTGTTGCAGTCAAGACGCTGAAGAGTAAATATCATTTGCCATGATTCAAATAAGCCTCTTGCATAGCCTTGTCACATGAGCATGTCGATCATCGCATAATGGTCGAGGTATAGATTAGATTCTGAGATGGAAAGGGCGTGATAAAAGTATCCGTCCAATTTCGACGCAACTGGCATTTTAGTGTGAGATCTTTTGACGGTTAGAAAATGGTAACAGATTTGTTCGTTGAAGGTTTAATTTTGCCATCCAGCAGCTGATAACTTTTGAAGCGAGATAACTAATTAATCCTCACCGAAATACCTTTAAAAGTATTAGATAGGGTTGTTTGTGGCCAATTTTGACTTGGTGCCTCTGTCTGTATTGTAGGTAACGCCAAGAAAGAGGACTTCGCTGACCTCGCCTCTGAGCTGAAGATTCTTATACATGTCGGGGAGCACATGAATATTGTTAACCTATTAGGGGCTTGTACAAAAGGCGATCGCTTGTTCATCATCATGGAATATGCACCACATGGAAACTTGTTAATGTTCCTACGAAACAAGCGAGAAATTTACGAGCCCACCTGGATAACTACAACGAATAACCCAGAAAATGAACTAACGATCAAGAATTTGGTAGTTTTTGCTTACCAGATAGCACGTGGAATGGAGTTTTTAACTTCAAAACAGGTATGGATACATTTGGTTTTGAATCGATTTTTTTCTTAGATTGTAGCGTTAGGTGTGTTTGTTTTGTGCCAGGGGTTCTCTATTAAGAAATTTTAAATATCCACATCACTAGTAAACAGAGTTATGCTATAACTGAGAAAAGGAGAGATCGAGAGATATCGACTTTTTCGTTAGGATCGAGTCCTGTGGAGTGGAGAACGACCTAGGGAGAAGGGAAAAACTCGATAGGATATTCAATGTGCGTAATATTTTCTTGAAAAGTGATTGCTGAATTTTTTAGCTGATTCGCTTTTTGAAGGCCCTCAGTTTGTGCAAATCACTGTAAGTCATTGGCAGACAGGTGAAGAGAGAAGGAAACGAGCAATTTGGAAAAACAAAAAACAAAAAACCAGACAACTAATGAGGAAGTGGAGTTTTAAAGGGGACATACAGAAGAGTAACAATCTGACATCTTGATATCTCAAGTCTTTTTTTTCTGCTTTTTGGTTTGTAAAAATTTTATTGTAGTTACTCAAAAAACCAAGAAGTTGTGGAACGTTATCTTCCTTTTTTTCGTTTAATTGTGGATGTATTTTTAGTGTATTCACAGAGACTTAGCAGCAAGGAATGTTCTCGTCGGAGAAGATTACGTCATGAAAGTCGCTGACTTTGGTTTAGCTCGAAATATTTACAAAAGCGATATGTACGTGAAACAAACTCAAGGAGTTCTGCCCATCAAGTGGATGGCGATAGAATCATTGTTCGACAGAGTTTACACTGAAAAAAGTGATGTGTAAGTTCTCGTAGATTTTCTTTTATCCTAAGACTTCTCTGACTGTTCTGCTGAGATGTTGGCCAAACGAACTGTTATCGATTATCGGAATGAAAAATAGGAAGTATGTTTAGCAAAGTTGTAAGGAAGCCCATCTCGCACCAATTTGTTTCAGATTCGTCTTCGTTTTTGTAAGTTGAGTGGCTTCTGACTCAAGGATCAATCTCTTGTTTCTTTCGATATTCTGCCGCCCATAAAAGGCATCACTTGACGTGTAAACTGCATTTCTCTTTAAGACAGTCTCCTTTCGATTTTAGAATATTATGAAAGTTTATTTTCGTCCAGGTGAAAATGGTGCTTGTATATTTGATGTGAAACCTCTACGTACAGTCACGTAATTGCTAATTCTTTTCTTTGATCCTTGCAGATGGTCATTTGGTATTTGCCTGTGGGAGATCTTCACGCTCGGAGGAACACCTTACCCTACCCAATCTGCGGAAGAAGTTATGGACATGCTCAGTGACGGTGAGCGAATGGAGCAGCCGCACAACTGTCCTTTGGACATGTACGTTATTATGAGGGACTGTTGGGAACAAAATCCTGATCAGCGGCCTACATTCTTACAGCTCAGTGAACGAATCGGAAGGATACTAGAGTTACACACTTCAAAGGTGAAGCCGTTAGTCTTTGTCTAAATCTGTATGTTGAGTTGGCTTTTAAGTTAGAGACGTTTTCACTATCCGCCGACACTCTTCGGAGAGGTTTTGATAAGCTGGGTACGTCAAAAGAATTGTCAATCACTCGCCTTGATTTTTAACAAACCAGACACTAAGCTACCTCGAGCAACATCAACCACTGAGCTTGACACAAAGGATTTCCATTATTTTTGGCCCAATAGGTAGGATTACGAGAATGTCCTGTAATTAAGGTTTCCTCTATTGTATTCCTTTGAAATGTTCCTTTTCCTCCACAGCAAACTAACTCGGCATACGTAAGTATCACAGGAGACAACCGACCTGCCAATGATTATTACGTCACACCCTATAATACAGAATCCAACTTTCCGCAAACAAGTTTAGCTGGCTTAAACAGGTTAGCTTTCAGTCCGATTGGTATTTTATATTTTCCTACAAATGTACTCCAATTGCAAAGTTGTTAAGTTAAAATTATGATGAAGCTTGATTCATTAGGGATATGTCGTGGCATTTGATGAGATCCTCCCTCTATGCTGCCCAGCTGGGACCCACTACCCCTAGGAAATAGAATGCAATTTGTAAGACCTTGATGTTATTTCAAGGGCTCTGATATAATATGTTGGAAATGGAACATACCTTGGATTTTCACAAAAATCGCGCTCGTGACTAATTATGACAATGATAATTAATGCATAGACGAAAAGTGAGTAACGCAAACCCTGATGGTGATAACACTGACTTGCCGTTTTTCTTGAAGAAAGAAAACGTTACCTGGGAAGGTTTACGCTACAAGAAACCCTTAAACTTTGTCTCGACCAAGAAACACATAAAGCCAAGTACTTTTAATCTAAATGCGGTATCTTATTTTAGACAAACGAGTGACGATGTTGAGTCCAGTCCCTCTCTCCCGTTGTCTCGAGACATGGATACCGAGCAGGAACTGGATCAAGACGAAAGATATAGAATGGTGGATCTAGGGGCCGATGGAAGCCTGTCAGGGAACGAGAGCGGAATAAGTTTGGAGGAGGGCAACGACGAAGCTTCTGCAGTAGCAGAATTAAGGCCTCTTCGTGTTTCTGCTATACCTACCTCAAAAGTAACCGCTAAAGCAAAACTTAAGTCAAATTCTAAAGAAACTGAAATATAACAAGAAGCAAAGCTGTTCCAAATTCATAGGCGCTTGCCCAACCTCTAAACTACAGCAACCTTATCGGTGGATCTCCCCATTTTAGGTGTAAAACATGTTTCCGTAGGTAAGTGAAACGAATGCGATGTATTTTTTACATGGTAAACACCTTCCAGCTGATAGGTTTGCTTCGTCGCATCGCTTTACAGTGTTTTTCTCTCTAACGTATTGTTAATTTAAAGTGTAGTTACTTTTTGGAGTGTCAGGGTATTTAGCAGCGAGATAAAATTTCGCCTTTTAACAGTGAGGAATGCTTCTGGGAATATTTACAAAATGCATTGTATGATCTCGACACAAGAGGGATGGAGGGAAAATTTGCCATCGCTTTATCGCTTTTTAGGCCTCGGGTAGCCATTGTATTGGGTCTCTTGTTCAGATTTTAGACCAAGAAGGAATTTTAACCATTCTGTATAGTAATCGTACAAGTTTAATTCTTCTTAACGTTGAACATAAATACATCAGAAGTACGCTTTTTTTAAAAAAAAGTTACGAATAGAGATGTTTTTTTTTTCAATTTACGCGGATGTACTGCGTATAACAACATTAAGCTGATTGAAGCATTTTTGAAAGAAGTAAAAAGCGTATGTCAAATGGTGGTAAATTTTTATGACCTCGTTTTGGCGCTCGCCAGAGCCTCTTGCCAGCTTTCGTCACAGTGCCTGATTGAAATAGCGTTTCCAGACCTTCCTTTACGCCGTTCGTAGAGCACGTTCCTGAAACTCTAAAAAAGAAACCTGAACGTTTCTCTTTTCTAAGTGTGACGATTCTATATGCAAACGACACTCATTATAGGGCCGCAGTCGAGTACTTCCCGTAAAGCCAGGGACTGAGTTGATTTCCCCTGAAAGTGCTGTGGAGATGAGGAAATTTAGTCGGGGACAAACCTGCTTCCATTAAAACACTCCTTACAGGGATTTGAATTGAAAGCCTTTTTATTATCAGATATTTAATTAGTTGCTTGCGCCTAAATATACCTATACAATGAAAATGTTACTAATCTCATTTGATATACATTTCTAGAGAGGACGTTGTTTAAAAGTGCCATCTACGTATTTTTTTAACATTCTGTTAGAAAATCGCTCAAGTTTAACATTTCAGATTTGGTCTGAATGCGACATGTTTATACAGCGGAATTCAAAAGTTAATTTCGAATAAATAACTTTACATGATATGAGCCAAACGTAGCTTTGTTGCATTTATGAATGAAACTAGGAAAAGCTGAACAACATTTCGCTGACCACACGCGCGACTACTATCAACTGCTAATGATAAACATATCGTAACTTTACACAGAGAAATGAAAGCAAGCAATTTCACACTTTGTTTCGATGGATATCGTTACTTCACTTTGCATTTTATAATGGTCACATGTCACTGAAAATTTATATCAGAATAGCTCATTTCCTTTCTAAAATTAGTTTTGTAAAATCTTTCACCATTACGAGGTTCACTTAGAGAATACTTAGAAAGCAGAAAAGTAACAAAAATTCAATTCGAAGATTGAATCTACATTATTTCTTCAAAAATATACCCATTCATTTAAAGATATACAGAGCGTAATTAGTGTACATTAATTCCTTGAGTAAGATTAACAGTAGTCATATGAGTTTCACAAGACTCGTCTCAAATATAGGAACTCTAAGAGAAAGTTATCTCAGAAAAGAGCTTAGCAAACGAGTGACAAACCAGTCATTTCTAGCTCCAAAGGCGAGCAAATGACACCCTCTTAGTAAAAAAACAAAAATAAATAGTGTAAGCAGTAAATCGAATCGTTACTGAGTTTTGTTACATCATCTGTCACGTTGGGCGACAGGCTTAACTTAAAAGATTAACTGGGTGGAGCTTACTTTCCCTTTCGATGTAGCATGTGTATCTTTGGCAATGGCTGTTTAAATAGTGTCTATACACAAAGGTCGAATGATCCTTATCTGTGCGGTTATTTCGTACAGCTGCAACTCACTTATTGTTCTGAATTTCGACGACTTCAAAATTTGAAGGAGTGGAATTGAAATTCTCAAAGTGCTGTTTCGATCTTACGTCTATTTCCTTTCTGCAAAACGTCAGTTTCTGGGATCTTTTCCACAGGGGAAAGGAAGGGGGTATCCCCACGTATGTCGTCAATGTAATCACCATCGTCCAATCCATCCACGTCAATACCGCTCTCTCCTGCTGCACTGTTCGTCCTCCCACCTCTCATTGGCCGGGACTCATCTTCGTCGCTCAAAGCTTCTTCATACGAGGGAGGGATGGAAGGCAGGGGTGCGTTTTTGATTTCGTCGTCGCTCATCACGTCCAGACCTGGTGGTAAAGCAGGTAACGGGGAATCGTACCTGAAGATGAACAGAAAGATTCCATGGTTAAAAAAGGTTAATACATTCTCTCCCAAACACGGTGACCCCAGTTTTCCCACGGAAAGTGTTTAAACATGGGGAGCAGAGGGTTGGGAGAATTTGGCGTCTGATTTGACTAACGTGGAAAGAAGGATGAGCGACAGAAAGCAAAGGTCATTCGACGAATACTGTCGATAAATTCGTAGTCTTTGTGATTTTTCTTAACTTACCCCATTCCAGCTCCTTCCGGGGTCGTATTCGGCGGAAGTTCGCCTGTCGGAGAGCTTATTGGTGACTCCACATATCGCTTGGAATCTCGCAGACCTGAATCACACGGCTGCAGATAATACCCCTGACTTTCAACACCCTCATCATCGTCCAACTCAAGCGCAAGGTAAGGGTTCTCCTGATGGAGGAAGGACAGAATAATCACGACTACATTCGAAAGAAGAATATTTACGGCAATTAAACGTTCAGTTATGGAGCAACCATTTGAAAATGTTCTTTATGAGGAAGGCCCCTGCATAACTGGGTGAAAGACTGCTAAAAAGAGCTTGTCTCTAGTTGTCCGTCAGACGAGACGAGAGAAAAATCGAAACAAAATCAGGCTTGGGGTGTGGCAAAGGCTTCGTGAAGAATTGAGATCCTTGCTAACTTTTTTCAAAAACAGTCGCCAGTAAAAGATACATGTCATAAAATAAAAATATGTCATAGCAGTCTATACCGTTGTCATGTGCCTTTCCAAGATTTTTCCTAGTCGCTCGTTCAAGGTAGCGAAGTGTGGCCTTTGTTCAGGGTCGTGAAGCCAGCAGTCCCTCATGACGGTGTACACTTCCAGTGGACACTTGGCTGGATTATCCATCCGCTTCCCTTCACTTAGGTAATCAAGAAGCTGTTCCGTGGGAAGACCGGGGTAGGGGGTACCTCCAAGGGTAAATGTTTCCCACATCAGAATACCAAAAGACCACCTGGAGATTAGACAAATTAGTTAAAATTAAAATTTAGACATATTCTTTATACGAGACAGTCGCGGACGATCAAAATGAAATTACTTTTCATTCCCCAAAATAACTTCTCGGAGCTCTTGATAGGGGGTGTGCAGTCCAGTTGTATAAATCCGAAGGTTATTTCGCGCTAAATCTCCCATACCAGTATCACAAATCTAAACTGTTTTCAATTGGTGCGATTATTGCAGCAACGGAATGTCAACAATATAATTACGTACATAAAAGCGTACAGCTTTGTGAGCAGCAAAACTTACACGTCCGTTTTCTCAGTGTAAACTCTGTCGAACAGAGACTCCGGAGCCATCCACTTTACTGGCAGTAATCCTTGCGTCTTCTTCACATAAAGATCATCTTTGTAAATGTCTCTAGCAAGACCAAAGTCTGCAATCTTCATTACATAGTCTTCACCCACCAAGATGTTCCTTGCGGCCAAGTCGCGGTGCACACACTGGAGAGGGATTTATTACTGATGTCAGTATAGTCTTAACACTGCAAATTTGACTTCTCTCATTGTGGTATTTCTATGGTGCTCAAAGTTCAAATCAAGAGGAGTTTCCTAGCATGGAAATAACGCTTAAAGGAGGAGCTCCTGGTTGCCAGGCAAGTTCCAAAAACAATTCAATCAGCTCATAGACGTTTCCAATTAATTCTTGGAATACAGAATGTCCGCGCTGCAAACTATGGCAAAACAATTTTGCGTGGCAGATCACAACTGAAGTGAAAAAAAAAAAACTTGCCTTCCTTGAAGCCAAGAATGCCATTCCTCTGCTGACCTGATAACTGATCATTACGAGATCGACAAGTGTAAATTCTTTATTCGGATCATTGGTGGTCTTCGTCCAGTCTGGCTCATAAATATCCCTTTTACCTCGAAGGAAAGACAGTAAGCTGCCGTTGGGAGCGAATTCCATAATCACCATGAGTCGCTTTCCACGCGTACAAGCTCCAAGAAGATTCACTATGTTTTTGTGTTGTCCAAGATGGATAAGGATCTTGAGTTCTGAGGCTAAATCTTTGTATTCTGATTCACTTGCACCCTCTGGAAAAAAAAAAGATAGAACACTGATTAAAATGCATACAAGAATATTGACGATGATAATGACAACAGCAATGACGACAACGACAAGTTTGTTAAAAAAATTCCAAAATTTCACGAAAACAATCTCTAATTAACTCTCTAGTAGAACGAGGTTCGTCGCATGAAAAAAAAAGAAAAAGGAAAAAAATCAGTGAAGGCATTAGGATATTAAGCTTAACTCTTTACAATTGAAATTAATATTCATATTCTCCAGACTGTTCTCTTTACATTTTCTTTGGTGCTACCGAGGAGAATTTGATGACAATCAGGAGCTTCCGGAATTGGTGATCTTTTCCTTATTATCATTACCTTTATATTTTATTCAAGGGTGATACTATAGGGAGAAATAAGAACCCAGTCACTCTTAGGGGTTTGATTGGTATATCAAGCTGCTTTCCTCTGACCTTTCAAGGTTTTCACTGCTACAGGAATCCTCGTGTTTTTCCATCCGGGGCCTTCTTCTTTCTTCAGATCTTTGGCCCGCGAGGACCTGCGTATTTTCGAGCGTCGCTTGAATGACTCGGCGCTCTTATCACGTGGTTCAAAGGCCAGGATGCCGATAGCTTCTGCCTTAATAACCTGACCAAAGGCCCCAGCACCCAGCACATCCCCGAGAATAAGTCTCTCCTCGGGGAATTCCCAGTCTGGGTCATATGGCAGATCGCTGCACTGCTCCAGGAGGCTGCGGTCGGGGTCGATCTAAACACAAAAATGTTTTCATAAGTAACGATAGCATTTACAAACATACAAACAAACTCTTGCCTATCCAGCAATAGTTAACTTACCACTTTAAAAGGGAACAGGTACTGTAACTTGAACAACAAGCATCACCCCACATTTACTATGACAAATAAACATCGCTATGTTCATGATGTTTAGTAGGAAACAGGTGATGAGAACAAACCCCCTTCGCAGCTTAGAAGCATTATCTACCGTAGTTATTCGGTTATAAGGCGCACTCGGCTATAAGACGCACCCCCAATTCGGCAACTTCATTATTGCATGTTTTCAAACTGAGAAAATCGCTGAAATACTTGGTTATAAGGCGCACCGTTGTTTGGGGAGTAAAGATCGTTCAACTTTATTGTAAATTCTTTCATAAACTTACAAAAAAGCGAAAAAGTCGCGTATTGATTTTAGTTTACCGTTAATCAACAAAAGCTGAATTGTCGCACACGCGACCACGCACACAAACAAAAGCCTTGATTAAACAAGATGTACCGCCGAGAATGCAGGTCTCAGTGCACTAAAAAGGCTGAAAGGATGAAGAAGGTATTTACTTCTTCGCTTGTTTATTTTCGTTTCGTTTTGTGACGTATCAAATTACTAAGCACGTGCTCTCGAGCACGTATCACATCTATGCAAATTTGACTTCGCTTGTCTTTTCAGAACCACCATATTCATAAAAGTCAATGTGTGTGTGTCATTTTATTTGCTTGAAATCGTACCAGTAACTGTGATCAAAAAAAATTGTTTCGGGAAAATATTCGCCTATAAGACGCACCCAAACTTTGACGGTAATTTTTAGTAGAAATTAGGAATTTCTTGAAAAAAACGGTGCGCCTTATAACCGAATAACTACGGTAGATAAAAAAAACAATTTCTCAAATGATTTCACAAGAAATCCTCCGCAACTAAAAAGGAGAACTAATAATCAGAGCCTGGAAGTTTCAGATTACCTGGTAGTCTGAGCTTCGTAGGAAGTAAATCTCCTTGTATTCGTCAATCTGTCTCTTTTGTCTGCGATACACCACACAACATATCACTAGTACAAGCAGAACCAAGACACCCACACCAATGGCAATTCCAACCAAGGCACCAGTACTCAGTGGAGACCCTCCAGCTCTTGTAACAGGAGTGGAAACTTCACAAGGCAAAAAAAAAAAAAGACAAAAATATAAATACATGCACCTAAACACTGTACAATGGAAGTGCTCTCTTTACCTTTAGAGGTTCTAATAAACAAAAGAACCAAACAAGAAACAGCAAAGAACAAACAAATATCAAATACTATACTTCTAAATTTTAGACTGCAGCACTTGATCAAGACATAAAGTATTACTTGGCTGCATATCTTGGTTGAACATGTATTTTCTCCCCCCCCCCTCCCCGGCCTGTGGTACTTAACTTAACAAGCAAGAGGTTTGTTTCTGTTCGAGAGTGTTTCTCCTCTGCAGCAGTTCTAAATACAAGACAACCTTTAAGAAGGAGCTAATTGTTCTAATGTCAGAACTTTGCAATGGACAATAAATCATCCAAACTCAGAGCAGCTCTTGGTCATTGAAGAATACAGAGGACAGCTTGCCTTCTTTACTCCCTTAACATCACAATGTATATTCTCTCCACAATTATTGTTTTCTAAACATTTTCTTCAACACTGGCAAGGAGAACTTAATTTGGCAATAATTTCCTTCATTCTCATTGCCTCAGTGTTTGTTTTAGCAGTGGTACTGTACACAGTAATTAGATGCCAATCACTCTTGGGGGTTAAAGGAGAAAGCGAGCCTTGACTGTCATTTGAACATTAAACTGTATAATCTAACATAATTCCAAATGCAGTTACCAACTTACATTTGATCACTTTTATGTGAACTTCATCCTTTCTCCATCCACTGTTTTTCAAGCGATTGCGAGCAATGCATTTATAACTACCAAAATCAGCATCTTTCTCCAGAGCCTTATTAAGCTGGAGGGAGCCCAGCTCAGATGCTATCACCTTGCCAGTACTGTTCTGTACCCATGATACATTAGGCAGTGGGTTTCCTTCAGCTCTGCATGTCACATTTAATTTCTGGCCAACTTTCAGTTTCTGAATTTCGTACCCATCCACTGGCTCTTTGATTTTAGCTGCCACTATTTGGGGAAAAGAAGCAGTCAGTTATGGAACAGGAAATGTTATTTTTCTACAATCTGAAACAATAGGAACTGTAAGCACCTGAAAAGCCAGAGTGAGCAATAAACTGACTATGAGCTAGAGAATTGGGATTATGATCTCCCTCACAAGCTCGGATTCTTTTCCTACATTTTACAAAAGAATAGACCAAACATGTCTTCCCTACCAAGATGTTCTGGCATGATGCATTATTCTGCTGTGAAATCCACTTTAAAGGGAAAAAAATGAATATCCCGCTTTTTCATTCAACCCAAAAGCTCCCAAATCAATAACTTCATTTTCCAAAACTACATTGTCGAGTAAAAACCCTGTCTGATGGTACATTAATGTGTTTGTGCGTAAGTCGGTAAAGATATACAGCATCAAAAGACTTATATCACAACACAATTGAAAACTACTCACTAAACACATTGATGAATGCACTTTGTTCCTTATCTTTGAATCTAGGGCTGCTAGAACGACATGTATATTTTCCTATATGTTGTAGTTTTGGGCGGCAAATCACAAGGTCAGAAGGATTTCTGTCTACCAAAAAGAAGTAGCCAGAGGTCCGTTTCCGACAGGCATCTACATTTCCACCCAGCCCTTCTCCTTTCTCATTGATGCGCACTTTTTCTCCATTTCTCTCAATGTACCAAGTAAGAGTTGGCTTTGGGTGCCCAGTGGCATTACAGTACAGTTGCACTTGAAAGTCTTCATCTTGAATCGCAGCTTTATCAGGCAACTTGCTAATGTCTGGTGCAACTAATTCTGCAGAAGAAAAATATCACTGCTTAATGATGGATTTTACTTTCCATAGGCTGTGCCTCAAAAAAACAATATTGTAACATGCCCAAGATTTGTATATCATTGCCAATGACTAATTACCCTTCAGTTGTACACCCTTCACCCTGAAGGATAAGGATTTATCACGTTACATAAAAATTGTTCCCCTTAGATTTAAATCACACAACAAAACAGGCTCTGAGTCAAAATCTTCCCAGCATGAGGGGCCCTTCATAAGTTGTTAGCTCTCAATGGAGTTTTTTCTTGCCTCCACCTTACACCTCTACAAGCACAAAAAAAATATTTAATGGGTGAAAAGTTTCAAGCTTAAGCATATGTACTTGCAAAGCAAAATTTTATCATAGCACGAGAACATAATGGCATCTCCAAACTAGAAGGCAATGCAAACAGGTATGTGTGCATGGGTTATTCTGCATTGGATTCAATTCCACTATGACTACAGTGAGATCTGTGGGAATTGCATTCCTGATTTTTTATCTGATTGATAATTTTACTGCTGAATGCAGCTGTTTTCAGTGGAGACAATCAGTAGGAGGATAGACATTTACACTATGCTCCTCCAAGTGAATTTCAAATTTATCTTGACAAGTTAGGAAAAGTGTATACTGAGCAGTTTTTAATGGTGGTTATGAAAACAAAATCCAACCATTTTGTCTTCAACCATTGTTGTAACCAAATTTCTTTTTTGCAATCCCCCACAACAGAGTACATAAGAAGAATCAGTAATAAGAAACCAATGGAAACATTCAAGCAATGACAGACTTAAGGACTCAATTCACCCTTTACACCTTAACATCAGTATCCATATTCTCCACACTATTCTCTATAAATTTCCTTTGGTATTAACAGGGAAAATTTGTCTAATAATCAAGAGCTTCTTCAATTTGCAACTTTTCCTTCATTCTTGTGACCTTTGTGTTTGATTAAGGGGTGACATTTCAAGGAGAAATTGAATGCTACTCACCGATATGGGTGAAAGGGTTAACTAAAGCCTTCAGTCTGCTCAACGACCGCTTTTAAGTAAAAACTGTACTTACTTTTGATAGTGATGTTAAGTACATCATTTTCTGGACCAGCAGGCCCACAGCGGTAACTTCCAGAGTCATTAAGTGTCAATTTCTTTATCGTCAATATCTGCTTGCTTTCATACCTATCTTTAGGTGATTGTATTGTTGTGATGTTGACACGTGAGTCATTTTTTTGAACAGACAGCTGTTGACCATCTTTAAAGAGGGTATCAGTGCACCAGAGACCACATCGCCTGATGCAAACGAGATGCAAAGTGCCTTCTTCATCTAACTGTGTTGCACTGTCTGACTCAAACTCATAAATTTTCTTTGATTTTGCTGTTGATTAAAATATTATTGGTGCTAATTATTCTAAACATCTCTCATACAATGAAATGGAGAGTAAATTTTGATGACAAAACATGTTAGTCAACATCACAATTTCACAAGGTAAAAAAAGTGGGAATTGTCTAGTGTCACAAAAAATTAACAAAACTGACAAGAGCGCAATTAGTAAAGGGAACAAATGCTTGGATCATCAGAATAAATGGATGGTGCAATATTACTTTAACTAATTCATCGAACTACTTCAAATTTGGTTTAATCTCATTCTACACAAATTATGTCCATTGGATGCTTTTCCTGATAATTACTGAGCTCAATCTTGAAACAATAAATAAAAACTACTTACCAAGCCGAACGAGTTTTACAATGTGAGTGTCATTTCCAACACCATTGTCAGCTTGACAACGGTAAAAAGCAGCAGACTGACTTTTCTCAACTTGAACTTCACTTAAGTTTGTTTGTTTTTGGGGTGTAAGGAGAAGATATGACGGAACATCAATCCAATTGCCTTCATCAGGTACACAGTCCTCACATTTGACAGTTTGGTATTTCCATGTGAAAGTGGGAAGTGGGTTAGATTTTGTCACCTTGCAGATCACTTTTGCTTCCAGCCCTTCTTTAGCTGGTATTTCATCTCGCTCTTTATCTATAGCAGGTGGTGCTGAAATGAAAAAAGGTAAAAGTAAGGTTTTCAGTTGAGCCAAATGCACCAATCCACATCTCAATTAACATTCAAGTATTGCTATTCAATCTCCTTGTATAGTATGCCAGTCCATTGTTGTTTGTTGACACACTTTTCAATTTTCAATTTGTGTCCAACAGTTTCTTAGTACCTCTGACTACAACTGGACAGAGAAAGGCACTGAGAGGCAGTCAGTTTGTTAAGCAGGCTAACTGCCACACCACAGCAAAAATATCACCAATATTGTTTTTATCCCTTGATTTCTCCTTGGTTGAGTTCATTACACCTCCAGACATCCTATGAACCTCTAGAAACTACTTCCAGCCAGCTTTTTTTTTTCTCTTGACTAAACGTTATTTGTGGCCAAATATTTTCATGAATTTAGGTTTTCAAATGGCGCATTTGAAACATATTGAGCACGGAGCCTTGCAAGGTGGCTGTTAAAAGAAGAAGTTCAACAGCAGTGAATGAAATAAACTGCAAATAAAAGTACTGCACATACCAAGTATATCAAGGTCTATAATTAACTCAACAGGTTGACCAATGCCATTCATTGCAATGCATTTGAACCCCCCTTGGTCTCTTGGATACATGACACCGTGTATCTGAAGAACTTGTTTAGTGAAAGTAGTGTGCAAAGCAGAGGTGGGGTCATCTTCATAAATCTCATAAACAGTCTTGCACTCTTTCTCATCTGATGGGGAACAGGAGGTGGTGTTCTGTAACTCCTTGCCATGCCTGTACCAGGTTATATTGGCTTTTGGAGATGCTTTAGCTATACATCTAAGAGTTTTTTCAGTCCCTTCATTAACTGTTGTCCCTCCACTGTATGGATACAAAGTTGGTGGTTGAGGTGCTACAAACAAATTAGAAGATAGATAACTGTACATAAATATACCATAATAGAAAATTATCAAGGTACTGTTCATGTTTATTGAGTAAATAGGGCAAGGTTGATCAGTTTTCCAGTCTTATGGTCCACAGAACCAGATGAATTTCCTGGTATGAAGAGCCTATGAATTATAAGACATCTGCTTGATAAGGGCTGTTAACTTTTGATACTCCTGAGAGAAGCAACACACTGTAAGAGTATGGTATCTTGCTCCAAAACTTGACACAACAACCCTGCCAGGTCAGTGCTGACCTCTCCACTCCCACATGTTACATGTACATGTAACCACACAGACACCACATCTCCCACTAAAAAAATGACCATGGAAAAACATACAATTTTGATAACATGTCTGGATAGTAGAATTAGGTTCTGTGTGCTCAACTATACCAATGGCATCACAATTATAAAATTTAGTGGCTTGAGAAAAATGCTAATGCTGCATTATAAAAATGGTTCATAGCTTACCATCCACACGTATATTTGCAAGCTTATAATCCTGTTTGCTGAAAGCTGTCAGCACACATTTATATTCACCACTATCTTGAGATTGAGCATTAGTGAAGGTTAGGGTTGCTTTCACTAAATTTTCAGACTTATCTAAAACATTTGTAACTTTGCTGTCTGGAACATTTTGGTCACCAGAGTCAGTTCGCTTCTTCCATGCAAGTTTGCTGACTGACCAACCAAGAGCTTGACATGTGATTTTTCCAGTTTGCCCCTGCTGTATTATGATTGGTCTTTGTGGATCAAGTACAATATCTGGCAAATCTCCTGTAAGGTAACACAACACTTTTAAATTAAATGCTCATAAATATCATTAACCCTGTACACCTTAGAACCTTTTTAGTTAAATATGTTGATTTCAAAAGAATTCATTGCCATAAAATACTTTTATTCAATGATACTCCTGGTGAATCTTGTTTTATGTCACTCTCTGGCACTTTATAATTTAATGTACTCTCACAGGAAAATTACCTCCTTTACCCTTAAGATCCAATATCAATTCTCCACACTGTCTGCGAAAATTTCTTACTACATTATCTTTGAGAGTTTGGTATAAAATCAAATAATATTCCTGTGATATTTTGTCTTCTCTTGACACCTTTTGCTTGAAAATGTTTTTAGAGAAAGAAAACTTTTTTATGGTCATTCCTGGAGATGAAATGGTTGCATGAACAAAACACAAAAGAACACTGTTTTTACCACAATTGGCAGTAATGGCCAATTTGTGGTTGTCAATAAGAGTAAAGACAATGCTGCTCATGTCAACTTGTCACGTAATGGTCAAACTAAAAGAATTGTTTTATTTGTTGTTGACTCACTTGGCTATGCCTTGTGATTTCATAACATTTTGACCACTGTGATAACAAATATAGTGTTTTTGAGAGGAGTACAGACCATGCTAAACCACTGTTGATTTGTTGAACCTAAGTTTCTGGTATTAACAGTGAGGATTAGATTTACTAAACAATACATAACGTAAGCTACATTGTACATACTATATGCTTGTGTTCCACCTACCTTCAGAAAGAAAGAGTAAACCATGAGTGCTTGGCCATTCAATGTTTTCTTTTCCATCTGTTGCTTTACACCTATATTGTCCACCATCCTTCACCCCAAGGTTCAACAATGTAAAAACTTGTTTATTCAGGTGAAGTTTCTCAGGAGACAAAGTTCTTTCATTATAGTTTACAAAGTTTGCAGCGAAGAAAAGCTTAACTGTTGCATTTGCATCATCAGTTGAACAGTTGAAGTCAAAATTCATCCCTAGGTATCCACTAGCAATTTGGGGTGGAGGATTGAGAAATTTTAATGCATCCACACCTACAGCAAAGTAAACAATCATTAGCAAACATGGCCAAGATGAAGCTTTAGGCCAATCTAACTTAACCCTCCAACCCCTTAGAAAGAAGAATGGTGACTGTTAATTTAAGGCTGGTTGGATTGACAAGGCTGGACTTGTCTTCCAAAAGTAAAAAAAATGGACACAATGATAGAGTGGTTGAGTGATAGGGTTTAACCATGAATGTAAGTAAATTCCCAACTGTAGTCATTCTCATAAATGTTTCAAAAACAAAACCATTTTGGGGAAAGTTGACCTCAGAAGCTGTTGAAGAAAATTTATCTGTACATAGACAACAATAAAATAATCTTTCAGCAGGGTGAACTTGAGCTCTTTCCTGAATTGTCAAGTCCTTTCAAGTGCCTAGGTCATATCTGTCTTTTGTCCCTATTTCAAGCAGAGGTGGAAGAATAACATTTGGTGATGATGGGATTAAAAGTTCCCTTAAAGATTTGGCATGACAACCAGTGTCATGGTAATAGATCATACCCCACTGATACCAGTTGAACAATATATACAGCATTTGCTGCTAACAGAAAATTAATATGCATATTTCTCAAGTAGCATTTCTGGCCTCCTTTGACACAATCACACTCTAGATAATTCGGTTCATGTTAAGTTACAAAATAAATACTTCATGAAGAAAGACAGTAAATTATGCAGCTTTTGTACGAGTGCAGTATTTTCAAAATTAACAAATTTAAACAAATTTTTATGCAGAAAGCAATCTTAAAATACTCTTGATAGTGTGATTTAATATTAAAACTTCATTTTTCTGTGTAAATGGATTGCAGGAAATTTAGACAATACATCTAGACTTCATATGACAAATAACTGACTCATGACAAACAGCAGGGAATCACAAGCTAACACAAACGTATGCTATTCTAATAATGAAGTTAAGACAATTGAAATTGTTTTTAAAAAAGTTATCCAAATGAAGGATATTCGCATATGCTTTACGATCAAGAGTAAATAAAGGTAAGTTATAAAAGTCTAGTGATTGAGGAGGAGAAGAGCAGTAATTTAAAACTAATAGTATTTCCTCTTAGTTGAGTTGTTTCATGGGACGTAAAGTTAAGCTTATATCACGCTCATTAAATTTAATCCGGGCTAAAGGTTGAACTGCAGACCACAAAAAATGAACAAAATGGGGATTATTACCACTGTCCCAAACAGTTCTACATGAAAAAAAATGTTCCACTTTGGTTTCAAGTTGACCAGTCGATGAAGTGAGTTTTCCGTTGTCTTCATTTGGAGATAACTTATCGTATTACTGAATGGTCACTTGATGAATACAACTGTACTTACGGTAAATGTGAACCGACTTCCACGATTTCTCGTCGATGACGCTGAATAAATGAAAGCTGTCGGACATGTAAGCACACGGATCTTACCGTACAACATGATCTCTCTACTTCCCCGCGTTAATAAGTGAACATAAGTTTTCTACAATATTCTTAATTGAAACAATCCTTCTTAAGAAAAGAAATTTTCCCTCGGCGAGGTTCGTTACTAGAACCAATAATTTCTAAATGAAAGAAAAATTGTCAAAATAAGCTTGCAAGATATCACAATTTTCTTAACGAAACCGAAATTTTGTGAACAAAGTTGTAAATTTGAATTTCGTCATACCTTGACGAGATGATGAAAGGAAAGTCCAGATGAAAATGATGCACACAACTGAAAACTTGTACTCCCTCCAGATGACGTTCCGCGACGCCGCCATTTTTAACAGCTCGACGGGCGTTAAAAAGTTCTTCTTCTTTCTTAGTAACAACAATAACTAAGACAATTATCCAATTGATTTTTAAAAAAATTTCGTCTTTCCAGTTCTACTTTCGCTTTCACTAATCTTCTATACAAGACACGTTTGCTTCGACGGAGTCCGGCGTTCCACGACACTTCACAGGAAATGTAAAGGCAACATGTTTAGGTGTGTTTGTTCTAGCCAATCACAAGCTCGTTTAGATCAACGTTTGTTGATTACGTCAAGAAGAAATACTTAGTTTCCGCTGGAATATTCGAATAATTTAATGATTAAGAGTTATATTTAGACCGCATCTTAATACGAAACGTGACCTATCATAAAAAAATGCTTGTATATTTAAGCGAAACTGCATTGATTTTCCTCCAGAGCATTACGTAGAAATACTAAAATAACCTTTCGCGCTAAATTTTTCAATGATAATCAATTCGCTCACAAAGGAGACTTTGCTTAACTCGGTTTCGCATTTGCGGAGATGATTTTAGACATGCGAAGGGTCATTAGACACTAAAATGTTCCCAGTTGTTATTATTTCTTATAACTGTTTTTTTTTTCCAATCGTGGAGATGATCAGTCTTCCTTAATATGTTTAATTCCTTTGAAAACTCACTAGCATCAGTTTGTTTGACTTATTCAGTGGGCTCGGTAAATATTGTTCCTAAATTTTATCTTCAAGGAATTTATCCTCAAGTGTAAGTCAGCCATCAGCATGAAACGGAAACACTCGATGGAGAATGGAAACCCCCCAAATTGGGATGTGGTTTAATATTTTCATCGTTTGATCATCCCAATGATTAAAGATCCTTGCCTTCAATTACATCGTTTAAGAGCTGATAGACAACAGTGGGGTTTTAAATATTAATGAAACTTACAACAACGCGAGAGACAGAGAACAGACGGGAAATCCACAGATAGGCCCTGTAAAGTCCAAAGAATGTGTGCGGGCTGAGGGTGTTGTCATAAACCGTCAAAGTAAATATTTATCATCTCTCATTTTCCTTCCTAATTTCTTTCCTTCTTTATTTATTTTGATCTCTCAGTCTTTGCTTGTTAATCTGTATTCCCACGGTTAATCCGTCTATCTTCTTCATGATATGTAGCATTGTTCCTGGGGAATTTTTCTTCCATGCGGATTTTATTTAGCTATATTGGGTTACTGAATAAAAAATCTCCAACACTATCGGATATGCATGTAAAAATAACAAGCAGTTAAGAATTATTGATTGAAGATGGGTAAATTTTAACTTAACTGTCTAAGTTGCAAGATAGAAGGAAGTTCGTTTACCTATGATATGAATGCTATTTTTCGGAAGATATTACAAAGTTTTCAAAGTTAAGTCCTCCCAATTTAAGCTGTGGTTCTTCCTTAAAATCTCAGCCATGAACGCATAGCACCACAAGAAGGAAGAGAGCGCTAAAAAATTGTTGCTAAGTAATGGAATAGCAGAAGACGGTAATATATAACACGACATGCAGTCTGATATAGTGGTCCGTTACTTAACAACATATTGCCCTCAACTGCTGTCTGTAAAACCTGCCGTCTTATGCCGTGCCATGGGACACATCCAAGGCTAAGATTAAAAATAAAAAGAAAAAGAAAAAAAAGAAAGAAAAAAGGCCGTTACGGAACGTTTCAAATTGCATGGACTTCATTGTGTCAAACCCACAATATTTTTCGAAAATTACGAGTCATTGTAGTACTGCATGTCGTGTTATTCCTTCAACCATATCAGCGCACCTGACTTGGTCACACAAACAGCAGAGGATGGGCATGAAGGCCTTGGAGTCTGATAAAATGATGTTTGCCTTAATATCGAAGACGTTCTCTCTTTGATGAAGAAACACTAAACAATACTCAAGTGACATTCTGGTGCTGATTCGCCGCATAAAACCACAACATCTTCACATTTGTAAACAGAGTGCGTTAGCAAGAACAACATCACTTCATGTGAAATTATCATAACATCTGGAAGTCACAGCCGCCTCCAGTGGATAAACATGAAAACAAAAACATGAAAACTGAAAAAAAATAATAATAATAGAGCGAAACGGATTGTTCCATTTTGTCTCAATTCTTTATTAAGGCATCACGAATGGATGGGGGTAACTGCTGCCAATCGCTCTGACGAAGGGATAACGCTCGAAAGTCAGCTTTGAAACTCTTTAAGGTGGCAATTTACATTATCAACTCATTTGATAATTCGAAATTACCCCGTTATACTCTCCCACCGACGCAGCACCACAGTTTCTTGAGACTTCCTTTATTCGTCGAGACTTCCTTTATTCGTTAGGGAAGGTATGTTTTTTACTGGCGGGGAGGGGGGGGGGGAAGGGGTGGGTTGGGGTATTTTAGAAATTTTTTGCGAGAAAAGTCGTGGCCCTCCCACTTACCAGAATGGATTAATGCATGACCCTTCACAAATAACTACACAAAAACATCTGACCCTGACCCTTCCCCCACCTCTTCCAAGACAAAATAACCGGAGGTGAAAGTAACTAACCGGAAGTGTAACTCACATAACTGCGTCTGCGCACAAAGCAGTTAATTGCGTGGCGTGTGATTGCACGGTGAAAACTTGAAAATGGGCAAGGATGTACAAGGAATAGAAAGAGGGAAATGCGCTTGTGGTGAATGCGAGGATTTCATGAGGTCAGATGGAGAAACTTGTGGCTATTGTAGCTGTTTGCCGACTCGCCATTCTAAAAAGGATGCCAGCTACTTCTCTGACTCTGCTGGAGGCACATCGGGTGCGGGAATAAGTGAAAGTGAAAGTGCAAGTCCAGAGAAGTGGAAAGATGAAGACCTGGGGAGGTTCCCGAACCCAAAGGGCGAATATACTGAATTCTCAAATAGTATTCTGCCAAAATTCTACCTGTCCTTTTGACCACTTGTCGATACAAGGAAGCTTTCGCCGCTGTTTCGTGACTGAAAGAAAGCGCCAGTGGGAAGTTTGCGAGGCTTTGAAAGCAATAAATCACAATTTGGCTTTAGTGACTTCTGATTATCCAGCGGCTGCCGGGAGATTCACGGAGCTTTATATGGAGTATAGGCGAATGTCGTTGTCAAGAGCGAAATGGCCAACAATGTAAATTTTGCCAGATGGATGATTGTGATTAATTGATTTTAATATTTTGATATTATGTCTGGTTTTCAATTGGATTACATAATATTGTTATTTACTTTGCCTATAAAAGATGAAAGCGTGTCAGCGTTAGCCCTTCGTCAATCGCTCTGACGAAGGACTAAGGTAGATTAACATTACGGTAGTCAGCTAATGAAGAGTTTGGAACCTGAAAATTCACTTCAGGAACAGAAACCCACCAAGGAGAAATTAACCTCTGACCCTTCGACACTCGAACTTAAGGTAGCTGCTCTGTAACATCAACAGCATTTTACGACAATCGCGTGTCCTGTCCCCGCCAGACTAGTATTGACTACTGCAGCTGTTCTCGCACATCACGCGATATGCAGATACCTTAAATATCCCGCTTATTGACAAAAACTACCGCCGTCGATAACAATTGAGATCACGCCATAACTCGGACCATATGCATTCCATGCTTCGTCGTCAGGCAAGAACTAGTGAAATCATAACATACTTTCTAAGTGTACAAATACTTAACACATTCAGTTAATTGACAAAACTGCCTTCAACGGTGATCAAGAACGCGCAATTCCGCCACCTGATTGGCTGAGTGATCAAAACCCCTGGTGTTCTATTAGGGAGATTTGCTTGTTTTAGCGAAATCAATCGCAAGTTGCGGTCATAGCCAGGGCAAAGCAAAAATATTGAAGTTTGGAGCAGTTATGGCGATGACTAACTCCTATGTTCTCTGCAGTACTTTTGTTGGTATTTTGTGTTTTGCCATAATACCAGGTTAGTCTGTTAGATAATGGTTTCTATATATCTTTGACGAAATCTTTCATTAGTGATCGCTTGCCCAAGATTGATAGTAATACGTATTGAGAGAAAATTCCTTTTGCAAAATGATAATCGATATAGCAGCGTGGGAAATCCACCTCAGGTGTGATTTGTGATGTTTTGGGTTCCGTGTAGGGCAAATTTGTTTACTCTCAACAGGAAAATGTTTTCTATGGCACGCCCAGGTAAACAGGCTATTCACAGATTCTGTTGGGCTGCATCCAGAAGGGTCAAGAAGGCTGGTTTCTTTATAAAATTTTTTTATAGCTCGACAAGGATTATAATCTAATTAAGCAGGTTTAGAGGTAGATTTGTTTATCAAAAACATTATAGGTTAACATAATTTAGGGTCATACTGAAAAAAAATGTGTTTTTTAGATGTAAACATGATACACTTTTTCAGATATCAGAGGAGAAACTGTAGTGTGATTTTAAATGTTTTAGAAAGAACCAACAAATCTTTCCTTAACAATCCAGTGACGCCCAAAAATGACCAAACAAAAATGACATATTTTGGTTTTATGATTGTTCTAGAGCGAGGGTATTTGGATATGTTCAACGTCTTTCCAAGGCGCCAAGCGTCTCATCTTCGTAATTGCTAGATGTAAAACAGCTAAGCCCTAATAACAATTGATGTCCGAGCAGAGACTGGACAGAAGCGGCAAAGAAGTCGTAAGCTGATCGTTTGTTAAATGTGACAGTCTCCCCAAATCTCTGTTCATCAGCTCTTGTTATGGCTACCAGTGGTCCTGTGATAACGTTTTCGTAGGTTAAACTCTTCACCTGCGGAAACAGTTCAGTAATCTTGCCCGTAGGGTGAAATGTAATATACCTGAAAGAATTTTGACGAGTTTGGCGAACTTTTCCTATTCCGCTGCAGGGTACGAATACTTTGTAATTTCCGGTGTCCTCGGGTTAGCAAATGCAAAGCATTTTACAGCCGAGCAATTTGAGACAGTTGAAATTCAATGTTAAACTTCAAAGCAGACAATTATGCAGGTCTAATGCAAAAAAATTATTTCGACTGTCCAGTAAATGTTGAACTGATTAATGGAGTTTCAGTGGACCATTCAAATTATTTGAGCTGTTTTTCGACTGACTATTTTTTATGTCAAAGCTTTTGCGCTGAGTCATAGCCCTTCTTTAATTTTTGTCATGTAAATGCGAAACTGGCGCCAAGACACTGGACTAAATTTGTTTTCGAAAATATCGCCAATTCCCGTTTTCGATCCTCCACTGTTGTAATGATACAACAATGACCCAACAGTGGAGGATCGAAAACGGGAATTGGCGATATTTTCAGAGACAATTTTAGTCCAGTGTCTAGGTGCCAGTTTCGCATTCGCATGACAAAAAAATAAAGAAACGCTACGACCCAACGCAGAAATTTTGACATAAAACAACGCTCAAAACAATTTGAATGAACCATTAAAAACTACATTTATTAGAAGCATTTACTAATACAACCACCTCCCACCCCTCCCTGAGTATTAATAGTTCGTCTTCCACCCCTCCATTGCAGCCCAATCCTACCCTCCCTCAGTAACAACAGTTTGCCTCCCACCCCTCCCTGAGTACTGATAGACTGCATCCCACCCCTCCCCTAAATACTAATAGTCTACCTTCCCCCGATAAAATGATCCAAAAAAATTGTCCAAAAAATGGTCCAAAAAATGGCCCAAAAATGGTCCAAAAAATGGTCCAAAAGCAGCGAAAATCAACCGAGACATTTTATAGTTGAAGGTTAGTTCACGGACATGTATGACATCGTGACAACATTTCAGTAAGCGATTAGAGGGGAATGCAATGAACAGATCAAATACATCGACACAAATATAAATTACCATCTGATTCACCTGTGCACTCATTTACTTATTCATTCCGTCTTATATTCATGTTTTCATTTTAATTCTATGCATTTAGAAGTATTGGCGTCAACAAGAGCACCGTATTTCATCAAGGAGCCCACAGACACGTATGTACAGCGGGGTAAGTCCGCTGTATTGGACTGTCTAGTAGGCGGAAGCCTCAAGGCCGCTATAACATGGAGGAAAAATGGTATTGCACTGCGGGATTTATCGCAAGATGACCGAAGAATGATAAAGCCGGACGGATCTTTGTATTTTTCCAAAGTTAATCATGACACGGCTGAAAATTCAGACGAAGGAGCCTACCAGTGCGAGGCGTTAACGCGTAATGACATGAATCTGGATTTTCAGATTTTGAGCAGAACGGCTCGTCTCCTCGTTGCTGGTAAGCCAAGCCTCCGTTATCAAATTTAAAAGGAACTCGTCTCCGCCATGGCATTACTTACAGCCTTATTTATACAGAACTTTGGTGATAAATATCAAACAGGTAATCTAGCATTCGTAGTGAGTCAAACTTTAGGGAAACTTGAAGGCGAACTAGCGAGGAGTTTGTGGAGTACCGCCATTTCGGATGGTGTACTATCGTCGCTCCTACTGTGCCTGTGGATAATGTCACCAAAGAACACTTCAGAGATAAGTTGTGAAAAAACTCTAGCCATGAGGTAAATTTGCCTCCAGCTAATAAATTGACCGAGAACCTCGTTAGTTGAGTTTTCTGAATCAAAACTAACACATAACACAACTAAAGAAAGAAACAGGACCAAAAAGAATTGTAAAAAAAATAACATTAAGTGGCATATACTTTTGATCAACAGAAATTTCATCCAAGGTGACTGTTGCTCCATCCAAGTTAAAAGTTTTATTTGGAGACACATCAAGATTTTATTGCTACGTGAACGATTCAACACCAAAAGCTGTTGTTAGGTGGAGAAAACTTGGAGAAAATCACTTCATTGAGTCTAAAGGACGTTTCACCATAACTTTTGATGGAGCCTTACAGATCGCCGAGAGCAGATTTGATGACCAAGGAGACTATGAATGTACTGCAGAAAATACTGTGACTGAAACAAGCCACACGAGCACTCTCACAGCGTCGCTTGAAGTCATAACAGGTAGGACATATAAGATATGATAAGGGTATGTATAGTAGGGACGTCATCGTTTATCATTTCTAACTCTAGTGTGCCATAATTTGGCTCGAAAAATTAGTAGTTCATCAGCCCACTCGTAAGCAGGTCTCAAAAGGAGTAGGTATTTGTGAACTACTTTTCAAGTAACCCAGAACAAGGCTCTCCTTGTGTATGAGGAAAGAGACTTAATGTCGCATCCTGCTGCTAGATAACACACTGATGCCTTGTCAAGTCAGTTTGTCACACAGCTGAAACTCGATCTCTTTTGTTTTCGTATCCTGGTTGGGTGCGTCACTACGATAATGGATGACTATGCATTCTATTCTTTCTGTGCATAGATGGTGGGTTTCCTCGCGGTCCATATGTGTCCGTCGCGTCTGTCGAGAGAAAAGACATCGCTGGTGATATTGTCATACTCGATTGCATTGCAAATGGATTTCCGAAACCAAAAGTCACATGGCTATTCGATGGGTTACCTGTAGTGCTCGGAAGTGGTTATTCTGTTGTTGGGCAGAACAACCTTATGATTGAATCAGTAACTGAGGAACACGCGGGAACATACACCTGTCGTGCAATTTCACGAAACGGCATCGGAGAAGCTACAACTAAGCTAGAAGTACATCGTAAGTAATATCTTCCAACAGGTTATTTCAAATGCATCTCCAGATGTAGGGGAACATAAATCATTTTTCAGAATGGTGATTTTTGGGCAAACGTCGCCCTAGCTCAAAATGGCGCCTTATCTGAGTTGTAAATAAAATAATAACGCCTATTGCAGGTGTTCAGTTAATGAACGTGGCGCAATGTTTTTGTAGAGTGGAAAAAAAGGCGAAAGTTTACGTGACTCGTTCAAAGCGTTCCTCCTTTCCTTGCGCTGCACTTGTATCGTGCGCCTGTTTATCGACTGGAACAAACTCTGATAAACGGCGCCGGGCTTAGAAGAGTAAACACGGTAGATAATAAAAGTTTTGTTTTGCTCCACAGATCCTCCTTTATTCATCAAGAAACCAAATAATGTCCATGCTTACGTCGATTCCAATGCATTGTTTGAATGCTTTGCTGACGGAATACCCAAACCAGTTATCACATGGAGCCGAAATGGGGACGTGATTGAGGAATCTCTTTACAACGTCATCGGAGATGGATACTTGCTAGTCAAGAGGCTTGTGTTGTCAGACATGGGACCCTATCAGTGCTTTGCAGAAAACCACTTGGGAAAAATTCAGGCCACAGCAGAACTCAATGTTTACATGAAAGGTATGGACTAACAAGTCTATATTTTATCTCAGATCTTAATGTTAGAATTGGCAATTTCTGTCAGATGACTATCTTTAAGAACTTATTCATGTAACTTTTTTAAATCCTTGTCACATAGGTCAGCCGCTTCCATCATTACAAACCACAACTGCTCCGAATACAGAGAGAACAGAGAAACCCATATCAGCATCTATTTCAGATACCAAGACAGCGCAGAATACCGCATCGGCATCGTACACCACAGTTGAGCCAGAGACGACAGTAGCCTCAGAGAGCTCAACGAATTCAAGTGTGACAACAACTTCAGTGGCAACAGTAGTCCCAGTTACCGAGTCAATCTCAGATATTTCAACAGCCCAGGTTACTTCTGCAGCACCAGATTCTACTCCAGCTACAGATAGTACAGTTGACGTGCACAGCTCAGCTGTGTCAGATTCTACAGTGACCTCAGATACTACAAAATTTTCAGTTATGACAGATGCGTTACAAGGATCATCGGCAGTGCCATATACCCCGTCTTCCATGTCAACCATTGCAAGTTTTGGAACAAGCCCATTTTCCGTGAAGACAGCAACAAATAAGATTGCGACAAATCAAGACACAACATCAATTCCAAACTCGAAAGCATCCTCAGCTGAACCCAAGACCTTACCTTCAATGGAGACCCTGGATACTACAGTAGCAAAACCAGATCTCATTACACTAATCCATGGTACCTCTGGAACCCCGGCTTCCACGACAGTTGCGGATTCCATACCAGAGACCACAGATGCCACAAAACATCCGTATTCTACAGCCGCGAAAGATACTGCATCAACAGTAGAAGCCACAAATACTGAGACTGTGACTGTGGCAAACCAATTTACCACAGCAATACGAGAAGTCATAACAACATCGGACACTACGGAACTTCCGCACACCCCAACTCGAGAAATCACTGCTTTCCCAAAGGCAACCTCAGACTTTACAACGGAACCAGATCCAGACGTTACAGCTCCTCCGGTTATAACAACAACACCAGATGTCCAGCACCGAGGTTTGAAATGTAAATTTCTTTGATGATCTTTCTCACAAGTTTGCCAACCGCGGCAAGCAGCGTGAGATTAGAAAAAGAAAAACGGGGACACCTCTAAGTTGTCATGGAGAGAGTGTTGCAAAATTCGTTTTTAAACATCTATATTTCTTTTCAGTAAAACCTCATTTAAATACCTTTAGGGAACATAGTGATCGATGAAAAGCTATTAAGAAGTGGAATTAAAAAAAAAAGGGTTGTCAAAAACAAAACTATATGTATTTAATTGTGGTCGTTTCTGTTTTGGACCAATGAAAAATAACTCGCATGAAAACAAATTCGTGTAATGATTATTAGCAGAAAGTACAATAAATAATTACTCTAACATTTCAACAGATGAACTGCAACCTATTGTCAAAGAAAAAACCGTAAGAGAAGGCTCGATAAAAGTCATCAAATGCATAGCAACAGCAATCCACAAACCTGACGTAGACTGGTACAGAAATGGCAAGAAGTTGCCCACAGTGAAGTGTTCCGAGTTAAATGACGTCAGATGCCAGGGAATTCCGTATGAAGTTTATGAAGAAATTAAAGAACACAAGTTTGGAGGAAAGAGCGCTAGGACTATAAAAGTTCTTAAAATACGAAGTGCATTATACTCGAGAGATCAAGGAGAATTTGAATGTATTGCAACAAACGGTCACGCCCAACCTGCAAAATTAATCATTGATCTGAACGTCCTAGGTATGTATAAACTGAGAGCAGTATTTAACTTTTGTATTCGTACTCAAAATTTTGTTACCTGACACCCAGGTCTTTGACTCAATGATCTGGAGGGTTGGCAAAAATCATGTTTGTTTTATGTGCACACGTTTATTTCTTCATTGCACATTTTTTTTGGTTTGACAATGTTGATGCAAATGCAATTTCTACCATAGTCCCCATCGGAGAATTTTGCTATCCTTTACCCTTATACCTGCATCAAGGTAAGTCTTTAATCTTCTAAAACTAAACCAATGCAGGTTAATTATCTTCTTCAGCTCCCCCCCGATTAATACAAAAGCCCGACAAGGTGCTCAGTAGTAGCGGCAAAGGGTCGAAAGTGTCTTGTGTGGTGAACAAAGGCAATCCTCTGCCAACATTCAAGTGGGAATACCAAAACACGGATTGTTTCACTTTCAACACGAGCTCTTGTGACCCAGTTGAAAGTCAGTGGATGCCCGTCCCTGAGAGTCTAATAATGACTCCTCCAAACACACCGACAAAGAAGAGTGTGGTAAACGTTCAAGGTAATCAGCCAACTGCGAGCTTCAGGTGTCTGGCGTCTAACAAACTAGGAAGGGATTTTCATGTCATCAAACTTGTTCGAAGTGGTAAGAAATTTGTCTTTTCATATGATCCTTAATTCTGAGAAAGTTACTCAAAATTCATCAGAATTCTTTTTATATTTGCTGATATACTTCACTTGTTTTTCTTGACAGTACCCTTGGCTTTTGTTAAGAAACCACAGAATATCTTAAAGGGATACCTGGGCCAAAAGATACTTATAAACTGCTCCACCAATGACCAAGATGCTACAGTGTCCCTTCTTTACAGGCGCCATCCATTTGTGGCCTTTGTCGAACTAAAGCTGGAAGAAAAAAAACTTTTAAAGAAAGGACAGGCATTCGAACTTCTCAATGTCGGTTTAAGAGATTCTGGATTCTACGCATGCGAGGCAAAAAATGAAGCAAATGACAAGATTCGGTGGCCACCGGGTACAGGATATTTAATTCTTAATGAAGGTGAAGTAAACTTAATTTTTTTGTTCTTGATACTAAAGGAAATTTGATTACAATAATTTACGAGACTGCAAAGACGAGTTAATTGACCTTTAATTGTTAATTGACCTTTAATTGTTAATTGACCAAGGAGTGTAAGAAGTAAGTCCACGCGATGGAATGTGTGTTTGCGATGCAGACATGTGCATGTTAGAGGGTTAGAGACAGACGATTAGTCCCTGTCTCTGTGCAAATTTAGGCGTCTCACATGCCAGCATGAGCAGAAGATAAGAAGGACCTACAATTGTAACTCCTCTAATTGTAAAACAATCTATAACAAATTTACACGTGTCTCAGATAAAAAATATTTTCTTGGCAGCTTTTAAGGGCAATAAATGGGTAATATAATCGTATTAGATGCCAGCAAAACCACCATTGATAGCTCCAGCTTCAGTTTTGATTGCCAGTGATAATCCGTTGTAACTTTCCAATTTCTGTGTGTGTCTTGGTTTTTCCAACAGAACCGCTAGAGTTTCTAAACCAGCCACCGGTTATCATACGAGGATATCTGGGCCAGAATTTAGTCATTAACTGTTCTACAAATGATCAGGAGGCAACAGTATCTCTCCTATACAAACATCATCCGCTTGCTTCCTTCCATGAGCTGGACCTTAAACAAAACAAACTATCGAGGAAAGGAAAGGTTTTTACTTTACTAAATGTTGAACGCAGAGATGCTGGAATATATTCCTGCCAGGCGAATAATCGGGGTGGTTGGAACATTCGATGGCCACCTGGTAGAGGATATTTGATTCCTATTCGAGGTAAGGTAATTTACAAGATTCAAGCCAATTTATTTAGGATTAAACATAACCTCAGCTTTCCGATGACTTTTTTCCTTCCATGATAAGGTTCGATAATCGTAACAAGCGTTACGGTTACAATGGTAATGTTGTTTTGGTCCCATAGTTTGTCTTTAATGCACCTCAGTTGTATGAGATTACAAAGCCACCGCAAAGCCTGAACCATCAACGGGACAGCCTACTTACACTTATCATTTGAAATTTGCAAGGGCTTTTCCTTTATTTTTACAAGCATGGACCTTTAATATTAATTTATTTATTCTGGCAGGTGGATCGCCAAATCACTTTGTTTTGAGGCCTGAAACACCACTAAATGTACAACAAGAGCAGCATGAATTTTTCGAGGGCTTTCCCTTACTCTTACAAGTATAGACCATTGATATTTATTAATTTATTTTGGCAGGTGGATTACCAAATCATTTCGTTTTGAGGCCTAAAACACCGCTCACTGTACGACAAGAGCAGCAAATAACTATTACCTGTGAATCAGAAGGTATCTCAGAGACCAAACTACACTGGATGAAACAAACCAAAAAAGGAGATGTTTCTGTCCCAAGTAACCGTGTCACTGTTGATAAGGACAGATCCACAAATAAAGTTAGAGCCTTCCTTAAGATTTCAAATGTTCAGGCAGAAGATGCTGGTGTTTACAAATGCGTGTTAAGGGTCTTTGACAAGACAGATCACAAGATGATTTCATTGTATGTTAGAGGTAATTCAAGTAAAACTTATGCTGTAATCACGGAAAATGTAAATGTGGAGATCTCTTCGACCACTGATGAAGGCAAGGATTTTGTAGTCGAGTCCCAAACCACCATCGAAATATTAAACAGATGCTTGAGCCAGTCCCTTTTGCTCTACAGGTTTCAGATCTTCAGATAGTCATATCGTTTTGGTTGCTTGCATGGTGCATACACGATTGAGTTCGTTTTATTATAACTGCCTATGAGGAAGGCCAATAAGCAATCTTTTCTCATGGCCACCTCAAGGAAGGTAACGGTTTACGAGCTTACTTTTGTCCAAAAAGCTTTTCAGTTGCATACCACTTACAAATCAATTTTTGTTTATTGTCAACTTTTTCGCAGAACCATTATCTTTCCTCGTTAAACCAGACGTGATTTTGCACGGATACCAGGCCCATAGTTTGACATTAAACTGTTCCACTAACGACCGCAATGCTACAGTATCACTCTATCACAGACACCATCCCCTGGCACCTTTCAGGGAGCGAAAAATCGACGCAAAGAAGGTTTTGTTAAAGGGTCAAGTATTTACACTTCTAAATTTAAGTCTAAAAGATCAGGGAACATACGCTTGTGAGGCCAAAACTGAGGAGAATGAGAGCATACGCTGGCCATCTACAAGAGGTTACTTAATCGTGAACCAAGGTAAAGAGAATTTGTAGAATCTTTGCACTTGTTTTTGTTCAGCGGTACAGATTTGTTTACAAATTTTGATTTTTTTTTAAATTTAAGAGAGTTATTTTCGGCACCACTATTTCGTTTTAATTAATAATTAGTAAAGTATTATAAGAATAAAAACCCATCATATCAGTAAAGCTGCCTCTCTAGGATGCCGTGTCTCAATCAGAGTTATAATGACGCACTTTACTTTTAAATTCGCTTTAAGTGCAATGCAAGTTTGTTTCCTACAATGGACTAAAGGTGAATCATCTGCAAAAATCTGAATAAACTCTGGCAGTAACAGGCCACTACTCTCGTTCACTAAGACCAACTTTTGTTAGCCGCGTTGTATTAAACTCATATTTAAATTTGCAGCTCGAATCCCTGACTACTTTGAATTGAAACCAGCCAATCCGATCATAGTGCCGAAAGGTGGAAGTACAATTGTCACATGCGAATCAGAAGGAGTGTCAGAGATTCAGCTTCAGTGGAAGAAAGGAGATGTCAGTAATGGTAACGCGTCAATCCAGGACAGAATGGTTAGTATTGTGAAAGACTGGTCCACCAACCGAGTGCAAGCTATCCTCAGGATTATGAACGCTCAAATGGAGGACAGTGGAGTCTACCAGTGTGTGCTAAGGGCATTTGAAAAGACGAGCATGAAATCTGTTGAGATCACGGTTAGCCACAACTAAAATGACCAAGTGACAGTAGCCGTCTTCTCAGCTCGTTTAGTCCAAAATTCAGTTTCTTGGAGTTGTAGTGATTTTTAATATCTAGTATGGATTAGCTCTAAAATTCTGGTGGACAAAGTCCTAAGTTTGCTCCAAGTTCAAGGGATCAACTACTTAACTAGCTTGCGAATAGGCTCACATTCTTAATTCTTCGGCACGAGCTTTTTTTTGCCCGCGGGAAAGTGAGAGGCCTGGAGCGACGCGAGCAGGCGAGAGGTCTGCAAGGGGTCTAGCGCTTATAATGATTATTAGTGCCAGACCCTCAGCAAACCTCTCCCCGACTGGTCGGGTGGAGAAACGCGCGCCCAGCTGCACTATTGAAGGCCGACTCCTAAGGCATTATACACCATGCCCCAATATTGTTGATTAGTTCTCTGATTATCGTCGCTCTAGTGGAAGCGATTTAGCAAGTTGTTCACGGATCGAATAAAACAGTTAAAGTAACAGCAATTGGGCGTTGCCAAGTTGTAAGTCCAACTTAACCATGTAATATTAAGTTTTTTAAGATTCTTTAGTATCAAAATACTAAACTTATATCAAAAACTCGACGTATCAGTGTCGTATGACGTCATTTTTAAGAGAATGATGATTATTCTAAGACAGCCAGGAGACCCAGTAGGGTTGAAGAAATTCATACCATGAGGCATTAAACAAAGACCTTGTCGCAACGTTACTTGAGGCTAACCAGCGTTTTAACAGCATCTTTTTAACAAGGGAGTCAAACTTATTCTCACTCACGGCAATCATGAAAAACTGATTGATTACGTTTGCATGATCAAAGCCGTCGCAGTCATTCTCATGACTCCAGAGATGACGCAATTAAACTGCTATTGCCATGACAAAAAATACGTAATCTAAACATGTAACCAAAACTTCACACCGGCACTGACCAGGGGTTAAAAATAACCCTCAATTTTAGCTCCATTTTCTAGAAAGTAGTTCTGTTTAAAAATATGGCTGAAAATTTGGGACTTCAAAGGGAGTAGGAATGGGTTGAAAGTGAACGACACATTGTTGTTGGCAGTTGTGATAAAACTCCATGAGGAAAATAGAAAGTGCTTTAAGATGTTTCTTTGATATCCAGGTTTGCTCAAATTTCTCAAAGGACAGTTGTTTGCGACCTTTCCATCAAAATTTAGTAAAATCAAAATACGCGAGAAAAAAGGCAAAGTTCGTCTAGAAAAAAAACAAATAGTTTCCTGTTTGACAGCTGATAAAACTTGAGGAGATGATTTATATTCACGTACCATCAAACTGAACATTGTAAACCAAATTAACAACATCTGAATATAGACTTCTGTTGAATAAAATTCACGGAATACTGATCTAAATGAAATATAACGTTCCAATGATATACCTTGCCTGAATTTTCATATTTCACTGTTTTCGCCTGCCAGCAGTGTTTGGAGTTCAACACTGACATGATTTTATCTGAAAAACGCTCTTACTTGAAATATCCATGTCATGAAATGTGTTTATGCAGGGCTGATGTTTTTTTTAAGATACGTTTTAGAAAAATACTCCCCAAACATCCTAATCTTTTGTTATAAATGGGTAAATTATTCAAGTTAAACCATCTTCGGCCTGTTTATCGTTATAATTTTATTTTTGCAGTGACATATGGACTTAAGCTTCAAGAATATCTCGACGCTCAAGACATCTGTGAGAATAACAATATTCACGCCCACTCTAGAAACGTGACTTATCCGCCAATAATTCACTTGAAAACGAAAGCCCCAAAAGTCACATAGCTAAACCTTAGTAAAAGGTATAACTTAAAACCCTTCTTTTGTACCAAAGTAGGGCTTGCGTAGAATGTTCGTGAGTATTTTTGAACATTGCATGTCGTGTTCCTGTGCTCTACTCTGCTTTCTGCCACAAATGCTGCAATCTGATTGACTATTTGCCAGCTATTTCGAGTTAAATATTTGAATAAAGTAAGTTACCTAACATTGTGTGGTTGTCAACAAAATAAAATAAAAAAACGATATTGTCATGTTAGGTTTTCAACACCTAGAAGAATTATTCAGGAAAAATTCGATTATTCCCTCTCGATTTCTGTGCGTGTTACTTTGTACAAGCTTCACCTTCGTCAACTATCATGCGTTTGAAATCTCAAGCTTAAAGCGTAGTTTTTAATTCATGTGGGTCGGTCGTGACAACCAAGAAATTGCTGATTCATTGCCGTACTTGTTTTTCCTACTTACATGGCAGGTGGGCTGTTTTGAAGTTGATCAAACAGAAGTAACAATTGTGAAGACAAAAATATATACACCCGTTTTCAAGAATGTTGTAAATTTGAAAATATATATTAAATATATATATATATATATATATATATATATATATATATATATATATATATATATATATTTACGTATATTCCTTTACCTTTCTCACGAAAAAGAGACGCTTTTTGATAAGAAAAAAAAGGTTTTATTTTTGTACAATGTATTTTCAAATGGCAACGGTTTTCATTTATGTTAAAATTTTATTTGAATTTGCAGATATGCACACAAGAAATAAACCAAGAATTTCCGCTTCTCAGTATTAATGATGGGCTAAAATTTCCTCTTCACAGCATCCTACACAAGTTGTCATATAGCCATGACAAAAAATTACCATCTGAACGGGTAGCCTAATTCCAGGCGTTTAGGAGTACATTCCAGCTTCGCCAAATTTTCCTGAAGAAGAATTATTTTAATAATAAAATAACTTCTTGGCGAAAGAGCCGGCACGTACGAGATAACGTGACTCAGTTCCTAAACTGACGTGTTGTTGTTAATACCTGTGATGCAACTTCCCGGAAATATTTGGTATTTACGTACATTGAACTTATCTTCTGGCCATCGATTTGATATTATCTAGATATGTCTGCTAATGGTGTTATAGCAAACTGACACTTTTTCATCTTTCGTGTGAAGCGCAAAAGTAGCGGAGTTCGAGGCTTAAACATGATCTTCGGTTTATATTATGTCATTTGAAATATTGAACTGAAAAACTACAACCTCTCAGCCGTTACAACTCATTAAATGACGGAGATAACCGTGCTTCAAACATCGATAACTTTTGTTGAAGTAATCAAGTTAACCCCATCGATTTTTCTTTTGCATTTTCACATCAAAGGCTTCATTTCAAGCTCATTTCTATATGTACAAATGGCAAACAAAATCGCACGTTCTGGTGATGATTCTAGAGATAAGATGACCTTTAATAAAATTGTAAAATGCAGAAAGCCAAACTCGGACAAAGCTTTTTATTATTTTTTTCGTATCTTTGTACAAACACGCAAAATGCTTTGTGGGCGGGAAATATTTGTGGATATTGCGTGAAGTATTTCAGTCCGCCTTTATTAAGGCAAAGAAAACTCACTCTCCTGCTTATGGCCGAGAGAATTTTTGTATTAATGTAATTTTAATGTCCTGTCTATTTTATTTAGAAGCTTTCGTTCAAATTTGATTTGATTTGAAAAGTACAATCCTCACTTCTTAATTGTTCATCACCAAATTAAGTTCAATGAGAGCCTCTCATCCATAACTTTATGCACAAAAAACGATTGAACATTTCCTTTAGAGCAGTAAGGAAATTTGTGCTCGACACGAAATGTATTATGGGGTTGATTGCCTCTGGTAAAGATGGCAGTATGTAAAATAACAAACCCAGTAGGAGCAAATAAGAGTCTCTGTCCTGCGATGGGTAAACCGCTACAAGTAATCTTATAGCAATTAAAGTCCAGCAGACGAAAAAGACCGCGGCAATTGATCCGAAGACCTTCATAATATTCTGGTTTTGTTTGCGACTTCTTGTTCTTATCTTATTCAGCGCTTGGTCCTGCTCATCAGTGACACGTCTTGATCGCTTCAAACTTTTTATGATTTTGGTATAAAGAACGATGATCAAAACCAAGGGGGTACGGTAGAACATAAAATTGCATAGCATAAATAGTGGTTCTCCACTTCCCATAAAAAACGAGCATAGTGGTTGATTCTCGTTAAGCCTAACGATCCGTAAGAATCTGCAATGCAATGCAATGCACAAAGTTGACACATCATAGTGGAACATTTCTTCAAGACTTGCTGGATGCAAAGTTATATTTTTTCTAACAAAATATACGAGCTCGTTACTGGTTCTCTGTAGGTGTTCGTAGTCTAGTTTTCACTCGCCGCGTCGTGTTCTTTGAAAAGACCAATGCCCATGAAAATGTAGCTCAACGGTGGGAAGAAGAAAGAAATTAGTACTATTTCTTCGTTTAGGTGAAAAAGGTCTCTCACCAAGGATCGCTCGAGGGGTGTTAAGAATTAACTTCCCGTGTAATGTCTGGAACAATTTTATTACTATAAAGACTGATTTTTTTTGAACGGCAAAAACAAAACTATGAAAAGATAAACCGCATTAGTTTTAACAGACACCACACCTGCTCCACACCTTATCTCTCATACAATGAGATAAAAAGTAGATATTGATGACAAAACATTATCATTCAACATCACAATTTTACAAGGTAAAAAAAGCAGGAATTGCCTGGTATCACAACAAATAAACAAAACTGACAAAAGCGCAATTAGTGAAAGGAACAAATGTTTGGATCATCACAAGAAATGGAGGATGCAATCTTACTTTAATTAATTCATTGAACTACTTTAAATTTGGTTTAACCCCAGTCTTCGCAAATTATGTTCATTGGATGCTTTTCATGATAATTACTGAGCTGAGGTAATAACAATTTTATTGGCGTAGAGACTGATTCGTTTGAGCGGAAAAACAAGACTATGCAAATATAGACCCGCATTAGCTTTAACAGACACCATATCTCTCACTAAAAAAAAAATTACTATGAAAACATACAATTTTGATAACATGTCTGGATCGTAGAGTTAGGTTCTGTGTACTCAATTATACCCGTAGCGTTACGACTACAAAATTTAGAGGCTAAAGAATGCTAATGCTGCATTACAAAAATGGTTCAAAGCTTACCATCCACACGTATATTTGCAAGCTTATAATTCTGTTTGTTGAAAGCTGTCAGCACACATTTATATTCACCACTATCTTGAAGTTGAGCATTACTAAAGTTTAGGGTTGCTTTCACTAGATTTTCAGACTTATCTATAACATTTGTAACTTTGCTGTCTGGAACAGTATTGTCATCAGAGTCACTTTGCTTTTTCCACGCAAGTTTGCTGACAGACCAACCCCTTGCTTGACATGTGATTGTTCCAGTTTGCCCTTGCTGCACAATGATTGGTCTTGGTGGATCAAGTATAATATCTGGCAATTTTCCTGTAAGGTAACACAACACTTTTAAATTACATGCTCATCAAAATCATTAACCCTTAGAGACCTTTTCAGTTAAATGTGCTGATTTCAAAAGAATTCATTAACTATTAACTTTCATTTAACAGTACTTCTGGTGAATCTTGTAACAAGTCACCCTCTGGTACTTTATAGTTTCATGCACTCTCTGAGGAATACTTAACTCCTTCACCCTAAAGGTTCAAAACAATTCTCCGCACTGTCTGCCAAAGATTTCTTATGAAAACATTACCTTTGGGAATTTGGTATTAAATCAAACAATATCCTTGAGATGTATTGTCTTCTCTTGACAACTTTTGCTTGAAACGGTTTTTTTAAGAGAAACAAAACTCTTTTATGGTCATTCCTGAAGATGAAAAGGTTATATGAACGAAACACAGTTTTTACCACAATTGGCAGTAATGTTGCAATCCGATTGGCCAATTTGCCGTTGTTAATAAGAATACAGACAATGCTGCACTAAAAGAATCGTTTTATTTGTTGTGGACTCACTTGGTTGCGCCTCATGATTCCATAACATTTTAAACACTGTGATGACAAACATAGTGTTTTTAAGAGGAATACAGACCACGCTAAACCACTTTCGATTTATTAAACTTAAGTTTCTGGTTTATACTGTGGGGTTAAGATTTGCTAAATAATACATAACTTAAGCTACACTGTACATAATGTGTGCTTGTGTTCAACCTACCGACAGAAAGAAAGAGTAAACCATGAGTGCTTGGCCATTCAATGGTTTTTTTTCCATCTGTTGCTTTACACCTATATTGTCCACCATCCCTCACCCCAAGGTTCAACAATGTAAAAACTTGTTTATTCAGGTGAAGTTTCTCTGGAGACAAAGTTCTTTCATTATAGTTTACAAAGTCTGCAGCGAACAAAAGCTTAACTGTTGCATTTGCATCATTAGTTGAGCAGTTGAAGTCAAAATTCATTCCAAGGTATCCACTAGAAACTTGGGGTGGAGGACTGAGAAATTTCAACGGATCCACACCTACAGCAAAGTAAACAATCATTAGCAAACATGGCCCAGATGAAGCTTTAGTCTAATCTAACTAAACCCTCCTACCCCTAAGAAAGTAAAAAGGTGACATTAATTGTGAGACTAGGTTTGACAAGACTGGACTAGAGTATATCACATTGACGAAGTGGTAGAGTGATAGGGTTAACAAGTGCGATGCAACTTCCCGTAAATATTTGCTATTTACCTACGTCAAACTTATCCTTTTAAGCTATTCGAAAATGGCACCACTGTGAGATGCGGTCTCTCACCACCGCTCTGATTTTATTGAAGATACGTCTGCTAATTGTGTTATGGCATAATGTAAGTTTTTCATCGTTTGTGCGCAGCGCAAAAGTAGCAGAGTACGAGGCTTAAACATGATCTTCGGTTTATATCACTACGTCATTTCAAATATTGAACTGAAAAACTACAACCTCTCAGCCATTACAACTCATTAATTACGGAGATAAGTGTTCTTTTGTAAAATGTCGTTAACTGAATCAGTCAGGGGTAGGGGGTACTGTAGAACATAACAAACTCAATAGCATAGAATACATAACGATTCTCCGCCTCCCACGAAAACGAACGAAGTGGTTGATTCTCATTAAGCCTAACAATCCTTAAGAATCTGAGGCATGGTACAGTAATGGTAACGGGACGATCCAAGTTAGTGCCAATGTAACAGCTCGGGGTCGAGTCTTTTGCATCAGAAATTTAGCTTCAAGTAGATGAACTACGGCAATGAACCTCTCTACGACTATACTGGCTAGGCTGAAAACTCAAATAGCCTGTGACACGCCTTTGAAATACAGACTTATTTTACAAACAGCTATGGCTACTGGATCATCGATCAAATGTTTCCCCGACAATATCCCCTCAGTGTCGTACAGCGGCCATGTGCTCACAGCGGACAATAGATCCCCAACGGCCATGTTAACAATGAAATAATTTTTAGATGTCCTAATGGTTTTGTTGATGAGAAAAACCGTAGTCACCAAAATATTGCCGACCAACGCAAAAGTGCTAACAACAGAAAAAGCTATTGTGCTCAAAGCAGAAACGAGGAGGGAACACCTACGATCATTTGAATGTCGTCATAAAGGTTAAACACAAACAAATAAGAGTTAACTGCTTAAGAAACGTGATTCCTGATATTTGGTATTTTCATGTGCGCTGCGTAATAGCGTCACGACCCTTGGCTCAAAGGGGAATATTATCAAATGTTATTAAATATTGTTACATGGTTATCAGCTGTATATGCAAGTTCATTGCACTGAAGAAAGTATTTACTTAAGTATAGAGTTCAACTCAAACAAAAATGATTTGGTTCATCGATATAATTGTCATTCTACCGACATTAATTTAGCGTTGAAGTGCTGAAGTTGGTTCAGTCTAGTATGGAAAGGAAAGTGAAGTAGCGGAAATCAGATACACTGATAAGTTAAAAGACCTTGACGATGTGTTAGAGTAGTAGGCTGTTATTAATTTCTGTGACTTTGACAATAGACACAATCATTGTTGGACTGCATGATCGTACGCAGAGAATTACTCAAGTTTGAGTGCGTTGAAAAAGAAAACGGAAGCTGTAGATATTTCGTTGAGGCAATTTAAATTTGCAAAATCAGTGCAATGCGCAAAATCGAGATATCGTTAGGGAATGTTTCTCCAAATCTTGCCGGAGGCAAAGTTATATTTCTTCTAACAAAATATATGAGCTCACTACTGGTTCTCTGTAGGTGTTAGTAGTCTAGATTTCACTCGCGGCGCCGTGTTCTTTGAAAAGAAGGTATGAAGAGAAGATGCCTCGCGCAAAAATTTCTTCCAGAATGGACCGCATGCCGGTGAAAATGTAGCTCAGTGGTGAGGAAAAAGAAAGAAATCAGTACTTTCTCTTTGTTTACAAAGGATCGCTTGAGGAATGTTAAGAATTAACTTCCTGTGTAATGTCTGGAACAATTTTATTACCGTAGAGACTGATTCGTTTGAACGGCAAAAGACAAAACAAGACTATGCAAATATAAACCGCATTAGATTTAAATGACACCACACCTCTCACTAAAGAAAAATGACCATGAAAACATACAATTTCGATAACATGTCTGGATAGTAGAGTTGGGTTCTGTGTGCTCAACTATACCATGGTGTCACGACTACAAAATTTAGTGGCTAAAGAAGAATGCTAATGCTGCATTATAAAAATGGTTAAAAGCTTACCATCCACACGTATATTTGCAAGCTTATAATCCTGTTTGTTGAAAGCTGTCAGCACACATTTATATTCACCACTATCTTGACGTTGAGCGTTAGTGAAGGTTAGGGTTACCTTCACTAAATTTTCAGACTTATCTATAACATTTGTAACTTTGCTGTCTGGAACAGTTTGGTCACCAGAGTTACTTCGCTTTTTCCACGCAAGTTTGCTGACAGACCAACCAATAGCTTGACATGTGATTTTTCCAGTTTGCCCCTGCTGGATGATGATTGGTCTTGGTGGATCAAGTATAATATCTGGCAATTCTCCTGTGAGGTAACACAACACTTTTAGATACGTGCCCATAAATATCATTAACTCTGTACACCTTAGAGACCTCTTAAGTTAAATCTGTTGATTTCAAAAGAATTCAAAAATAAAATACTTTTATTTAATTATACTCTTGGTGAATCTCGTTACACGTCTCTGGTTCTTTATAATTCCATGCACTTTTAAAGGAAAATTTACTCCTTCACCCTAAAGATCCAGTATCAATTCTCCACACTGTCTGCCAAACACTTCCTTTAATATTACCTTTGGGAATTTAGTATTAAATCAAACGATATCTCTGAGATATTTTGTCTTCTCTTAACAACTTTTGCTTGAAACTGTTTTTTTTGTTTTTTAGAAACAAAACTCTTTATGGTCATTCCTGAAGATGAAAAGGTTATATGAACGAAACACAAAAGAACACAGTTTTTACCACAATTGGCAGTAATGTTGCAATCCGATTGGCCAATTTGCCGTTGTTAATAAGAGTACAGACAATGCTGCACTAAAAGAATCGTTTTATTTGTTGTGGACTCACTTAGCTGCGCCTCATGATTCCATAACATTTTGAACACTGTGATGACAAACATAGTGTTTTTAAGAGGAGTACAGACCACGCTAAACCACTTTCGATTTGTTAAACTTAAGTTTCTGGTTTATACCGTGGAGTTAAGATTTGCTAAATAATACATAACTTAAGCTACACTGTACATAATGTATGCTTGTGTTCAACCTACCTTGAGAAAGAAAGAGTAAACCATGAGTGCTTGGCCATTCAATGGTTTTTTTTCCATCTGTTGCTTTACACCTATATTGTCCACCATCCTTCACCCCAAGGTTCAACAATGTAAAAACTTGTTTATTCAGGTGAAGTTTCTCAGGAGACAAAGTTCTTTCATTATAGTTTACAAAGTCTGCAGCGAACAAAAGCTTAACTGTTGCATTTGCATCATTAGTTGAGCAGTTGAAGTCAAAATTCATTCCAAGGTATCCACTAGAAACTTGGGGTGGAGGATTGAGAAATTTCAACGGATCCACACCTACAGCAAAGTAAACAATCATTAGCAAACATGGCCCAGATGAAGCTTTAGTCTAATCTAACTAAACCCTCCTACCCCTAAGAAAGTAAAAAGGTGACATTAATTGTGAGACTAGGTTTGACAAGACTGGACTAGAGTATATCACATTGACGAAGTGGTAGAGTGATAGGGTTAACAAGTGCGATGCAACTTCCCGTAAATATTTGCTATTTACCTACGTCAAACTTATTCTTTTAAGCTATTCGAAAATGGCACCGCTGTGAGATGTTGTCTCTCACCATCGCTCTGATTTTATTGAAGATACGCCTGCTAATTGCGTTATGGCAAACTGTCAGTTTTTCATCGTTTGTGCGCAGCGCAAAAGTAGCAGAGTACGAGGCTTAAACATAATCTTCGGTTTATATTACTATGTCATTTCAAATATTGAACTGAAAAACTACAACCTCTCAGCCCTTCCAACTCATTAATGACAGAGATAACCGTTCTTTTGGGAAATGTCGTTTACTGAATTAGTCTAATTTACCTCATCAATTTTTTTTTTTACATTTTCACATTAAAGGCTTCATTTCAAGTTCATTTCTATATGTGCAGGTGGTAAACAAAATCGCACGTTTTGGTAATGATTTTAAAGATGTGATGCGGTCTATCAGTTGTAATCTGAAATGAAAATTGCTGATTCATAACCTTTAATAAAGTTGTAAAATGTAGAAGACCAAACTCGGATAAAGCTTTTTACTTTTTTCTTCCGTATTTTTGTTCGATACGAACAGTATTATGGGGTTCATTGCCGCTGGTAAAGATGGCAGTATGTAAAATAACAAACCCAGTAGAAGCAAACAGTAGTCTCTGTCCCGCGATGAGTAAACCGCTAATGCAAATTTGCCAAATCAGTGCAATGCACAAAATCGATATATGGTAGTGGAATGTTTCTCCAAAACTTGCTGGATGTAAAGTTATATTTCCTCCAACAAAATATACGAGCTTACTGCTGGTTCTCTGTAGGTGTTGGTAGTCTAGTTTTCACTTGCCGCGCCGTGTTCTTTGAAAAGACCAATGCCTTTAGAATAAAGAAAAGATGTCTCGCGAAAGAGTCTCTTCCACAATAAGCCGCATGCCCGTGAAATTGTAGCTCAGTGGTCGGGAAAGAGAAAAAAATTTGTACTTTGTTTTTGTTTAGGTCCATTACCAAGGATCGCTTGAGGGATGTTGAGAATTAACTTCCTGTGTTATGTTTGCAACAATTTTATTGGCGTAGAGACTGATTCGTTTGAGCGGCAAAAACAAGACTGCCAATATAAACCGCATTAGTTTTAACAGACACCACATCTCTCACTAAAAAAAGATGGCCATGAAAACATACAATTTTGATAACATGTCTGGATCGTAGAGTAAAGTTTTAAGGACTCAATTATACCAATGGCGTTACGACTACAAGATTTAGTGGCTAAAGAAGAATACTAATGCTGTATTATAAAAATGGTTCAAAGCTTACCATCCACACGTATATTTGCAAGCTTATAATCCTGTTTGTTGAAAGCGGTCAGCACACATTTATATTCACCACTATCTTGACGTTGAGCATTAGTAAAGGTCAGGGTTGCTTTCACTAAATTTTCAGACTTATCTATAGCATTTGTAACTTTGCTGTCTGGAACGGTTTGGTCACCAGAGTTACTTCGCTTTTTCCACGCAAGTTTGCTGACAGACCAACCCATAGCTTGACATGTGATTTTTCCAGTTTGCCCCTGCTGCACAATAATTGGTCTTGGTGGATCAAGTATAATATCTGGCGGTTTACCTGTAAAGTAACACAACACTCTTAAGTTACATGCTCATATTGTAAGATATTTTGTCTCCTCTTAACACCTTTTGCTTGAAACAGGTTTTCAGAGAAACAAAACTCCTTTTATGGTCATTCCTGGAGATGAAAAGTTTGTATGAACGAAACACGGAAGAACACAGTTTTTACCACAATGGGCAGTAATGTTGCAATCCAATTGGCCAATTTGCCGTTGTCAATAAGAGAACAGACAATGCTGCATTAAAAGAATCGTTTTATTTGTTGTGGACTCACTTAGCTGCGCCTCGTGATTCCATAACAATTTGACCACTATGATGACAAACATAGTGTTGAGGTTGAGCATTAGTGAAGGCCAGGGTTGCTTTCACTAAATTTTCAGACTTATCGATAGCATTTGTAACTTTGCTGTCTGGAACAGTTTTAACACAAAAACATAGTGTTTTTGAGAGGAGTACAGACCACACTAAACCACTGTCGATTTGTTTAACTCAAGTTTCTGGTATATACTGTGAGGATGAGATTTGCTAATACTACATAATGTAAACTACATCGTACATAATGTATGCTTGTGTTCCACCTACCTTGAGAAAGAAAGAGTAAACCATGAGTGATTGGCCATTTAATGGTTTTTTTTCCATCTGTTGCTTTACACCTATATTGTCCACCATCCCTCACCCCAAGGTTCAACAATGTAAAAACTTGTTTATTCAGGTGAAGTTTCTCAGGAGACAAAGTTCTTTCATTATAGTTTACAAAGTCTGCAGCGAACAAAAGTTTAACTGTTGCATTTGCATCATCAGTTGAACAGTTGAAGTCAAAATTCATCCCTAGGTATCCACTAGAAACTTGTGGCGGAGGATTGAGAAATTTTAACGGATCCACACCTACAGCAAAGTAAACAATCATTAGCAAACATGGCCCAGAGGAAGCTTTAGTCCAAACTAACTTAACCCTCCAACCCCTAAGAAAGTAAAATGGTGACTGCTTATTGTGAGACTAGGTTTGACAAGACTGGACTAGAGTATATTACATTGACGGAGTAGTTGAGTGATAGGGTTAACAACTGTGATGCAATTTCCCGTAAATATTTGCTATTTACCTACGTCGAACTTATCCTTACAAGCTATTCGAATATGGCACCACTGTGAGATATGGTCTCTCACCACCGCTCTGATTTTATTGAAGATATGCCTGCTAATTGTGTTATGGCAACTGTCACTTTTTCCTCGTTTGCGCGCAGCGCAAAAGTAGCCGAGTACGAGGCTGACACACGATCTTTTTACGGTTTATATTACTACGTCGTTTGAAATATTGAACGAAATACTACAACTTCTCAGCCATTAAACTCATTAATGACTGAGATAACCGTTCTTTTGTGAAATGTCGTTAACTGAATTAGTTAAGTTTACCCCATCTATTTTTCTTTTACGTTTTCACATTAAAAGCTTCATTTCAAGTTCATTTCTATTTGTACAGATGATAAACAAAATCACACTTTCTGGTGATGATTATAGAGATGAGATGCAGCTTATCGTTGTAATCTGACCTGAATCATGACCTTAAATAAAGTTGTATGCAGAAGACCAAACTTGGATAAAGCTTTTTATTCTTTTCTTCCGTATTTTTGTACAAACACGCGAAATGCTTTAAAGGCGGGAAATATTTGCGGTTATTACTCGACACGAAAAGTATTATGGGGTTGATTGCCGCTGATAAAGATGACAGTATGTGAAATAACAAACCCAGTAGGTGCATACATGAGTCTCCGTCCTGCGATGGGTAAACCGCATTAACTAATATAAGTTAGACGGCAATTGAAGTCCAGCAGACGAAAACGACCGCGGCTATTGATCCGCAGACCTTCATGATAGTTTGGTTTGTTTGCAACTTCTTGTTCTTATCTTATTGAGCGCTTGGTCCTGCTCATCAGTGACGCGTCTTGATCACTTCAAACTTTTTAGGATTTTGGTATTAAGAGCGGCGATCAAAACCAGGGGGGTACAGTAGAAAAAAACAAATCCAATAGCATAGAATATACAGCGGTTCTCCGCTTCCCACGAAAACGAACAAAGTGGTTGATTCTCATTAAGCCTAACGATCCGTAAGAATCTGAGGTACGGTACAGCCAGTAGCAACAGGATGATCCAAGTCAGTGCCAATTAAACAGCTTGGGGTCGAGTCTTTTGCATCAGAACTTTAGCCTTAAGTGGATAAACTACGGCAACGAACCTCTCTACGACTATACCGACTAGGCTGAAAACTCAAATAGCCTGTGACACGCCCTTGAAATACGGACTTATTTTGGAAGCAGCTGTGGCTACTGGATCATCGATCAAATGTTTTCCTGACAGCATCCCCTCAATGGCGTACAGCGGCCATGTGCTCACAGCGGACAATAGATCCCCAACGGCCATGTTAACAATGAAATAATTTATACTTCACCTAAGGGTTTTGTTGATAAGAAAAACTGTAGTCACCAAAATATTGCCGACCAACGCTAAAATGCTAACAACAGAAATAGCTGTTGTGATCAAAGCAAAAACTATGAGGGAACAAGTCGACTGATCCCCAAGAACATAGCGACTAGAATTATGTATTTCTTGGTTTGAACGGAGGCCTCAACACAGAGGCCTGAATATCTACACCACACCTACGATCTTTTGACTGTCGTCATAAAGGTTAAACACAAATAACTAAGAGTTAATTGTTTAAGAAACGCGATTCCTGATATTTGGTGAGTTTATTGTGCGCTGCGTTATAGCGTCACGACCCTTGGCTCAAAGGGAATATAAAAAATTTTCAAATAATGTTACATGGTTATCAACTGTATATGCAAATTTATTGCACTGAAGAAAGTATTTACATGAGTATAGAGTTCAAACCAAACAAAAATGATTTGGTTCATCGATATAAATGTCATTTTACCGACACTAATTTGATGTTGTAGTGCTGAAGTTGGTTCAGTCTAGTATGGCAAAGAAAGTAGAGTAGCAGAAATCAGATACACTGATAAGTTAAAAGACCTTGACGATGTGATAGAGTAATAGGGTGTTGTAAATTTCTGTGACTTTAATAATAGACACAATGTTGGACTGCATGATCATACGCAGAGAATTACTGGAGTTTAAGTGCGTGAAAAAAAAAAACCGGAAGCTGTAGATATTTCGTTAAGGCAATTTAAATTTTCAAAATCAGTGCAATGCGCAAAATCGAAATATCGTAGTGGAATGTTTCTCCAAATCTTGCTGGATGCAAAGTTATATTTCTTCTTACAAAATATACGAGCTCACTACTGGTTCTTTTTAGGTGTTAGTAGTCTAGATTTCACTCGCCGCGCCGTGTTCTTTGAAAAGACCAATGCTTTTGGTATAAAGAGATGTCTCGCGAACAAGTCTCTTCCACAATGGGTAACATGCCCATGAAAATGTAGGTCAACGGTGGGGAAAAAGAAAGAAATTAGTACTTTGTCTTTGTTTATCAAGGATCGCTTGAGGGATGTTGAGAATTAACTTCCTGTGTAATGTTTGGAACAATTTTATTTCCGCGGAGACTGATTCGCTTGAACGGCAAAAACAAGACTATGCAAGTATAAACCGCATTAGTTTTGACAGATTCCACATCTCCCACTAAAAAAAAATGACCATGAAAACATAGAATTTCGAAAACATGTCTGAATAGTAGAGTTAGGTTCTGTGTACTCAAGTATACCAATGGCATTACGACTACAAGATTTAGTGGCTAAAGAAGAATGCTAATGCTGTATTATAAAAATGGTTCAAAGCTTACCATCCACACGTATATTTGCAAGCTTATAATCCTGTTTGTTGAAAGCTGTCAGCACACATTTATATTCACCACTATCTTGACGTTGAGCATTAGTGAAGGTTAGGGTTGCCTTCACTAAATTTTCAGACTTATCTACAACATTTGTAACTTTGCTGTCTGGAACAGTTTTGTCACCAGAGTTACTTCGCTTTTTCCACGCAAGTTTGCTGACAGACCAACCCATAGCTTGACATGTGATTTTTCCAGTTTGCCCCTGCTGAATGATGATTGGTCTCGGTGGATCAAGTACAATATCTGGCAATTTTCCTGTAAGGTAAGACACCACTTTTAAATTACGTGCCCATAAATATCATTAACCCTGTACACCTTAGAGACCTTTTTAGTTAAATCTGTTGATTTCAAGGGATTTCATCAAGGTAAAATACTTTTATTCAATGATACTCCTGGCGAATCTCGTCACACGTCTCTGGTTCTTTATAATTTCATGCACTTTCAGAGGAAAATTTACTCCTTCACCCTAAAGATCCAGTATCAATTCTTCACACTGTCTGCCAAAAATTTTTTATAACATTACCTTTGGGATTTTGACATCAAATCAAACAATATCCCTGAGATATATTGTCTTCTCTTAACAACTTTTGCTTGAAATTTTTTTTAGAGAAACAAAACTCTTCTATGGTCATTCTTGAAGATGAAAAGGTTATATGAACGAAACACAAAAGAACACAGTTTTTACCACAATTGGCAGTAATGTTGCAATCCGATTGGCCAATTTGCGGTTGTCAATAAGAGTACAGACAATGCTGCACTAAAAGAATCGTTTTATTTGTTGTGGACTCACTTAGCTGCGCCTCATGATTCCATAACATTTTGAACATTGTGATGACAAACATAGTGTTTTTGAGAGGAGTACAGACCACGCTAAACCACTGTCGATCTGTTAAACTTAAGTTTCAGGTATATACTGTGAGGATGAGATTTGCTAAATAATACATAATGTAAACTACATCGTACATAATGTATGCTTGTGTTCCACCTACCTTGAGAAAGAAAGAGTAAACCATGAGTGCTTGGCCATTCAATGGTTTTTTTTCCATCTGTTGCTTTACACCTATATTGTCCACCATCCCTCACCCCAAGGTTCAACAATGTGAAAACTTGTTTATTCAGGTGAAGTTTCTCAGGAGACAAAGTTCTTTCATTATAATTGACAAAGTCTGTTGCGAAGAAAAGCTTAACTATTGCATTTGCATCATCAGTTGAACAGTTGAAGTCAAAATTCATTCCAAGGTATCCACTGGAAACTTGGGGCGGAGGACTGAGAAATTTTAACGCATCGACACCTACAGCAAAGTAAACAATCATTAACAAACCCCATGAAGCTTTAGTCCAATCTTACTTAACCTTCCAACCCCTACAAAAGAAAAATGGTGACTGTTAATTTAAGGTTAGTTGGATTGACAAGGCTGGACTTGTCTTCCACAAACAAAAATGGACACAATGATAGTGTACATTGCACTGACAGAGTGCATGGTTGAGTGATGGGGTTTAATTATGATTATAAGAAAATTCCCAACAGGAGTCATTCTTATAAATGTACATAGACAAAAACAAGATGATCAATCTTTCAGCAGGGTGAACTTGAGCTCTTTCCTTAATTGTCAAGTCCTTTCAAGTGCCAAGGTATATATATCTTTTGTCTCTATTTTAAGCAGGATAGATGGGAGGTGGACGAATAACATTTGGTGATGATGGGATTAAAAGTTCCCCTAAAGATTTGGCATGACAACCAGAGTGATAGATTATACTCCACTTATAACAGTTGTAATATATACAGCAATGCCGCTAACAGAAAACTAATATGTACATAAACATAGGCATACGTAACATGCAAGAGTTATGTTTTTGGGCTGGGCGGGTCGAGATGGGACACTTTGTGTACCTGAAGTTTTCTTTTTTGTATCAGAAAAAGAGCATAACTTTCAAAAGAACGAAAATATTGCATTATTTCAGTTTAAGAGAAAGGAAAAAAACTAATTAATCTGAACTCACGCAGAATTTGTTTGTGGTCTTTTGTGTCTACTGTCTAAATACTTCTAAGCAAAAATAAAATGCGTCGG